CAGATTTCTTTCGGCTGCGTACTTTCAAATTCTAGCGCACTCGAGCTGGTTTCTCCATTCTTACCTACCCTACCTTTAATGTTTTATGTGAGGGACTGCGGATGGAAAGTAGCTCAAAGCTAAATCCGGCATATTTACACTTGGCACATTTCATGTTTTAAGTGTTCATTAATGTGCAATGTCCCTGCCAAATAAACAAATAAACAAATTGATGTAAAAGAAGAGAGGGTTGCCGTTTTCTGGGAGATGGTTCCAGATATATGGAGAATAATATCTGAACGCTGCTTCTCCACGTTGAGTTCTCCACAGTATTTCTGTTCACAGGATCATAGAGCACCTCACACACTGTTGACAGCTGTGTGTTACAGTCATTTTACATTATGATAGTCTTTACTCAATAACACTGAAGCAGACCTGCAGACCACCTGAGAGCTCTGGATGGTTCATAGTACTGTAGAAGAAGTTAAATTAAAATCACTGCCTCTAGTCAAGATGCAGTTTAGATCCATGTTCGTCAAAAATAACATCATTTTTATCCTTTTAGACATTTGTGTGGACTGTCATGTAAAAGCTATTGCGTTATGGACAAAGATGTGTTGTTTAAGGGCACATTGACATCATCAAGAAATGCCCTCGAGGCGTTCTTGTGATATCCTGTTTTACGAGAATATGACGGGCGATTAAAACAATTACAAAGCGTTCCAAATCACATCCTTAATCTTAGTCTTTCCTTATAAATGTGTACTGTCGTCTGCAGGGGTTAGTTTGTAATAAAGGAAATGTGTCAACTTTTCCTTGAACTTCTACATTCACCTAGAATGAGTTTTTACATAAAGCAGAAAAGAGAAGTTCTGTGAGCTGAAAGCAAGTTTTTCCACTTTCGTTTAAACCTGAAACACTTCCTGCTTCACACTTCCTTGTAATTGTTGATGTTGGGAAAATACTGAATGTACTCTTCCAATATCAGAGTCCACATGATAACAAAGGTATCCCAACTGTAGCTGTGAACATGACAGGATGTATGATTACCTAGAAGAGCATCAGGACTGTTTGAGGCATATGATAGCTATGTGATTAACATGATGATTCAGCCTCTATGGAGATAGACATATGACAAGCATGATCATTTCTGACGTGGAGCTAATCTGAACTAAACATTGAATACTGCTTTCTATTCCTCCATCTTGTGACTGTGTAACTCCCTCTCTTGGATATCAGCATGTGAAGGACACTGTTCAGGAACTAGTTGATGCTCTGTATGTGATGACTACTTCCATTCTTGAGCCGGTGACGAGTGATTATTAAAAAAAAAGTATTCAGAATTTTGGGAAAAAGTCAGAATTTTGGGAAAAAGTCAGAATTTTGAGGAAAAAGTCAGAATTTTGTGAAAATGTCAGAATTTTGAAAAAAGTCAGACATTTGAGATTTTAAGAAAAATTAAGAATTTGAGAAAAAGTAAGAATTTTCAGATTTTCCAGAAAAAAGCCAACACTTTGAGAAAAACTCAAATGTATGATTACCTAGAAGAACCGGTATTCCTCCATCTTGTGACTGTGTAACTCCCTCTCTTGTATATCAGCATGTGAAGGACACTGTTCAGGAACTAGTTGATGCTCTGTATGTGATGACTACTTCCATTCTGGAGAGGATCACAAATACATGGATCCTGAGATTGAAGCTCAAGCCGGTGACCAGTGAGATTTTCCTAAGTGTTGATAACCCTCATGATGAGATGACACGGTGCTCGAACAGCATTTCTAACATATCACAGCTAACACACACTCACACTCTGCTGGTTTTCGGATGAGTAGATGCCTGGATGACTCCCCACCCCCGCCTGAGAAGAGGACCCAGAATCGGAGGTCTTCATGTCTCTCTGCAGCTTCCCCAGGTCTCGGTTGTACATCCGCAGCTTTGTGCTCATCATGTTTCTGAAGGCGGACGGAGCAGAACGCAGCTCTTCATCCATTCCCTGTAACTGGAGACGGATATAAACACAGAGTCATTCAAGAGAAAGATCTGTCTCTGTGAAGAAAAACAATAAAAACTAGTAAAATAGAATAATATGAATCACAAGAGTAAAACATAAGAAGCTGTAACATATATATGCATTAAGAAAAACAATACAAATATATATAAACCTAATTGCATTTAATGCATATTTTGCAGTGCGCGTGTGTGTGTGTGTGTGTGTGTGTGTGTGTGTGTGTGTGTGTGCGTGCGTGTGTGTGCGTGTCTTATTTATTAGGTGGTCCTATTGCTTTGTGGAAAAGGCTGTCGATATCAGACAGTGTTAATATTTTTTAACAGTTATTTATCAAAATAGTACTTTTGGCGGTATATTTATTTTAGGTACATCCTTTCTTATTTATACATATAAATAACATACATACACATATAACACATACAAAACAACAGATATTGAACAGATAATAAACCTATAAAAACACATAATGAACACATAAACAACACATGATAAGCAGATGAAAAACACATAATGAACACATTCAATAACAGGTAATTAACTTGTAAAAAAAACAGATAATATACGTATACAAAACACATATTAAACAGATAATAAAAAGAGCAGCTCACCACTTCCTCAGCTTCCCCCTTCCTCTCATCGAAGGTCCTCACCAGCCTCTTCCTCTCCTCTGTAAACAACAACAACAACATCCAGTGTCACAGCACAGAAAACACCTTTAATTAAAACACTGTTAGCTACCGTTAGCATTAGCTTATAAAACAACAACAATATTTACCTCCCTGGCTCCTCAGAGCTTTCTCCGGCAGCAGCTTCAGCTCCTCGAACAGAGATTTGTAGATCTCATGGAGCTTCTCAAATTCCTCCGACGACATTTCTGAGGAGCTAAACTGCCCTTTATCCTAAAGATAATGGTGTGGTGTTGTTTTTAAAAACAGCTCTAAGAGATTAATCTAAAAGCACAATTGTTAGTTTTGATTTTGACGTTAATCAGATGCACGAGACGCTTCCGCTTTGAGGTCCTCGTGATCCAACGGCAAAAACTCCGGATTAAAAATAGAAAGAACTCGATTTTTATTTATTTAAAACATAGAAAAGGAATATAAATTACATTTAAGATACCAAATAGGAATAACACGTACACAGATTATAACAAATGTTGATGAAATAAATGTTTAAACAACTGTTAACCATTTTATCCAGGCACTACGCAGACAGTTTACACGGTGCATCATGGGAAATGAAGTAAACTAAATGATGAACGCTCCACAACAATTTTACTTTATTAAAATATGTGTTTTACTACTTATATGTGAAAATGTTTACTTTATTTTAACGATTGTCATGTTTAAATATCTTTGTTTGTTTTTGTTTATGCTTATTGTAGAATTGCTTCCGTTTTGGTTTCTCCTTGATAATCTAAGGTTAAATTTGCTTCCTAGACTGCAGTGATTCTCAAATGGGGGTACGCGGACCCCTAGGGGTAAATTGGGGTACTGCAGGGGGTACGTGAGATAAACAAAATAAAAAGGTTAATTAAAAAAATACCATGCATGATTACAAAAATAATCTTAGTACAATAAGTTAAATAGAAATGACAATTGTATATAAAATATTCCTAGAACCACTAAGGGGGTCCTCATATAAACATGTCAAATTTGAGTATTGTATTTTATAGTTTTTCATAATATATCATTTTGTTCATTGGTTTGTTAAACATATATTACTTCAATTGAAAAACTCAATGGGGGATGTCCGGTGCCTTGCTCAAGGGCACCACGGCAGGGCAGGAGGTGAACTGGGACCTCTCCAAGTAGCAGTCCACACTCCATATTTAGGTCTGGTCGGGGACTTGAAAAGTGGGAAAGTATCTCATTGACTCCAGTTGGCATGGGCTGTAGGGTCATCTTGACTAGTTTTATGGATGTGGTCTCCATTTGACCATGCCCAGAGGAACAAAGCTTGCATTCCTGAGGCAATTCTCATTTTTCATGGCTCCACTTAAAATAAAAACAACAATAAGACATACGTGCTACTCTTGGCCCACAGAGGGACATGTCTTTCCAGCTCGTCCCTATCTGTCTGTATCTGTGCACTCATGGAGCCTCCTGCATCTTTGCCCCCCTTCTTCTTGACCCTCTTCTATCCCAGCTGTGAAATCCTCATCATCTGAGAGCTCCAAATCTTAATCTCCCTTAACTATCTGGTACAGAAAATGTCTGCTTCAGTTCCGTCTCCTGCAACAATATTGAGTCCATGAAGATGGTCTGACGTCCACTAGAATGGACATTTATAAAAGAGCTCTTATTTCCAAACTTGAATGATTGAATTGCTTTCAGAACTAATTATATAGTTCCTCACATGTTAATAAACAAAAAATAACAATTATTCAACAATATTTGACTTCTCCTCAGGCTTCTATAAAATGTTGTTTTTGGTATGCCAGCCATTTTGGATGAAAACAAAGAGGAACTTCCCAGCATGCAATTTTAACCAATGACATATCACTGGAAAGCCAATGATGTCCTCTACAGTACATCAGAGATTGATAGAGTAGCTCAAAAGAGTAAAAGGAGATGCATGTTAATCAATGGGCTGGGTCCCAGGAGGATATATTTAATCTAATCCTATCTATTCCGTCAATTTGTTTTGTTTTCAACTAGTGCTTGGGTAACATTTATTTTAATTTCCCCTTTGTGGGCTCAAAAACAAATCTTATCTCATATCGAGTAGCCTATATATATATGTATTTTTTAATTATCTATTTATTTTTGCATATATATATATTTATAATCTTTGCTTTACTTTTTTCATTATCCACTTATCTATTTTATTTATAGTCAATATAGTTTTCCCTCTTGAATGGCTTTATTTATAATACATCCTCCTAATACTAATTGTATGATATGATTATAAATTGAAATCCACAAAATATATTCTAATAAAAAATAAAAACTACAATCCCATGATGCAGTTCGCGGCGGCTCTTTGACCCTCTCTGCTTTGACATCAGCTGTTCAGCCCACAGAGCCGCGGAGGAGACAGAAAGGTATCCGTGCTATGATGGTGCTTCTAGTGATAGTCGCGGGGCTCGGAGTGGTGACGCTGCTGGTCATTTTATTTGCTCCACACATAAGGTAAGAATGCAATTAAACCACTCGTGCATTCTCATTGAAATCCATTTATTTAAACACACATAGCACGGATGCACTCAGGGCTTTGCATTGCACTGATGTAATCATATCGATGAGGTGACATTACATAAAACACTGTGCTCTCGCCATTTTTGAGGATTTTTCACATTTCACACGACGCTGGCTGATATCTTTGGAGGAAAGTCTATGAAATAGAATGATGGTAGTTTTTTATCTGTGCACAGAGTCAGGCCTATCAGCAGGCTGAGTGTAGGAGGAGTTTTCTGGGAGAGCTCTTACTCCTGCAGAGCCATTGGTTTCTGCTGCACGGTGGCGTGGGTCGTACGACCTGACGCCGAGTGTGTGTGAGTGTGTGTGCGTGCGCGTGCGTGTGTGTGTGTTCAGGATCCAAGTTTGTCTCTGTGAATAATTAAGAAAGGACGTCCATATGTCCCATAATAACGAGGACACAGTAACTCACACTGGCTTCAGAAGAGTCAGTCACATGGAGCAGTCTGATGTAGGACTTCTCTTGTATAATGTCCACGCCATGTGTTACTGTGTATTAACAGCAGTGGTGGAACTAAATGATTAATGAGTACTTCTACTTTTGGTACTTTAAGTATATTATATATATTTTTGATTCATGATAATACTTTTGTACTTTTGCTTGAGTAACATTTTGGATGCAGGACTTTTTTTGTAACAGAGTATTCCTACACTCTGGTACTTTTCCTTTTAAGTACAAGATCTGATACTTCTACTTTTACTCAAGTATAACATCTAAGTACCTCTACCACCTCTGATTACGACCATTATACGTTTCCATGAAAGACAATGGATTATCACTATTGAATTATGACCTAACCCTAATGTGCTTGATTTTTATATGCTAAATTCAGCTTTCCAAATGTACAATTTGCACACAAAAGGCCCCAAAAAAGCACAGTTAAGGTATTGATTAATCGACTAACAGTTAAACAATTGGTCACTATTTGTATGATAATAAATAGGGCTGGGCGGTATGTCATAAAACTCATATGACGGTATATCTGCAAATTATAACGATATCACGATATTTATTTACTTTTCAATGATCCGAAATGTATTTACATTTTATACATTTTGGCCCCACAAAAAACACCTGATCAGCTGCAAAATGTAATGTTTGCGTACCACATGACAACAAAAGCACTGTAAACAAATCCCCCCCTTCCCTGAAACTGCATGCATTTCAGTGGTGTGACAGTGAAAGGAGTCACCAGGGGACACCTTTCACTGTCGCACCGCTCGAGCACACTTTGCCACTTTTTCAACGGTATATGAAAAATTCATATCGTAGGGTTTAAAGTTCACGGTATTCGGTATGAAGCGGTATACCGCCCAGCACTAATAATGAATGATATGATATTAAAGTCTGGTTTGATACAATTTTACTTAATTCAACAAATCCCTATTTTAAATAATAAAAATGATATGAACATTTTATTATTTGGCTCTTCCAGACATACAACCCTAAGTCATTTTTCTTGCAAAAACATGTCATGGTTCCGAATTCTTAAATGTGAGGATTTGCTGCTTTTTCCTTTTTAATTATGTAATTTTCTTTTTAATAATCTTTGAGGTCTGGACTGTTGGTTGGACAAAACGAGCATTGTGAAGGTGTCACTTTTGGGTAATTCTAACAGCATTTCTCACTATTCCCTGAATTTTGATAAACCCAACCCAATGTGAGCAGCACATTCATCCATTATAAAAAAAATAAGAAGTTGTTGCAGCCCGAAACACAAAAAGTTAAAATGAGCTCCACCTCGAACAACAGTAAATCCTGCTTTCCTTTAATGCATGGTTAGTAATAATCCCATGATATAATATAAGGTCACTTTAATGCATTCAGTACTTTTCCTTTCATTCAGTGCATTTCCCCGACTACACTCACATACTTTTACTTTGGTACCATTATCAATGCATGACTTTATCAGAGTGTTTTCACAGTGTGGTGTATTTAAAGGATATATATTTATATACTTCCTCCTCGGGTCAACAGGAAGTATGCGGCTGGAGGAGTGTGCCGGTCCCCCGTCTCTCTGGAGGGGAAGACGGTGCTCATCACGGGGGCAAACACCGGCATCGGAAAGGAGACGGCCCTGGAACTCGCAGTGAGAGGTGATTTATTATATCTATTAAGGAGGCGTGTGGCGCAGTGGATTGAGCCTTGGTGTTGGGATCAGGGGGTCACAGGTTCAAACCCCACTGCAGTCAGCATGTCGTTGTGTCCCTGGGCAAGACACTTCACCCCAAATTGCTCCTGTGGGGATTGCCCACAGTATTGAGTATGTAAGTCGTACAAACAAGTAACATGTAATGTAATGTAATCTATTAAAAAAAACATAATATTTTTGCCATTATAATAAAAAGGAATAGATACAAATATTAATAAAATTGACTTGAAAACAAATACAGGAATTGTAAAATAAATATTAGCCCAATTCTTTTTTAACATATTTTTTTACTATATTTATTTCCATATTTATACATTCGGTGAGGTGTCATTACGTTTATTAATTTAAAAATAGGAAAATAGATAAATACAAATAAAAACATGTATAATTGAAAGCCCCCAATATCAAATAAGTGTACAGTTAAATTTGGAAATAAATACATAAGTGTAGAAATTGAAAATTGTTTTTAAATGATCCAATTATCTTTTATATATGAATGAATTAATTATCATATTAAGTTATTTTCTAGTTTATTTTTTTGTTTACCTATTAATGTATATATTTGGGCTTATGTGGTAGATTAGCAATGATATTTAAAACAAAGTCAGTGTGTTTGCTTTAGCCGAACATCCTAAAAACGGGGTTACAACGGAGCTGATCCAGATTTGCGTCTGATATGACGTAATATCTGAAATGTGGACCCACGGCCCTATCAGAAACGTTGCTATCAGAAACAATGCCCGACTGTTTTGGACGTAATATGGTCGGTGTTTACATTAGCATCGCTAACACTCAGAGCTAACCTGTACTGGAGAGCATGTGTGTGAAGAAGCAGGAAATAAAAAGGAACTCACCTTGTGGTATAACCGGCAAGAGAGAAAGCCTTTGAGCTCCATACTGTTTCAGAGATAATCCTTGATAATCCATGATATGGCGTTTCATCACCGCAGTATTTAGTTTAGACAGTAGCTGCCGGGTCCCGCATGAGCTCAGACCCCTCCCTTTTTCTTTTTTTTTTAAAGCTTTATACCCCAAATCAGCACTTTTGAAACAGGAAGTGAAATAGAGGGATATGAGGCATGGCTAGAATGGGTGATCTGTTTGGTATTTTGAGCAAAACACTTCATAGACATGTTTTTTATATATTTGTATATATCTGAGACCTATGCTATTGCCTAAAAATAGCATGATAGGTGCACTTTAGATCCTTATAGACACCCTAATAAATTAAATAAATGTCTTCCTGCTCCAGCACAAGCCCCTCCCTCTTTCCTCCTCTCTTTTCTGTATTAATGCAGCTTCTGTGTTCATAGTTTAGCTTCTCTTGTTCCCCCTGCAGGAGCCCGTGTGATCATGGCCTGCAGAGACATAGATAAAGGGGAGGAGTCAGCAGACAGCATCAGAGCATCATGTGCTCACGCTCAGGTGGAGGTGCGGCAGCTCGACCTCGCCGACACCTGCTCCATACGGGCCTTCGCTCAGAAGTTCCTCGCAGGTGAGCAGAGTCACATCTACATACAGTCATACAGAGTGACGTCGTGACGTCTACAACATACAGAGTGACGTCGACATACCGAGTGACGTCTACATACAGAGTCACGTCAACATACAGAGTCACGTCTACATACAGAGTCACGTCAACATACAGAGTGACACGTCTATGGAGAATTACATGAACTACATGTTGCTAAATACACCACGGGGCATGAACAGAAGGGTAGCCATGGCAACATTGCGGCGGGGGCTGCTGGGCTGCTCTTCTTCGCTACTTTTGGTGTATTTTGGCGGAAGTTACAGCGCCACTTACAGTCCCGGCATATGTACTACAGCGTTTCCAGCGGTCTCGTTTGAACAGACACGTTAAATGAAACGAATGCATGTGAACGGAAGACTTTTTTGAATACGCATACTGTGCATAAACGCAAACGTTCCCGTGTGAGCGGGGCCTAAGCTCCAGCAGAACAATAGCAGGGATGTCTGGGCTGGGATGAAGGCTATCACTGGCTTCAAAGGGAGAGACAGACTGACTGTGGGCACCCTGGAGAGGGCCAACGAGCTGAACACCTTCTTCAATAGGTTTAGCTCTCCGCCCGCTGCCGTCTCCTCCACCTCCACTTCTCACCTCACCTCCTCCTCTCAGCCTGGCGTCAACATCCCCCCTCTGCTCACCACCTACACTTCACACCTCTCCTCCACCACCCAGCATGGCTTCTGCACCCCCCCTCTGCTCACATTGCCGCTGACCCCCCCCCCCCCCCTCTGCTCATCTTGCCTCAGACCCCCCCCCCCCCCCCCCTCCCTCTATCCCCCCTGCCATCAAGCCCCCCCCCCCCCGCTTCACTGTTACCCCTTTCACACCAACGCAACTCCGGTTCAAGCTCCGTGCTAGAGCTTTTCAGGTTCGGAACCGGTACTTCGGTTTAGCTCCGTCTCTTTTCACACCGCTCAGAGACCGACTGGTGCTGCCGCTGCTGCGTCATGACGTCACAGTTTACGTCGCTGATTTTCTCCCCAACGGAGCTCACCTCACAACAACAACGGGCCGGGGATTGCGTTGCTTTTAATCATACGAAGCCAGATTAAATTAAATAACGACTTCTCCAACCTTATACTTTTCTCCAGAGTGCCGTGGTTCATTGTTTATTAATGTGTTTCAGCGGCATTTACCGACCGCTGCAGTGCTGGCCGGCTGCTCTTCAACGGGAGTGTATTCTCCCGTTAGCTCCGGGTTAGCTCACACGGCTCTAAAGTATTCACTGTCTGACTGTCACACAAGCAGCTGATACATATCCCCAGTTCCCCTTAAGTGAATGTGTGTCAGTCTGAATTGACGCTGTTTGGCATCACAACGCTGTTATGAAAGTTTCTCTGGTATAACATGGGTGATGTTAGCATAGCAACCGAAGCTAAACTGACTACTTGCTAAGCCGTTTTCTACAGGCACTTTTTACCGACGTATTTTTCATTATGATTCTACTTCTGATAGTCGGACATGACAACCTGTGTAGCCCATGTATTGATTCCATCCGATAGCTGCTATAATAACAAACAAAACGTCTGCCTGCTCTCCACAATGACCAATAACAGCGAACGGATGGTCAAAGTAAGGTACAAATAAACAGAATCACACGAAGCCTGGTTAGTGTTGCCTGACTTTATAAAGCGTGTTTTTTTTTAACAAGTGTGTGGATGCGTTCTAGTCACTTTGCGCAGCACTACTGCTGGTTACAACTTTTATTTGCCGTACTCGCCTTAACTGTTAGCTCAGGTTAATCTCGCCCCCCTCCGACGTAAGCGTGACGTATGCGGTTCTTGCTTCTAGACGGACAACTTTTTGGTGCTCGAAACGAACCGGATTCCGGAGCTTAGAGGCTGCTCCGCTGCGGTGTGAACAGGAAAACCCGGTGCTTTTCAAGCACCAGCACTGAACCGGCCCCGAAACACCGTTGGTGTGAATGGGGTATGTGAGCACAGGACAGGTCCAGAGTCAGATGGAAAAACTCCACCAAGGCAAGGCTGCTGGCCCTGATGGTATCAGCCCCAGGGTCCTGAGGACCTGTGCCCGCCAGCTGGCTCCTGTTCTCCAGTATCTCTTCAACCTGAGCCTGCACCTGGAGACCATCCCGGTGCTGTGGAAGACATCCTGCGTTGTTCCGGTCCCTAAAAAGACAACTCCTTCTGGGCTCAATGACTATCGCCCTGTAGCACTCACATCTCATGTGATGAAGGTGCTTGAGAGACTGGTCTTGGCCCATCTCAGACCGCAGGTGAGATCATTCCTTGACCCTCTGCAATTTGCCTACCAGCCTCACCTGGGGGTGGACGATGCCATTATTTACCTGCTGCAGCGTGCTCACTCATACCTGAATGGATCGGGTTGCACTGTGAGAATCACCTTTTTTGATTTCTCCAGTGCATTCAACACGATCCAGCCTCGGCTACTGAGTGACAAGCTGCAGGCTATGAGGGTAAACTCGTCCACCTGGATTACCAGCTACCTCACGGACAGACCACAGTACGTCCGGCTGGGCAGTGTGCTGTCTGATGTGGTGGTTGGTAGTATTGGAGCTCCACAGGGGACTGTGCTGTCTCCTTTCCTGTTCACCTTATACACCTCTGACTTTCTATACAACTCAGAGTCATGCCACCTGCAGAAGTTTTCGGATGACTCTGCAGTGGTAGGGTGTATAAGGGATGGACGGGAGGAGGAGTACAGAGCGCTGGTGGGTGATTTTGTTGAGTGGACTGGAAGAAATCATCTGCTTCTGAATGTGGCCAAGACCAGAGAGATGGTCATTGATTTCAGGAGGAAGAGGACATCTCCTCCTCTGCCCCTGTGCATTCTGGGAGAGGATGTGGCAGTTGTGGAGGTCTACAAGTACCTGGGAGTGCACTTAGACAATGGGCTGAACTGGAGGATCAACACTGACGCTGTGTACAAGAAGGGGATGAGCCGACTCTATTTTCTGAGGAAGCTGAGATCCTTCAACGTATGCAGTAAGATGCTGGAGATCTTCTATCAGTCTGTGGTGGCTAGTGCACTCTTCTTTGCTGCGGTCTGCTGGGGGGGCAGCATCAGAGCCAGTGACACCAGCAGGATCAATAAACTGATCAGGAAAGCTGGGTCAGTCATCGGCATCAAGCTGGACCCCTTTGAAGCTGTGGTGGAGAGGAGGACACTGAACAGGCTGTTGTCCATCATGGATAACCCCACCCATCCTCTCCACCAGCAGCTGGACAGTCAGCGGAGCTCCTTCTCCAACAGACTGCTGCAGCTCCCCTGTCACAAGGACAGATACTGGAAAACATTCCTGCCCACTGCAATAACTCTGTACAACAAATCACCTCTGGCTGGAAGAGAACTCTCTGCTCCATAGTTTCTCTAGAAATAAAACCACGTTGTACATTTTACTCATACATAATCTGTTTCATATTTAATACTCCATAATTCCATATATTTTGAATATATATATATATATATATATATATATATATATATAATATCTGCATGTATATTTTCTATTTCGACATGTATATTTTATATTTTATATTTTATATTTTATTTTATTTTATTTCTATTCTTGTATATTTTGTTTTATTGTAAAATGCCTTTTATGCTGCTGTAACAAGAACAATTTCCCAATTTGGGATCAATAAAGTACTATCTATCTATCTATCTATCTATCTAAGTCTACATACAGAGTGACGTCAACACACAGAGTGACATCTACATACAGAGTGACGTATACAACATACAGAGTGACGTCAACACACAGAGTGACGTCTACAACATACAGTGACGTCAACACACAGAGTGACGTCTACACACAGAGTGACGTCTACACACAGAGTGACGTATACAACATACAGAGTGACGTCAACATACAGAGTGACGTCAACATACAGAGTGACGTCTACAACATACAGTGACGTCAACATACAGAGTGACGTCTACAACATACAGAGTGACGTCAACACACAGAGTGACGTCTACATACAGAGTGACGTCTACATACAGAGCGCCGCTTTGTTTTTATTTTATCACCTGTTTAATGTATGTGATGTTCTCTTCTGCAGAGGTCAACCAGCTCCATATCCTCATCAACAACGCGGGGGTGATGATGTGCCCGTACACAAAGACCATCGATGGCTTCGAGATGCACATCGGAGTCAATCATTTAGGTGAGAAATTAAATGTAACCTCTGTGTTTCAATTTTAAAAAGGTTTCTCTGATTTCCCAAGCGGAAAAATATGAAAAAACTGGCATAAATATATTATTTATTAATATTATTTTCCACTAACATTTACTTAACCAACTTTAGTCCCAAACACAACAACCAAATATTAATCTTCAGAATTTTTACCGTTAAAATGGCAATTTGTTCACATTGTGCCACTGTTTTTTATGAAATAAATGGAATAGTTTTCTCTATAATTAAGGAATGTGAAAGTTCATTTGAAAGTAAATAAATATGCACAGAAATAGAAAATGTAAAAATCCATATATTTATTTGACAATAACGTATTTTTATTTATTTTCCAATGTATACTTTAATTTATTTAAGTTTTTTATTTCCGTATTATTTTATATATTTTTTCACTATTCATATCCTCATTAATTTAATTAGCATGCACATTTATTTAATGATGATGGCATTTAATTATGTATTAAAATGGCAGCTTTAGTCTTCCATAAAAGTTAATCAACTATCCATTTATATGGGTAAGTGTAGAATATACAACTTTAACAATTAAAAGTCATTTTTCACTTTAGTTCTTGATCAACAGCATCCCTTACTTACCTAGAATAATAATAATAAATAAATTCAATGTATCAAGAGAATTTGACGGTTAGAGTCTTGTATTTACTGTGATGTTATTAAAGTGTGGCGGCTCAATCCCAAATTACGTTTGAGTCGCCGAGAGGCTAAACTTGGCTATAAACTGTGACGCGTTTTCGAAGACAAAGTCCATATTGAAGCAATATAGTTTTAAGGATATTTAATAAACAAAATCATAACATAGTAACTATGGACAAAACGGTCAACAGCACAAGCTCACCCTCTGTCATCCGCACTCGACATCAAACAGGTGACTTATATAACCAAACCACACCCATGTGACAATTACCGGAAGTGCTCAACAAACAAATAAAAGTGACGTAAACAAATAATAATAATACAAATAATGAACTTGAGCTAAGTAGCGTTATGGCACCTACATAAAGTGTGTGTGTGTTACCTGTGTCAGGGCACTTCCTGTTGGCCTCGCTGCTGATTGGTCTGCTGAAGCGCAGCGCTCCCGCTCGGATCGTGGTCGTCTCTTCTCTCGCTCACAACTTCGGCTGGATCCGTTTCCACGACCTTCACAGCCAAGGCAGCTACAACAGCGGGTTAGCATACTGCCAGAGCAAACTGGCTAACGTGCTGTTCGCCAGAGAGCTGTCACGCAGACTCAAAGGTACACACACACAGACACCTTTATAATTTGTTTATATTAAAGGTCACCAATTATGCAAAATCCACTTCTTCATGTCTCTTCTACATCAACATGTGTCCCCTCTTCTTCATGTCTCTTCTACATCAACATGTGTCCCCTCTTCTTCATGTCTCTTCTACATCAACATGTGTCCCCTCTTCTTCATGTCTCTTCTACATCAACATGTGTCCCCTCTTCTTCATGTCTCTTCTACATCAACATGTGTCCCCTCTTCTTCATGTCTCTTCTACATCAACATGTGTCCCCTCTTCTTCATGTCTCTTCTACATCAACATGTGTCCCCTCTGTGTAAAGAGATTCTGAAAGTTTCAGGAACAAAGATTCTCTCTCTTTTTGTCCTGATCCATTTATATAAAAACCTGTCTGAAAATGAGCTGATCAGATTTTGGCCACTTTATGATGTCATAACGATGTTTTGTCTTGTGTAACCATTAGCCAATCACCAACCAAGGTAACCCCCCCCTACCTTATCACCTGCATCTCCTCCTAGAGCACCATTGTGTTCTTTTTAACCAAATATCTCTCAGAGGCGCGTGGGGAGGGGCTCCTTATTTTCATCTAAAGTAACAGACAGAGAATCAGTACTTTTGAAACAGGGCTGAAACAGAGGGGGTTATGGGATGCTGCAATGATCTGCTTGGTGTTTGGAGCCAAACACTTCAGAGACATGTTTTGTATATATCTGAGACCTATAACATATTGATGAAAAACAGTATAATAGGGGACCTTTAACAAACACACAACACATGGACAAAGAGGCGAATCTGCTTCGGCAAACTAAGTCATAACAGTGATGACTGTTGTTTAGAGAGAGACCCACAACTTGTTGTTTGTGTTTTTCTTCCTCCCAGATACCAATGTGACGGTGAACTCAGTGCACCCGGGCACGGTGAACTCTGACCTGACCCGGCACTCGACCCTCATGACGATATTCTTCTCCGTCTTCTCCACGTTCCTCAAGACGCCGCGGGAAGGAGCGCAGACGAGCATCTACTGCGCCATCGCCGACGAGCTGCACTCCATCTCTGGGAAACACTTCAGGTACACACAGTTCTCAATCACTAACGGTTATACAACATGGGGTCTTGGGACAGTTCCTCTCACCATGTTCAAATCACAAATCAAAACTCATCTTTTCAGAACTTCAGAATAACGTTGTGATTTACACATTACATTACATTTAGCTGACGCTTTTATCCAAAGCGACTTACAATTACATTACATTCTCCCTGGAGTAACTAAGGGCTACGTGCCTTACTCAAGGGCACACTAGTGGTGGTGTTCCTGGGATTTGAACTCACAACCTTCCGATCTCCAGCCCACCTCACTATCCATCAGACCACCACTACACATTTTAAGTGTGTCGTTTTTCTGTTTCCAACTCTGTGAAGTATCAATGAGTTTCTTTAAAAATGTCTATAGATTAAGTGTATCATTAGAATTAAATAAAATGAAATAAGTAAAAATGAATAAAATGTTTTATGACATATAAAGTTAAAGTAAGAATGGGCAATACAAAATTAAATAAATAAATAAATAAGTTTACAGCTGCAATGAGGCATTACATTGTGCGACAAGCGTGTTCCTGTAGAAGCCGTGGGGTAACCTCATCTGAACTTATCTATTAATATTTTATGTCCCAGTTTCTAAATACCCATCAAGCTTAACCACAGAAAAGCTTCCTGCTTCAAACGTTTTTAATCTTTAATGACATCACTGCTTGAACATGGTTTTGCCATTAGACAGTTTGTATATCTGATCTCAACCAGGCCAAGCCTCGGGCTGTGTTTACAGCAAGTACAAATAAATAAAAATATGGCATATAGAGCATTGCATCACTTATAGATATACTTTATTTTTTATTTTATTTTTATCAGCTGGTTTAACTTGTGACCGTGCTGTAGTTCCTTTATAGCCCAACATTAGCCTCCTTTAGCTTAGCGGTGGTGACGTGAAGTCATGTGACCGTGCTGTAGTTCCTTTATAGCCCAACATTAGCCGCCTTTAGCTTAGCGGTGGTGACGTGAAGTCATGTGACCGTGCTGTCGTTCCTTTATAGCCCAAGATTAGCCACCTTTAGCTTAGCGGTGGTTACGTGAAGTCATGTGACCGTGCTGTAGTTCCTTTATAGCCCAACATTAGCCGCCTTTAGCTTAGCGGTGGTTACGTGAAGTCATGTGACCGTGCTGTAGTTCCTTTATAGCCCAACATTAGCAATCTTTAGCTTAGCGGTGGTGACGTGAAGTCATGTGACCGTGCTGTAGTTCCTTTATAGCCCAACATTAGCCGCCTTTAGCTTAGCGGTGGTGACGTGAAGTCATGTGACCGTGCTGTAGTTCCTTTATAGCCAAACATTAGCCACCTTTAGCTTAGCGGTGGTGACGTGAAGTCATGTGACCGTGCTGTAGTTCCTTTAGAGCCTGACGTGAGCTTTTTACTTCAGAAATCATAAAGTGGTGTTAATATGTGGAGATTATCCCGCTGAACAAAACATGTAAATATCATAAACGTTTGTTAGAGAGATTATTTTCAGCAAAAATCCAAAATGCAATGGAAAAATTACATTGGGTTTTTGCCGAGGGAGATGCTGCCTTCAGGGTCAACTACAGAATGATGTAATCCCTGCACCACTTTATTACGTAATAACTCTCTCCTCTCTTTACAGTGACTGCGCCCCTGCCTTCGTGGCCCCTCAGGGCAGAAGTGAGGAGACGTCGAGGAGGCTGTGGGACGTCAGCTGCGAACAGCTCGGTATCCAGTGGGACTGACTCAACCTTTAACCTCCATCTTTCTCAAAGGAGTCCTTACATCTTTCTTTAATCCTTCATTTCATTATGGTTTCGATGTTCCGTACTTTGAAGCGTTTCCTACCTAAAAGCAGTCAGGTAATACTGTCAGAGGTACTATAATGTGAAGTTGCTTTTTTGTGAAATAATGCAGTAATTACATTATAATAACTTGAGTATTTTTGGTGCTGCTCCTCAAACCAAAAACCTCTCAACCGTATTGTAATGTAACCACAGATAACTTTTTGACTCTATATTTTTGTGACACAATGTGAATACAGTGTAGGCAAAAAAGCAACTTGATGTATTGTAATGCTGTAGGATACTGTGAAGGGTCAAGCCAGGGTAAATGACCAGCATCTTTATCAAATATTGTGTTTCATTTACCTGTCTTTCTCCAGAATTTGCAGCTATATTGCTTGACTTTTGTGCCAGCCTTTCTAAACAATTGCAGGGGTTCTTACAGTATTTCTAGGTTGATAAGAAATAAGTTAAATATCGAGGATCAGTGTCAGCTTGAGACATGATTACCGCTTGAATTGCATACATGTATTTTGTGATAATGTAGTTGATGTAGGATATAAGAAGGTTTTTCTATTTTAACCAAAATCAGAGTTAGAATCGTGTCGTTGCAATATCTGCAGAGAACTTTTCCCATTTGCCAAAAAACTGCACTTTCTCGGAGGAACTACAGTTTTCCATTTTTAAGGATCTCCCCCCTCGTCATGTTTCCTTCTCAGCATTCACAAGCAAGGTTGCCAAGAGTTTACATTCTGTGTTTTATACGAGTCAAACATGCCTTTTACTACACGAACATTCATGTTAAGAGTTGAATGTTTACATTTGATGTAAATAAACGGAGATATTACTATAAGGGTGCTCGTATTGGTCTGGATTAATACACAACAACAATGGAGATATGGGTCACTTTAAAGGTCCCATGTCATGCTTTTCCGGTTATTACCCGTCCCCTTGTGTGTTATGAAGGTTTGTAAACGGTCTGCAAAGTCACAAACCCTTAAAGTACACCCTGTAGCGAGTAAAACTCTAACACAGAAAAGACCTGCCCCAGAACGCCTCGTTGGAGATTTCTCTTTTTCTTCCTGGGTACAGTGACGTGCCCATACCCAAATGGACCAATCCGTGGAGCCGTTACGTTACGTCCGCGTAGCCGTTACGTTACGTCCGCGTAGCCGTTACGTTAAGTCCGTGGATTGGTCCAAATTGACCAATCCACGGACTTCCTCACACACACTCAATCTTTTCTCAGCTGCAGCTCCACTGATTTCTCCTCCCTGAGACGGCAGGACGCGGCGAGGCTGTGAGTCGGTGTGTGAGCACACACACAAACTCCCAGCCAGGCTGCGGGTGTGTGTGTGTGTTCGGGCTGGGTTTTGCTGTGTCTCGCTGTGTCTCGCAGACGGCCACTGGGCTCACAGGGAGGCGGGGGGCAGGAGCTCCAACAAGCTGTTTAGGACAGAGAGTGAATACACATACTATACAGAGATGCTGTATGAGAAACCAATGCGAGTTTGGAACATTGCACAATATAAATGTATTTTAGTAGACCTCAACAATGGAATTATGATCAGTAGAAATGGCCATGACATGGGACCTTTATGAGCTGTGAAAGGTTAGATAAAGTTGAATCACTGCACAGAAAAAAAGGAGTTACATTTGATCAGTGCATGTGGAAGGAATTGTTTGACAATTTAGGAAATATGCTTATTTATTTATTGCAGAAAGAACAGGGCAAATTAGATTTAAGATTTGTTTTAATGCCACTCTGTATAAAATGTAAGACCAATATTACATGGAAATGATTCACTATCATCTGTGAGACTTAACGTGAGAGGCATTCAGTTAATTATGAAAATAAAATGTGTTAGCAAATATGGCTAAATCTGGCACATTTACATGATGGACTAAAGTGCTCATGTTAATTAATGTGCATTGTCCCTTCATAAAAATGCAAATCGTAAAAAAAAAAATACAATTATACTTTCTATGACCTTTAGGACTTTTTAAAAGATGATTTAAGACATTTTAATATAAAAAAATACCCTTTTATGTATTACATTACAGCATTTTAAGACTTCCACGGGAAAACTTTATAATATTTATACCGCTTTTATGTCTGTATCTAAACCTAAAGCTACTAGCTGGCTAACGCTGGTTAGCATAAAGTCGAACAACGGGATAACTGTTTCCTATTTCTTGTGCTTTTAGCGGTCATTGCTATGTTCCCGGTGTCCTTTGTTACTTGATGTAAATTGAAATTGTAAAACATTGATAAGGGCTATCGTCACAGTTGAAATTGTGAAATAAAACGGAGAGAAGTGGACATTTTAAATGCAGTTTCAATGGTTAAAATATGCTAAGCTACTGCAGGGATATCAATGTGTTTAGAAAAACGTATAAAAAACGATCTTACCTGCAAATTGAAGGCGTAGATTTCAAGGTGTAAAACATCAGAAACATACATAAAACCCTGAGAAAGTCTGTTAAATGACTCGTATTAAGATGATATTAAGCTGGCTGCTAGCTTGAGCTTCATACTGTACAAACAGTGGTATCCTTTTTTTCACCTAGCTAACTAAAGAATGGCAGGTAAGTAAATAAGTGTATCCCAAAAGGTTAAACTTTCCCATTGCTTTTAAGAAACTATCCACAAATATTCCACATTTTTGTAAATGTTTATTATCATCTTCACAACATGTTATTTTACAGGGGATGAAGAAATCAATTACATTTCAAAATCATTTGTACCTGCATCGTCAAAGCAGTAACTGAATTAGATGTATTTATTTTTTTACCAAAAGAAGTGTATTTACTAAGTTTAAAGTGCGGCAGTGATCAAACAACAGTCAGGAGGATTAGAGTGCAAGAACGTCTTCATTAATCTCTTTCCGTTTGATAGTCTGTCAGCTCATCCTATTATGAACCCCCGAAATGTTGAGTACCCCAATGTTTTATGTTATAAATGTACAGTAGGTGTCCCCAGCACATAGAAACTGCCGGATACTAACTTGCATATGTTGGGCAATTCGTATAAATTGCGTTAATTAGCATATGCAGACAATAGCTATAGGATGGCTTTGCCGATTTGGACACATAGTTTTGGAGAGTAGGCTATTGAGGAAGTTGGAATTTATTTTTGAAATTTTAACCAGAAAGTGTACTCCTGTTGGGCTGATTTTGAGTCGATTTAAAGTTTTCCGGGACTCAAAACTACAATTTTTGATAGATTCAACATCCTCAATAACTTCAGCAACCACACAAAAACTGTCCAAATCGGCAAGCCATTTTTTTGCTATCGTCTGCATATACTATTTATGGAACTTATGCTTATTGTGACATTTTCAAGTTGGCATGCTTGCACTGGACCCGTACTATACATTTCTAACATAAAACTTTGGGGTACTCAAAATGTCCGGGTTCACTAGGCTGGCAACGAGACTACAACATTTACTGTCACAGGAACATCCGTCAGTCTAGTGCAGCAGAGGGAAGCGACACATTATCTTCATCAAAATAAAGAAGACCTTGATTATATCATCAGAAATGAATCTTGCATCCATGAAAAGGCAGTTTCTGCAACATGGTGATTGTTGTGTAAATAAGATCAAAACACGGTTACCTTTTGCACTGCCAGGGTGAGAACACAACATCAAACAGCAAAATAAACCATATGGCAAAAGTTGAATCCCTTTTTTTTTTTTAAAAACCTCATTGACTATGTAAGTTAATCATTGTGGATTTATAGAGTTTAGGCATTATAACAAAGTGTAAAGCATGATTTAAAATTAGGCACACTCTTACCAAAACAGGTTCACACAAGATGAGAAATCAAAACCATATAATGAGAAATCAATTTGATTGACAACATGATCTTGAAGTGGGTCCCTTTCTATATTCAAGCCTTGTAATTGATTAACAACATCTCAAACATACTTATTTTTATTTTTTTTAAATATGAATTCCCCTTACCAAAAGGGAATAATCGCTGAAAGCTGGCCATTAAATGTGCAATATAACATCAGGTAAAACAGTAAACATCTTCATGGGGATTAACAAAAACACAGTACAACATTTGTTCAGTTTCGTGTACCGTTCTTGGCGGACGACATCTCATTGCGGAGTAAATTCACACACATAGAAACGATAAAGACATACAAATTAAACAAAAACAAAAGTCAGAAAACACATTTCGTCAGAGGCCTTCCAGTCAGTTAAAGATATTTTCCCTTTTTGCTGAGGTAGGAGATGAATCTTCGCCCAATACTGAGTCGTAGATATGTTCATGTGTAAGAATCTGTTAGTTGTCGTAACCTTGTTCCCTCTCAAACAGAGTGAAGATGAGAGATACAAGCAAGTAAAGCACGGTGGTGATTGGACAGTTTCAGGGCTGCACAGAGGAAGTGATCATCAGGGTTTTCTAGATGTTTCTACTCAAAGACAAACTCAACTCCAGGCTGGAAATCAGATTGTGTTTCACCTGAGACCACGCCTAGTTTCACAGTGATCCACAATTTAAAAGGGACAGTACACCTTTCAAATAAAAACCTGTGGTGCTTTTTATCAATGTAGATAGTTTTGGTGGAACATCTTAGAAAAATACATCGATGTTGTCTTTCTCAAATGTATTTTTCTATTGTTAAAAATGCCATCTAGTTCTATTATATTGAAATCTCTACGTCGGATACCCAAGTACCTTGAATACCCTAAAAAACTAATTGGAAACCTCCAGAGTGATGTCAAGAAATCATGACCCGGTTACAAAAACAATCCATGTTTTCACGCATGTGGTGATATGGTTTTCAGGTGTTGAAATAAAATAGTTCCTACATGAAATTTAGATTAATATAAAGCACTTCAGGCAAGAGAAAGGATTGTGCATTTCTTATTTTGGTGTGAACTGTCCCTTTAAACTTTTGCAGGTTCAAGTCAAATTTGAGCTCGACACCAAATCTAGTTTAGGTCATCAGTTCACATCGTTGACTTGAATGGCCTTAAATGTGCTATATATAAATGATTACAGTACCAAAAAGTAACATGTGCAACAGCTGCTCTACTGTTACATAAAACCTGCAGTCGTTTCTATCTGAAAGCGTGTTTCTATAACCGTTTTACCCTGGATCCTCTCTTCAGTTTTTAAGTGCTGTTCTGTGAGATCCCTTGTGAATCGTGCTCTACCTGGGGCTGGGTCGGGCCTGGCGCTGCTGAGCAGACTTGCTGTGGTGCTCAGAGAGCCACTGGCTGCAGATGTTCTGCATCACAGAGTCCTGCACTCCCTCTGCTGCCTGCAGGACGTCCTGCACCAGAGGACCGGCGCGACCCGCCTCCAGCTTCACCGCCAGCAGGTACGCCGGGCGCAGCTTGCCGCACAGCAGGTAGGCTTTGATCTGTGATGAGAATGAAAGAAGCATCAATTATTTGTCTTTATTACAACTTTCTGAGCTTATCGGATCATCATAGCATGCACACAATGTACAACAATATCTGTTTCTTTTTGTATTATTTGGCAGACGCTTTTATCCAAAACGACTTACAATAATAATCATGTAGGTACAAAGTGCTAGCATCTTAGCTTCAACTAAGCCAATCCGTTCTAAGTGCTAGTCCATTATTACAATATGTTTCATTGGAGATTTCATTGGTCGAGATGCAGTCGAAAAATGTGTGTTTTCAGTCTGCGACGGAAGATGTATAGACTTTCTGCTGACCGGATGTCGATGGGGAGCTCATTCCACCATTTAGGAGCCAGAACAGCAGACAGTCGTGTTTTTGTCGAGGTGTAGCCGGGTCCATTTTCCATTCCATTTCTATGTAAATACTGTTATATTTGACTATATTCTTTTATTATTTAAAATCTTTTTCTAGTTCTCTATCTGTGTTTTTAATTTAACTTTTATATATGCACCACGACATCAAGTCAAATTCCTCGTACGTGTCAACCTACCTGGTGATAAACATGATTCTGATTGGATCACTGATTTCAGGAGTGAATTTGGCTGGACTAGTCTTTCTAAGGTGTCTACTATTTTCTTCCACTATTGTTATTTAAATGTTTGTCTTCAGTATATTCTATGCTGCATTGTTGAAGGAGCCTGGGACTGGCATAGTAACGCTGTAAATATTGTTTGCCCTTTTCCTATTTTCTTTGCTCTCTTCAAAGCCACACGACTCCATTGACAAAAACAGTCATTTTACCTGAGCCGAATATGAGAGTTAGTGGTCAACACTGCCTCATATGGTTAGTTTGTTTGTGTGTCTCTGGTGTTTTAAAGTCAGTTTGGGTTCACCAAAGTCATACAATGACACTAAAAAAAACTAACCAAGCAGTAGACCAGAAACTCCTGTGTTCTGCAGGGTAAAAGGATTGTTTTTGTCAATGGCAGGTGCTTATGTGTTTTCCATGACACTGATTATAGATAAGTACTTCATACTATCCTACTTGAAAACATCTTCACTACCCCTTATAGGATGACTTTCCCAACAACAATAGCCAAGCCTGAACCAAAGTGACCTGAGAACAGGGTAAACAATCTCTCTATATCTACATAGAACAGCCTTCAGGCAGGAAAAACACTGATAGAGACGAGAATAAAAAGATTGTCTCTACCTTGCTTTCTGTGCTCTTGGCCTCCAGAATGAGGCTTTCCAGATCCTTGGCCTGTATCAGATAAAGAAGGTCAACAAAAGTCTTCAGGACTAAACAGAAAAACACAGAGTCATGATTTGTTATCGTAGCTAAATGTTTTTCTCACATCTGCCGGGCTCTTATCTGCGATGGAGACGCAGCTGAGGATCAGGGCGTCGCAGTCGTTCTTGGTGGCGGTTCCCGACTCCCCGACACATTTCAGGAGCTGCCGCACGGCGCCGTACTGCCGCTGCCGGACGAGTCTCTGCCCGGCACGAACATACAGCGTCTGGGCCTCCAGCTGGAAGTCCTGAGGCAGGGAGAGGGAGAGAAAACAGTTTTGATATAAATCAGGGGTGTCCAAACTACGGCCAGGGGGCCAAATGCGGGCAGCGGACCATTTTGAATCGGCCCTCAATCAGCAAATTAAAAAAGTATAATGACTTAAAGGTGGAGTAGGTACGTTTGAGAAACCGGCTCGAGATCGCTAGAATTTGAAAATACACAACCGGAGAAAATCTGCCACTTCCTTACAGAGCCCCTCCTCCAACACACACGAACGCGCACATGACCAATGAGGGCACGAGATAAGTTTGTGCACGAGATGGAAGGCTGACCGGCAGGTAGGCCATCCAGTTATTTTAGCCGGGCCGGCTCAGATGATTGGTCGTACTTTTTACAGTATTACGGCTTCCACAGATGACATTTTTTTATGGATTTTTTGTCAAAGCATTTAAGATATTCATTGCTATCGGGATGTTAAGAGCATTCCATGGAATATAACAAAAAGTGTATCTCGAGCCGGTTTCTCAAACTTACCTACCCTACATTTAAGTGCTTTGACAAAAATCCATAAATAAATGTCATCTGTGGAAGCCGTAGCGCTGTAAAAAGCACGACCAATCACCTGAGCCGGCCCGGCTAAAATAACTGGATGGCCTACCTGCCTGTCAGCCTTCCATCTGTGCACAAACTTATCTCGTGCCCTCATTGGTCATGTGCGCGTTCGTGTGTGTTGGAGGAGGGGCTCTGTAAGGAAGTGGCAGATTTTTTCCGGCTGTGTATTTTCAAATTCTAGCGCCCTCGAGCTGGTTTCTCCAAAATTACCTACCCCACCTTTAAGTATAATAAGTCTTAAGCTGCCAACACAATACATGAAACCCTCTGGAGAGCTGTTATGTAGGCAGTTGTTTTCTTAAAGCATTTTCAAGTATCAAGAAGAATGAACCTGCATTGGATTGACTTTTCCAACTTATAACAGAACTTATGAGGCAACAAACCTCTAGTGAGTGGCCCAGCTCTTCGTATATTTTTCTGTATGTGGCCCTCGGTGAAAGAAGTTTGGACACCCCTGATATAAATAAAACAGCTTGAGGGAAGTTAGATTTAGAGAGACTTTCTGAATGCCACTTGAAATAAGATTTAAGACCAATTATCAAATACTAAGATGCAAAACAATGTAATAAGGGCTATGGTTTAGGGACAATTATTCTACTTATATTGTTATCTCCTTTAAAACACTAGAATCGAACATGATATGAGTTTTGTAGGTTCCACGTGAAGTTAATGTGAGTTTCTTTAATATTTAAAAACAATAGATGTTACATATGTAGGTAAAATACTGGGCACAGATCACCTCGTCCACAACGTACCTGTACGACTCTATAAGCGATACCAAAACCCTCCTCAATGTTTTTCCCTCCGAGCATCACCTGCAAGAAGACAAATGAAAAAGACACTTAACTTATTTTATCATAAATGATCAACAATATGTTCTTATATCTATAATATAATATATAAGGGATGCGTGTGGCGCAGTGGGTTAGTGCACTGATCTTCGAATCAGAGGATAGCAAGTTTGAGTCCCACTGCAGTCAGCATGTCGTTGTGTCCCTGAGACACTTCACCCCAAATTGCTCCTGTGGGGATTGCCCACAAATATATACAAGTAACATGTAATGTAATGCAAAGAAACAATGAACTATGCCTTATAATAATTGACAATAATTACACATAAGTATTAAATAAATCCAACTTACGACATATTCAATAATGTTATTAAGGGTACTATAAACAATTTTTTTAAAAAGCACATGACTGTTAAGCCTCAAAATACATAAATAAACATATGTGTAACTGATGTTTACACAACATTCATTTTGCTCAGCTCCAACACGACTTACATCAAGGGCATTCAAACATTTTGGGAGCATGTCCCCTTTAAAAAAAATACAATAAAAAACAGAGAAATATATATACATTTATTTTACCTCCTACAAAATTACGACAAATTGTATCCAGGGTTTTAACACATGAGGAAAGACATTTAAAAAACTGAAATGCATTGAAAATCATCAACGCATTTAAAACTCATTACTGTTATAATAATAAGATGACCCTCACCTTGCAGGCGACCTCCACCTTCACGGGGCTTCCTCCGAACAGGGTGGGGGGGGCGCTGGCTCCGGGGGATTTGGGGGAACATTTTGCCGTCTGAGGAGACTTCGGAGAGACGGCGCTCTCACAGCGGTGCAGGAAGCGAGTCACCTCCAGCTGCAGCTCGATGGTGTTCATATGCCTGCATGAATTAAGAGAAAAATAGTATATGGTAAATACTCACTCTAAATGTGAGAAACGTCAGGTAAAACAGGTCATTTATAAAGTGTCGTTTTTCTTACTGTAATTATTTTTTTACTCATTTTCAATTATTTGTACTCAATCCAATTGATCAACGTGTAAAGGAATAGTAAGGTAATGGATTATCTCGGATAATACAGTAGAAATGGCTGAGGGCTATGGGGCTTAACAGGTTAAAGAAGCAAACATGTAGGTTTATTTCCCTCACATTCATTAAAATAAGAATATATGTAAAGACCTGGAGACGTCACTGGAGGACATCATCTTCCTGAAGGAGTTGACCTGCGACCTCCTCTTCCCGCCCCCTCGGCCCTGCTGCTCCTGCAGGAACGTCCTCAGGTGCTCTTTGGCCCGGACCAGCCAGCTCTGCACAGGTGAACAGGTTAAGGTCAGGGGTCAGGGACTACTTTCTCTCAGATGTAAAGAAGGTTTTGTGAGAGGGATGTATACCTGGTTTTCTCCCAGCTGCAGGTAGGAAGTGGCTCCATGAGTGAAGAATCTGATACAAGTCATGGCTGCTCGCACGTGATCCTGCACGGGTACACAGCATGTCACACACAAACAGTATTATTTAATTATCTCAAAGAAAATGTTACAACAACAGCACAACACTGCTTTCCCATGCAAAATCATTAAAGGTAGGGTAGGTAAGAATGGAGAAACCAGCTCGAGTGCGCTAGAATTTGAAAATACACAACCGGAAAAAATCTGCCCCTTCCTTCAGACTTCCTTCCAGAGCCCCTCCTCCAACACACACGAACGCGCACATGACCAATGAGGGCACGAGATAAGTTTGTGCACAGATGGAAGGCTGACAGGCAGGTAGGCCATCCAGTTATTTTAGCCGGGCCGGCTCAGATGATTGGTCGTGCTTTTTACAGTACTACGGCTTCCACAGATGAAATTTTTTTATGTATTTATTGTCAAAGCATTTAATGTATTCATTGCTATCGGGATGTTAAGAGCATTCCATGGAATATAACAAAAAGTGTTTCTGAAGTGAGTTACCTACCCTACCTACAAATATAAACTTTTGTATTTCTATCTTTTTTTACATTTTTGGGCATGTTTTTAATAATACATTTTATATGAAAGGCGCCTTTCAAGGCTCTCAAGGTCCATTATATCAGAAGGTATGACATTGTGTGTGTGTGACAGTTCCTCTATCTTCAATTAAATAAGAAAAAAACATCTATATAAATATAAGAAGCTAAGTTAAAAAGGTGAGTGTGCAATATCGATAAAATAAAATAAATTAGAATAAAAAAAGTAAAAAATGAAATACAGTATTTAAGATTGACTGTATAGAGCAGTGGTTCCCAAACAGAGGGTCAGGACCCAACAAGGTTTATTTCCTGCAAAATATTGGCGTACAGAGAGGATGTCGAAAACCTGACATCTTGGTGCCAGGATAACAACCTCCATCTCAACGTCAGCAAAACAAAGGAGCTGATTGTGGATTACAGGAAGCAGCAGGGAGAGGGACACGCCCCCATCGCCATCAATGGGACTACGGTGGAGAGAGTCAGCAGCTTCAGGTTCCTCTGGGTCCACATCACTGAGGACCTGACATGGACTCTTCACACCACCACCATCACCAAGAAAGCTCGACAGCGGCTCTTCTTCCTCCGCAGGCTGAGGAGGTTCAACATGGACTCCAGGATACTCTGCAACTTCTACAGGTGCACCATAGAGAGGATCCTGACCTTCTACAGGTGCACCATAGAGAGCGTCCTGACCTTCTACAGGTGCACCATAGAGAGCATCCTGACCTTCTACAGGTGCACCATAGAGAGCATCCTGACCTTCTACAGGTGCACCATAGAGAGGATCCTGACCTTCTACAGGTGCACCATAGAGAGGATCCTGACCTTCTACAGGTGCACCACAGAGAGCATCCTGACCTTCTACAGGTGCACCACAGAGAGGATCCTGACCTTCTACAGGTGCACCATAGAGAGGATCCTGACCTTCTACAGGTGCACCATAGAGAGGATCCTGGACCTTCTACAGGTGCACCACAGAGAGCATCCTGACCTTCTACAGGTGCACCACAGAGAGGATCCTGACCTTCTACAGGTGCACCACAGAGAGGATCCTGACCTTCTACAGGTGCACCATAGAGAGTATCCTGACCTTCTACAGGTGCACCGTAGAGGGGATCCTGACCTTCTACAGGTGCACCATAGAGAGGATCCTGACCTTCTACAGGTGCACCACAGAGAGCATCCTGACCTTCTACAGGTGCACCACAGAGAGGATCCTGACCTTCTACAGGTGCACCATAGAGAGGATCCTGACCTTCTACAGGTGCACCATAGAGAGGATCCTGACCTTCTACAGGTGCACCACAGAGAGCATCCTGACCTTCTACAGGTGCACCACAGAGAGGATCCTGACCTTCTACAGGTGCACCATAGAGAGGATCCTGACCTTCTACAGGTGCACCATAGAGAGGATCCTGACCTTCTACAGGTGCACCACAGAGAGCATCCTGACCTTCTACAGGTGCACCACAGAGAGGATCCTGACCTTCTACAGGTGCACCACAGAGAGGATCCTGACCTTCTACAGGTGCACCACAGAGAGTATCCTGACCTTCTACAGGTGCACCGTAGAGGGGATCCTGACCTTCTACAGGTGCACCATAGAGAGGATCCTGACCTTCTACAGGTGCACCATAGAGAGGATCCTGACCTTCTACAGGTGCACCATAGAGAGTATCCTGACCTTCTACAGGTGCACCACAGAGAGGATCCTGACCTTCTACAGGTGCACCATAGAGGGGATCCTGACCTTCTACAGGTGCACCATAGAGAGGATCCTGACCTTCTACAGGTGCACCATAGAGGGGATCCTGACCTTCTACAGGTGCACCATAGAGAGGATCCTGACCTTCTACAGGTGCACCATAGAGGGGATCCTGACTGGCTATCTGTGTTATTGTGTTGCTCTGTTGGAGAAGCCTGTGATCTAAGATTTTCATCGGCATAACTACACTGTAGCTATGTTCGTATGACAAAATAAAGAACCTTGAAACCTTGAAACCTTGATAGTTTAACTCCTTTAGGAATCAGAACATGCTTTTTATTAAGGGTTCATAAGAAAAAAGGGTAATTTTACCTCGAATTTGTGGAAAATAAACGCTTTTCTAACATACCTTTAAAGGTAAATTAAGAATGTATAGGTAATAAAAGTATTGCTTTAACCAAAAGGCACAACAACCCATGTTTTCTAGGTGTAATAACTGTCAGGTTGCTTATGCACAGAGCATATGTAGCTTTCTTTTTGTATTTAAATCAAGCCACGGACCTCACCACTTTCTCTTTGTCCTTTTCAAATGATAAATAAAGGCTCTGACCGTCATGAACTGCTGCAGCTGGTAGAGGGTGTTGAAGTATCCTCTCCTCTGCAGGAACTGGCAGGAGGCGATGAGGTACCGGCTGCAGGTCTCCAGACCCGGGTCCAGTTTCTCCATGATGCTCTGCAGAGAGCCGAGCCGCCCTTTCTCCAGACTGGGCTGCAACACACCCTCCAGAAACACCTCATCCGGGCACTCCTGAGACGTAGGAAAAATAAAAACACATGTCAGACTTATAGCAGGTTAGACGAAGAAGGGGCAGTCCTATTCACACTTAATGCCCTGCTAATATCTGTTTTCTAAAAAGGGTCTGATCAACCTAGACAGCTTGTTTTTTTTGTATAAGTGTAACCGGTGTCGATAAGCGGTGTCTGCGTTGTGTTTAATGTTGCTGATGGATGAGACCCGAGCCAGCATACAGTCGAGGCGATCGCCGTTTATTCACTGACAATATACAACAAGTCAGTATTAAATGTGTTTTCCCTCATGATTGTGGGGGAAACTTCTGAAGCAATTGGAATCAGGACTCAGAGAGAGACACGAGGAGAGCTGGAGCTTTGATGGCAAGCACTGACGGTTTATTTGGAGCTTCGGCCGGAGAATTCACAAGACATGTCACGGGTCACGAGTTGACCACACGGTTGAGATGCCACAATCAATTCTGAAGACCCCTCCTGTAGCTCCAGGTTTTAACTAGTTCAGAGTGTAATAATCAACATTCTTCAATAGATAGACTAAACAGCTGAGGGACACTGAATCACATTTGTTGTCACTTATGGCTCGAGGTCATCTACACCCCGAGAAGGATGTGTTCCAGGTGTCCCACAACAATAACTATTTCTGACCGACAGTTGCCCGGTCATAAACTGGCAACATCAACAATATGCTAGGACAGCCCCTCCTTAAGGGGAGATAACGGCTGCTCAAGGTTGGTCAGCTGCATCAGAGGGCGAAGGAGGACATGCAGGGCAAATTATTCCCCAACAATGATGACTTCTCTCACGTGGAACATTTACAAAAAGGGAAGAAGCAAACGTGAGGGACACAATATGAAGGGGGGGGAAGTCCCCACAGAAATAATCTCCTGAGTACAGTGACTACATTCTGGAGGTTCCGCCCACTGATTCTAGACCTAGTCAGGTATTGAACGTTTAATAAATAAAGAACACAGAATTATTCAATACAAAACACCACTGCGTATTTACAACTGTTACATAAACAGCGTACAAAAACATACTTTTATTAAATGTTATTCTAAACAGAAATCCTGTTCACTGCACAGAGTTTAGGGAACATGACATCCTGCCAAATTTGAGATCTTAGCAACAGCTCATTGTCAAAGAATATCTGAATCTGGGTCAGATGATTCCAGACAAATTAAAGCACAAAGTAACATTTTGAATTTCAGACGCACACCTGGTGCCATTTGTTCATGCATCTGACATTCAAATGAAATGATCACTTTAAAAAGGTGCTTTGCCTTAAGAGGACTATAATGTTGACATCCAAAAATCTCCATAAAATTACACATTTGCATAATTTACCATTCTTACCGACTCATTTTCTGAAAAACAACTTCAGTCCTGATCATCTCTAACAAAAATGTAAATATTCTACCTTTTAAAAGCTATTTTTTCAACCTAATTCTAGTGTTATTCTTACGGCCCGTCCACACGGCGGCGTGCGTTGACGCTTCTGCCCATTCACTTTGAATGGGGTGACGTCACGCTTTGCCGAACTGCATTGTGGTTCCGTCGCTTCGCGTTGCTCGCTTCAAAAGTAGAGCAATGTTCTACTTTTGAAGCTTCAACGGAAGCGTCAGCCAATCAAATCATATGCCAGTACAAGCTCTAGCCAACCAAACCGCGTGCTTGTGTGTCCGGGGCGGGAGATTCATGTGATTGGTTGTTGGTCGAGTGTATACGGACACGCCCACCGGCAAGCTTCAACGCACGCTGCCGTGTGGACGCTGCGTAATATAAGCAAATCTTTAATAGCTAAATATATATTATAATGCATGATTTTATGCTGTTTTTAATTAGATGTATTCCTTTAGGGTCTTAGTGTCTGTATTTTGTCTAAACACTTTATCATAAACTTACTTTAGAAGGTTTCAAAATCTAGAAAAAAAAAAATTAACTACGCTTTACAAACACGGCCAAAATGATTAAAACATTTCTAATTAAATAGCCAGACTTGTCCCTAGCGATGCACAAGGGTTTACCGCACTGCATGTTTAATTAACAACCTCTAATTGGGCCTGAATGTCTTCATAATTAATGAAAGAAACCACCAGTGCCTCACCTTGTTGAGCAGGTAGGTGAGCGCCTCCGTCATGCAGTCGTGTCTCATGTAGAAGCTGACGAGCGCCAGGTGTGTCCCGAAGGTGTTCAGGTAGAAGAGACACTCCTGCTGCCGGACGCCCTGCAGAGGAGCCTCGCTGCGATCAGAAGGACCCGAACACTCACTCAGAGCCTCCTCCAGATCCCTGAGGGACGCCAGGATGTCCTCACCTGGAGACTACACACACACACACACACACTGATTGGGTTGTTTGATATGAGAGAGCTGGTATTCGGTATGTTTGCAAGTTGCATGATTCCGCTAAGCACATATTTTCGGCATATGCATGGTTTCCAATGTAGGATTTCTTTGCTAAAAAAATGAGACTTCTCCCCCTTACCGAGTTCAGATTGAGCTGCACGGTGTTCTCCAGGTGCTGCACCACCTCCTGCAGCAGTAAGGGCCCCAAGTTCAGCTGGTTCCTGTCCAGAGGGGCCTTCAGGAAGCGGGAAAACTTCTCCCTGGCTCCAGAGAGGTTTCCTGCCTTCAGACAGGCCATCCCCCACGCCTGCCACACACCCCCTGTCTCCAGACCACTCTTTGTAGACACCTAGGATAACAGACAAACAACCAGGAAAAGAAAATAGATATCAATAAGATGTTTTTTACTTAAGTGTATTATCTAAGAGACCAAGATATTTAGGGACAGAAATGTCTATATTTATGGGAAAACCTTTCAAGACATTTATCATATTCATACAGCAACAATGAAACACATGACCACAACATTGTAATCCTGCTAACACCAATCTGCTTACGTCTCTTTTTTATGTAACTGTTGGAAGCTGTAAGGGAATACAGTCCTTGAATAAATGTGCTTTCCAACAACGTGTCAGACAAAGGAGGAGATGCCTTATGCAAGTTTTGAAAGTCACAAGCGTCTCGTCTTACACCCAGACGTTGTGCAACTCAAACATTCCCCCGAGCACATTTCTGTGTCATAACTGTATGTGATCTAGTCGACTACGTGTCAGGGTGTTCAGCGTTGGTACATCTTGTTCAACACCCCTGTGTAATGTTCGGCGTCATGTGCCAGGTATTTTAGTTTTAAGCTGGTAGTACAGTGTCTCCTCGAGGCTATTTAGAAGTTTCATCATTAAATGCTGCTGTACTGTAGGATCAAGTGTGTGAGTATGTTGAGCATTCAGGAGATTTAAAGAGGCCTTATTCTGCTTTTTGGGGTTTTCCAGTTCCTGTAGTGTGTTCTTTAGGTTTGTGTGCATGTAAACGGTCTGCAGAGACTAAAATCCCTGTGTTTTCTCCGGAGGGAAGTCATTGTTTACTTCAGAAACAGGGACATCACTATGGATCACCTGCGCTTCTATTGGCTAGCGCTCCAACACATTGTACGTGATAGGCTAAGTGGCGGGACATCTCTAAGCGGTTGACCAATCACAACAGAGCCGGCCAGCTAACCAATCAGAGCAGACTGGGCTCTGGTTTTAGACAGAGGGTGAAAAGAGGTGCTGCAGCACAGGTAGTATGAGAACAATAAAGAGCTTTTTGAACATTAAAGCATGGAGACTACATACTGATATACACCTGAACATCAGCAGGAGAGGACTCTTTAAAGTAGAGACACTACATACTGATATACACCTGAACATCAGCAGGAGAGGACTCTTTAAAGTAGAGACACTACATACTGATATACACCTGAACATCAGCAGGAGAGGACTCTTTAAAGTAGAGACACTACATACTGATATACACCTGAACATCAGCAGGAGAGGACTCTTTAAAGTAGAGACACTACATACTGATATACACCTGAACATCAGCAGGAGAGGACTCTTTAAAGTAGAGACACTACATACTGATATACACCTGAACATCAGCAGGAGAGGACTCTTTAAAGTAGAGACACTACATACTGATATACACCTGAACATCAGCAGGAGAGGACTCTTTAAAGTAGAGACACTACATACTGATATACACCTGAACATCAGCAGGAGAGGACTCTTTAAAGTAGAGACACTACATACTGATATACACCTGAACATCAGCAGGAGAGGACTCTTTAAAGTAGAGACACTACATACTGATATACACCTGAACATCATCAGGAGAGGACTCTTTAAAGTAGAGACACTACATACTGATATACACCTGAACATCAGCAGGAGAGGACTCTTTAAAGTAGAGACACTACATACTGATATACACCTGAACATCAGCAGGAGAGGACTCTTTAAAGTAGAGACACTACATACTGATATACACCTGAACATCAGCAGGAGAGGACTCTTTAAAGTAGAGACACTACATACTGATATACACCTGAACATCAGCAGGAGAGGACTCTTTAAAGTAGAGACACTACATACTGATATACACCTGAACATCAGCAGGAGAGGACTCTTTAAAGTAGAGACACTACATACTGATATACACCTGAACATCAGCAGGAGAGGACTCTTTAAAGTAGAGACACTACATACTGATATACACCTGAACATCAGCAGGAGAGGACTCTTTAAAGTAGAGACACTACATACTGATATACACCTGAACATCAGCAGGAGAGGACTCTTTAAAGTAGAGACACTAAATACTGATATACACCTGAACATCATCAGGAGAGGACTCTTTAAAGTAGAGACACTACATACTGATATACATCTGAACATCAGCAGGAGAGGACTCTTTAAAGTAGAGACACTACATACTGATATACACCTGAAAATCAGCAGGAGAGGACTCTTTAAAGTAGAGACACTACATACAAATAAAACTTCAAGGCACTCTCTTTTAAAACAGTTAAAATGCCTTTATTGTCTTAAATTTAAAAACAACCTATGAATTGTCAAGCCTTTTTTTCTGTTTTGTTGTTTTTTGACTCCCTGACGAAGGTTTAACACCATAAGAGTTTGTTTTAAGGTCTAAGGTATCTATGCCATGACCAGGAAGGAATAACAGGTATAAATAGCCGTCCTCCTCACCTCCACGGCCAGCTGGTAGTGCTCGGCCTCCAGCAGCTGGTGGCGGAGGCGAGTGATGGCAGAAGTCTCCACGATGTCGTCCAGAGAAGGAATGTCTTTGTAGTTCGCCGTCACCAGAATCTTCAGCACGTCTACTTTGCTGATGTAGCTGAGGAAATAGAGGATAAGTAAAAGAGTGAGATCCGAAAAATTTGATCTGACCAAAAGTGATTTTTTGGTGAATTTTGAGAAAAAAAGTCTGAGTTTTGAGATACATTTTTACATGTGGCTCTTATCATGTTCCAAACGTAGCATCTTATGTTGGATATTCTTTTCTTTTTAACAGTGATAAGATGATACAATACCAAGACCTAAACTCAAGACAAAACATATTGAAGAAACCAAAGTACAAAAATAGACACCGACATAAAACAATATGTTACCCACCCATAGTTATAACACTTTCCTCATGTGAACATTCTCCAATGACAAAATGGATAGCAGTTCTCAAACTATGCCTAAATATTATCGAATAATTTGTGTGATTTTTCTAGGTGATTTCTATTGCAAACACTTTCTTTACATGGCTTTGAACTGACCACAAAAGAGTTCCCAGCATCTTTGCAGACAAAAACAACTGAAAAACACCCACTAACAACACGATTTCTAGTCAGTAAATGTCTTTACACTTGATACAAGACATAATAACTTGAGAAGTAACAGTGCAGTGAGATAAGGAATCTTGTTTTTTTAGACAATGCATTTTAAGTATCTCTTAAAAACATTATTTTGAGTTATATCTCAGATGAAACACAAGGTTTTTAAGCTGCTGTGGTATTTGCAAAAGATGGATCCTGTGGTTTCACAAATAATTCTTACTTGAGAAAACAGAAAACGTTTGAGCTTTTCTGGCTTATTTTGTAACACAACATTACCTGGTAAAATATAGGTTAACAAGATCTAATTTATCTAAATATCTGATCTTATATCAACAAATGTTACCAAGCAATTTTCACCTGTTCTACTTGCAGATTTCTTTGCTTATTACAAACTTGTTTTCACTATTTTTGTACTTGTTTTTGGAGCAGCATGTTCTCCAGTGGACCCAGGGTTACATCTCACCTGTCGCACAGTGCGAGGTCCTGGCTGCGGCCCACCTTGACGAACATGAGTTTTGCGCTGAAGAGCAGCTGCTTCATGATGTCAGTGAGCAGGCAGGCGTCCACCTCAGGGTTTGTCAGTTTCCGAGACAGAGAGCGGCAGTGGCTGATCAGCTGATGCCCGCAGGCCGTCTGATCGCTGTGCAGAGACAGCAGCGCCACGCACAGGAACGCACTGGGAGCCTGTGAGATAAAGGAAACCACTGAGATTATCTTTACTGTATTCACTGGGTTGATTATACTTTAAAGGTCCCCTATTATACTGTTTTTCATCAATATATTCCAGGTCTCAGATATATACAAAACATGTCTCTGATTGGCTGAAACACCAAACAGATCATTGCAGCATCCCATAATCCCCTCTGTTTCAGCCCTGTTTCCAAAGTGCTGATTCTCTGTCTGTTACTTTAGATGAAAATAAGGAGCCCCTCCCCACGCCCCTCTGAGAGAGATTTGGTTAAAAAGAACACAATGGTGCTCTAGGAGGAGATTCAGGTGATAAGGTGTGGGGGGGGGGTTACCTTGGTTGGTGATTGGCTAATGGCTACACAAGCCAAAACATCGTTATGACATCATAAAGTGGCCAAAATCTGATCAGCTCATTTTCAGACAGGTTTTTATATAAATGGATCAGGACAAAAAGAGAGAGAATCTTTGTTCCTGAAACTTTCAGAGTCTCTTTCCACAGAGGGGACACATGTTGATGAAGAAGAGACATGAAGAAGAGGGGACACATGTTGATGTAGAAGAGACATGAAGAAGAGGGGACACATGTTGATGTAGAAGAGACATGAAGAAGAGGGGACACATGTTGATGTAGAAGAGACATGAAGAAGAGGGGACACATGTTGATGTAGAAGAGACATGAAGAAGAGGGGACACATGTTGATGTAGAAGAGACATGAAGAAGTGGGGACACATGTTGATGTAGAAGAGACATGAAGAAGAGGGGACACATGTTGATGTAGAAGAGACATGAAGAAGAGGGGACACATGTTGATGTAGAAGAGACATGAAGAAGAGGGGACACATGTTGATGTAGAAGAGACATGAAGAAGAGGGGACACATGTTGATGTAGAAGAGACATGAAGAAGAGGGGACACATGTTGATGTAGAAGAGACATGAAGAAGAGGGGACACATGTTGATGTAGAAGAGACATGAAGAAGAGGGGACACATGTTGATGAAGAAGAGACATGAAGAAGAGGGGACACATGTTGATGTAGAAGAGACATGGAGAAGAGGGGACACATGTTGATGTAGAAGAGACATGGAGAAGAGGGGACACATGGTGATGTAGAAGAGACATGGAGAAGAGGGGACACATGTTGACAACAGCTGGAATATGATCTCAAATTTAGGCTGCAACCCATAATTCATATGTCAAGAAGAGTAGCATTTAAGAAATATAAGATACGTTTAAGTGTTACCTAAAGGGATAGTTTGTACGTTTGTTGTCACCTACAGTAAGCTAAAAATGACCGATGATTTGTAATAAGACATTTTAACACCCGACCTGTTCGTAGTAGAACTCGCTCCGCAGCAGCTGGTTCTCGGCAGGGTTCGTGCTCAGGTGGATCTGTCGTTGGATCACTTCGGGAAGATGCAGCATCCCATCTAAAGTTTCCTCTGTCACCACGGGACTTCCTGTGTCTGCAGGAAAACAGAGGAGAGCAGAGAGAGTCAGGGTGAAATGTCAGGCCATCTAAATATCAATGATTTGAGAAAAGCAGAATTTTGGATATTCAAGGTGGCAGTTTTCTCTGTTTGTGACAAAAAAAAGTATTAATTTTCTCCGTGAAACAGTTGGGAGACAAGTTTTACCAGATGAAAATATTTGGCTGTTTTTTTCTATCTGTCACAACAGGTTTAAAAAAGTTAATTTCTAAAATAAGTTGGTCTAAAAGCGGCAGAAAAGCACCTTTTAAAATACAATTCTAGCCAAATGACAGACATTGCATTTATTTTACATAACTTTGAGATATTTAAGGTGGCATTATTTCTGAGTGCATGTGTCAGTATTGTGCTTTTACTTATAAAAGAAAGTTAACACTAAAACAAACTAACTCCAATGCAGCAAAGAGGAGACATTTAGCATATCCTTTATTTATATTTTTCAATTTACCTTCAGCTGGTTCCATCTCATCGTCAGAACTGAACGTGGAGAAAAAGAAAACGGCACAAATTAATTTCAAAACACATTAATTTCAAATGGATCTATATAATGTCTTAAAGAGGTCCGACACATTTCATAGTTAGGACCCTTGAAATGTAACTAATAACTGTTACAAGGTCAGGTTTCCAATATGGTTGAATTTATGAGAACTACCTCTCAAAAGCTCTGGATGTACACAACAAATTGTAAAATAAAATCAGCTTTGTTATTTTGAAAACAAGCATTTCTTATTTCTTCTGTCATTTATAGATTATGCCACTATGATATTCAAGACTTTCCATGACTACAGGTAACCTCTCGGTCTTTAAAGATACATTTAAAGGTCACCTATTATGCAAAACCCTCTTTTTCTACATCAACATGTGTCCCCTCTTCTTCATGTCTCTTCTACATCAACATGTGTCCCCTCTTCTTCATGTCTCTTCTTCATCAACATGTGTCCCCTCTTCTTCATGTCTCTTCTACAGCAACATGTGTCCCCTCTTCTTCATGTCTCTTCTTCATCAACATGTGTCCCCTCTTCTTCATGTCTCTTCTACATCAACATGTGTCCCCTCTTCTTCATGTCTCTTCTACATCAACATGTGTCCCCTCTTCTTCATGTCTCTTCTACATCACCATGTGTCCCCTCTTCTTCATGTCTCTTCTACATCAACATGTGTCCCCTCTTCTTCATGTCTCTTCTACATCAACATGTGTCCCCTCTTCTTCATGTCTCTTCTACATCAACATGTGTCCCCTCTTCTTCATGTCTCTCTACATCAACATGTGTCCCCTCTTCTTCATGTCTCTTCTACATCAACATGTGTCCCCTCTTCTTCATGTCTCTTCTACATCAACATGTGTCCCCTCTTCTTCATGTCTCTTCTACATCAACATGTGTCCCCTCTTCTTCATGTCTCTTCTACATCACCATGTGTCCCCTCTTCTTCATGTCTCTTCTACATCAACATGTGTCCCCTCTTCTTCATGTCTCTTCTACATCAACATGTGTCCCCCTTCTTCTTCATGTCTCTTCTACATCAACATGTGTCCCCTCTTCTTCATGTCTCTTCTACATCAACATGTGTCCCCTCTTCTTCATGTCTCTTCTACATCAACATGTGTCCCCTCTTCTTCATGTCTCTTCTACATCAACATGTGTCCCCTCTTCTTCATGTCTCTTCTACATCAACATGTGTCCCCTCTTCTTCATGTCTCTTCTACATCAACACGTGTCCCCTCTTCTTCATGTCTCTTCTACATCACCATGTGTCCCCTCTTCTTCATGTCTCCTCTACATCACCATGTGTCCCCTCTTCTTCATGTCTCTTCTACATCAACATGTGTCCCCTCTTCTCCATGTCTCTTCTACATCACCATGTGTCCCCTCTTCTTCATGTCTCCTCTACATCACCATGTGTCCCCTCTTCTTCATGTCTCTTCTACATCAACATGTGTCCCCTCTTCTCCATGTCTCTTCTACATCAACATGTGTCCCCTTTTCTTCATGTCTCCTCTACATCACCATGTGTCCCCTTTTCTTCATGTCTCTTCTTCATCAACATGTGTCCCCTCTGTGGAAAGAGACTCTGAAAGTTTCAGGAACAAAGATTCTCTCTCTTTTTGTCCTGATCCATTTCTATAAAAACCTGTCTGAAAATGAGCTGATCAGATTTTGGCCACTTTGTGATGTCATAACGATTTTTTGTCTTGTGTAACCATTAGCCAATCGGCAACCAAGGTAACCCCCCCCCACCTTATCACCTGAATCTCCTCCTAGAGCACCATTGTGTTCTTTTTAACCAAATATCTCTCAGAGGGGCGTGGGGAGGGGCTCCTTATTTTCATCTAAAGTAACAGACAGAGAATCAGCACTTTTGAAACATGGCTGAGACAGAGGGGGTCAGCGTTTCCGCCATGGGGGCGTCTTGCCGTCATATAAATAAATAGAAGAATAGAAGATCGAGAGTTTTTATAGCTTGAAATGACGAAAGGGACAAGGACATCCCTCTGTTGGAGGGGCAAAGGAGTCTGGTGGGATTCTTATCGCCGCCAGCAAAGCGTGTTCCTGTGACGGAAAGTGTACTGCCGGCGAGCCTTGACGGGGGGTGCTAGTGGAGCACGCGCGTGAACTGCGAGCGCCGGAGCCTCGCAGCGGCGAAACTGAGGCTCCGTGGTAAACTGTGGTAACATGAAGAGCCGCTTAGGAGCCCAAAGAGCCGGCTCTTCTTAGTGAGCCGAACCAAACGATCCGGCTCACTGAAAAGAGCCGGAATTCCCATCACTAATACGTAAAGAGATAGTATCTATAAAGGGACCTCTCAGCCCTGGTCTGGCGGAAACACTGGAGGGGATTATGGGATGCTGCAATGATCTGTTTGGTATTTGGAGCCGAACACTTCAGAGACATGTTTTGTATATATCTGAGACCTATAACAAAGTAATGAAAAACAGTATAATAGGGCACATTTAAGTACAGTGTTTCTTGTTAAAAAATATTTAATTATAGGTTTTGCAGCTCTAAGATCTGCGGGGTCTTACTCTGTGTGGAAGTAGGCGTAGCACTGGTCACAGACCCGGACCTCCTCTTCTCTCGGACATCCTGCCACCAGCATCTTGTGCTCCGAGCAGGCGTGACAAACCAGACGGCCGCACCGGCGACAGTGATGCCGTCTGTTGAACTGGAAAAGCAAAAGACAAATAGTGATTATTTACTGATTCATTTTACACTTGGAAACCCAGATTGGGTGATCTATTTTTTGTGTTATCTAAAACAAATGCTCTCCTTTGTTTCCGAGTTAAAAACTGATGAGAAAAAAATGCCCTCTTTGAAACTGGTGGGGAAAAAGGTTTTACTTAAATGGTCAAAATATAAGTTTTCCAAGATAATTTTTGCAGTTTTTTCTTTTCTGTGAACATTTGTTGTCAGGAGAATCTTTAAAAATATGAATAAAAGCGTCAGATTTGAACCGATTTAAAGGTCACATATCATGCTATTTGTAGGCAATAGCATAGGTCTCAGATATATAAAAATATATAAAAAACAGATCACCCATTCCAGCCATGCCTCATATCCCTCTATTTCACTTCCTGTTTCAAAAGTGCTGATTTGGGGTATAAAGCTTGAAAAATAAATAAAAAGGGAGGGGGCTGAGCTCATGCGGGACCCGGCAGCTACTGTCTAAACTAAATACTGCCGTGATGAAACGCCATATCATGGATTATCAAGGATTATTTCTGAAACAGTATGGAGCTCAAAGGCTTTCTCTCTTGCCGGTTATACCACAAGGTGAGTTCCTTTTTATTTCCTGCTTCTTCACACACATGCTCTCCAGTACAGGTTAGCTCTGAGTGTTAGCGATGCTAATGTAAACACCGACCATATTACGTCCAAAACAGTCGGGCATTGTTTCTGATAGCAACGTTTCTGATAGGGCCGTGGGTCCACATTTCAGATATTACGTCATATCGGACGCAAATCTGGATCAGCTCCGTTGTAACCCCGTTTTTAGAGATTTGGGTACGGAGGAAAAGAGAGAGGGTTTTATTTCCTGATGCTGCGAGAGTTCCCCGACACACCGGGGACACATATTTATGTATAGAAGACATCAAAAATTGCATTTTGCATGATAGGTCCCCTTTAAATACATTTCTACCAACAATTATGGTATAAAAAGAAACCTTTCCACTTTAAAATGTCGTAAACCACTAGACTTATGTTATATATATGTTGTGTACTTATATTATCCAAAATATGTCCAACAACTTTTAGAGAAATGTGGGATTTTCAATCAGAGATAAGATTACTTTCCATTTAGTCTCCTGTAATGGCGTTGTTTCCCCTTTGAGCTTTTAAAAAATTGATCATTAGAATATTTTGTCTCACTTGAGTTTTTGTACATTTTAGGTTTTTTCACAGTTTTGTTTTGTAACTTATATGGTCATGCAATATTATCACATTTCCCATTTCTGCACAATAATAAACACTCAGAGGAAGTAGGGTGATTTAAGGTAAGGTAAGATATTTATAATTTCTCCCCATGGGGAGATTTGTTTTGTACTTCTAGATATTGAATAGATATTTATAGTTTGGCCCGCTCACCATGGTGAACCTCTCCCTCTGGCAGACCATGCACATGAGCTGCTTGGTGTCGGGGACCCAGTCTTTCCGGGCCGGGGGATGTTCTGGAGGCTGGAACTTTGCAGAGGATCGATGTTTCCTCCCCGCGGAGCTCCGGTCCTTCTCCCTGTCGCTGCTGCTAGAGGAGAGCGTGTGTGTGGGGGTGCTGGCTGTGACACAACACAGGAGAAGGAAACAATCAGGAAAATCAAGACAAAACACAAGTTTAAATAAATATTCAACACCTGAACGAACCGTCTCTTAATCTAAACAATAACACAAGAGTTTGCGGGCGTAGGAGGAGAAAGAGGAGAATCATCAATAGAGAGGCGAAGTCCCTCCCTTTCCGGGGGTGCTCCATGGGACCTTATTTCGGAAAAAGTATGTATTGAAGTCAATGGGGAGAGAAAGATTATCTCTCGATCCCGTTTGAATTGTGCCACGAATTACACATATGATGTTTGTCAATTTAAAAGATAATTTTGCAAGTCAAAAAAGTAACACTTTTTTTGTGTGAAAACGCTCAATGAACTACATCTCCCGTCTCGCACCACACACCAAGACGGCCGTCACGTTGGCACATTTCACTTCTTTCTTTCAGAATGAGGCGGAAAGTATTAAAAGAGGTGAAAATCACTCCAAGTCTGGGCATGTTGAGAGCTGTACATACACACAAGGGGAGTTAGTCGGTTCCTAAGAGCCAGCATGCGGGACCGGGATTCTGGGATTTGTAGTCTTTCTAGTTGCGTATTTTTCATAGTCTTATATTTCAACAGTTTTACGACAAACTGTGACTTTTTTGACATGGAAATTATCTTTTACGATTGACAAACATCATATGTGTAATTCGTGGCACAATTCAAACGGGATATAAAGATAAGTTTTCTCTCTCCATTGACTTCAATACATCATTTTTCCGAAATAAGGTCCCATGGGTCGGAAGTAGATGGGCGGGACTTCGCCTCTCTATACAGATTTCTCTTGTCCTTTGATTAAAGGCGGTGAAAGCGGTAAATAAAGCACTTTCAATTTATATGGAATATGGAAATACGCAACTGGAATAAACAAAAGACAAAGGTCTAGCTGTGTTTTAGATACGTGTGCCAAAATGTCAAATGTTATATAATTTATACTATCTCCAGCAAATGAAAGAAAGGTACATTGAATAAAGAGGCAACCACACGTGTAATAAAAACAAATCAAAGGGGTATAACTCTACAGAGGATCAAAATGTGTTTCATATTATTGACGTTAAACTCTGTACCTGTAGAAGGTGTTGGGGATTCGATCCTGCTGGAGGAGAGGGAGCTGCTGTCCTGAGCCGGACACTGCATCAGAGAGTCCTGCAGGCTGATCACTGAGTCTGGAAAACAAGCAAATATTTAGAAAAAAAGCAGTTAAAAGACGTATGAAAGTAGTCGCACAGATGTATAATGAATGTGTAAATGTATCGCATTATCGGTCATGCACATTTGAAATGTATATTGTATCTTTACTGTGGTTTTACCGATTAAATGACCAGTGTAACGTGTGAAATAGGCCGTAACCTGTACGCAAATATGGACTAATATCAGTAGTATCATGACCTGTAACTTGGAAAATAATAAGTGTATTTGTGCTGAATATTGTTTTTTGTGTTTTTCAGGTTAATTGCAAGCATTTCTTAGGTTTATGCAAATCAGAGAGTGTTTATTGAGGCATCGCTGATTAGAACCTAGCTGACAGCATGTGATGTGCTTGTTGTTTCTGCAACTTCAGGTCAGAATGAAGAACAAAATATAATTTATTTTAATCGTATGCAATCCTTTAAGTAATTTTTTTGTGTGCAACATTAACAAACGTGTCTCTGCATGTGTCAGTGATCCTCAGAGATGGCAAAAGTACACACATCCTTTACTCAAGTAGAAGTACAGATACTCGTGTTTAAAAATGGTAAAAGGAGAAGTACTGACTAAACTTCTTTACTCAAGTAAAAGTAAAGAGGGCTTTGAAATGTACTTAAGTAAAAAGTACCCATAACTAGCAGCTGTTTTAAAGAGTACCTGACCTCCCTTTATATTAATAGAACAATAATGTCATTGTTAGCTAATGAATGTTTCCATGCTGAACAACGGCAACATGACAACGTTTTCATTGGTCCCTCTTCTTTAGAGAAGACCAGGAAATGATGGATACACGGATCGTGTTCAAATCAATAGGCACGCAATGACTCTAAATAATAATGATCAGGCCACCAAACACACATTCAAACTAAAGGAACCAGCCTGTTTGGGAAATGTAAGAAGTAGAAAGTACAGGTATTTGAGTTCAAAATGTAAGAAGTAGAAAGTACAGGTATTTGTGTTCAACATGTAAGAAGTAGAAAGTACAGGTATTTGTGTTCAACATGTAAGAAGTAGAAAGTACAGGTATTTGTGTTCAACATGTAAGAAGTAGAAAGTACAGGTATTTGAGTTCAAAATGTAAGAAGTAGAAAGTACAGGTATTTGAGTTCAAAATGTAAGAAGTAGAAAGTACAGGTATTTGTGTTCAAAATGTAAGAAGTAGAAAGTACAGGTATTTGTGTTCAACATATAAGAAGTAGAAAGTACAGGTATTTGTGTTCAAAATGTAAGAAGTAGAAAGTACAGGTATTTGTGTTCAACATATAAGAAGTAGAAAGTACGGGTATTTGTGTTCAAAATGTAAGAAGTAGAAAGTACAGGTATTTGTGTTCAACATATAAGAAGTAGAAAGTACAGGTATTTGTGTTCAAAATGTAAGAAGTAGAAAGTACAGGTATTTGTGTTCAACATATAAGAAGTAGAAAGTACGGGTATTTGTGTTCAAAATGTAAGAAGTAGAAAGTACAGGTATTTGTGTTCAACATGTAAGAAGTAGAAAGTACAGGTATTTGTGTTCAACATATAAGAAGTAGAAAGTACAGGTATTTGTGTTCAAAATGTAAGAAGTAGAAAGTACGGGTATTTGTGCTCAACATGTAAGAAGTAGAAAGTAAAAAGTCGTCAGAAAAACAAGTAGTGGAGTAAAGTACTGATACCAGAAAAATGTACTTCCCACCTCACTATAATCACCCACCTGAGCGGCTCCTCTCTCTGGGAGCGCAGGAGAAGTCGAGCGCCTTGCCGCCGTATTCTGCCAGAAGTTTATCGATGTCCTCTGAGCTGAAGCCGGCCTCCTGACCAATCACGAGGCTGCGCAGCGTTCGCACCGCCACCTCCGCCCAGTCCACCTTCAGGTTCATCAGCAGCTGCTCCAGCATCAGCAGCGGCTCCGACAGCAGCGGGAAGTAATCCTGCCGGGCGGAGGAGGGCAGCGTCAGCAACACCTGCAGGGTAACACACATCCAGAGACATTAACACAAAAAAACTAAACAATTTATCTGATATATCATATTCCAATTACTTGTATATAGACTATTCTTGCACTATTTCTATTATATTGTATTTTTTTTGTATTTACTTGCATTATCTGTTTTATTGTATTGCACTCTTGGAGGAGCCTGTGACCTAAGATTTTAATTGTCGTAACTACACTGTAGCTATGTACACATGACAATAAAAGCCTTGAATCTTGAAAACAACCTGAAGCTGTGTGAAAACAACGCTTTTACAGCATCATATGTAAAAAATCTGCATTCAAATGTCTAAAGAGGACTACAAATATTGATCTTCTATTGGGATTTAATGGATATACAGTAGAGGCAGCAGTGATGGAGTTGACATGTTCTTAAATATTTATTATTTATATATTAAACAATTGAAATACTGATTTAAAGAAATGATAGTGTGTAACTTGACCACAGACCTTGGAGCCCAGGTGCAGGGCGTGGATGTGGCGTCTTCGCGCCGGAGACACCTGCCTCTGGAAGTGCAGAGTGAGGAAGTCGGCCAGGAAGTGACATGCAGGCAGACCGGGGCGGAGGTCCAGAGCTCGCTCACACACATCCAGACCCAACGCAGAGTCCGAGAGGCCCTCCAGTAACTGAAAAACAAAAAAAGTGAGGGAGAGAGGAAGAAGAGAGAACAGTTCACATCAAGTTGGAGAAGATATTTCTTCATTTGCATGTGTTTTGGCACATTTGTGTTTTTATATTTGCATAGATTTTTTAACTGCAGCGCATTTTCATCACATAATAAGACCGTTAAAGACCTGAACTTTTGAAAGAACATCCATAACATACTCATAGATATCAATATTCCAATGACTTGTATAAAGACTATTCTGCACGGTTTCTATTATATTCTATTTTATTTTATTGCACTATTTTATCTGTTTTATTGTGTTGCACTGCTGGAGGAGCCTGTGACCTAAGATATTCATTGACATAACTACACTGTAGCTATGTACACATGACAATAAAAGCCTTGAATATTTTAGACTAATGGACGTGTTTTGGGCTGCAATGCGTTTGCACCTGTCAGACACCGTACTTTATAGATCATATGTATAATCAAAGTCTTTATCGTATCGTATAATGATCATCATAGTGTTGAGTTATTTAGGATCTGAATTTAAGAGGATATGAAGCAGTGTTGACCTGGAAAGCTTCATCCGTCTGTCCCTTCTCCAGCAGGTGAAGTAAATGCTCCGTCTGAAGCTTCAGTTTCAGCTGATCAGAAACAGGATAGAGATCGACCCACTGAGCACACAGAGCAAACTCCTGCAGAAAATACAGACAAGAGAAATCCAATTACAGTATATTGTATGGACACAACACACTACAGGTAAGGTAACACCACAACGGCACAATACATGAGTAACACATGCGTCACTTCCGGGCAAAAAGTACGGCTCCGCCCACGTTTTGGGGGAAAACAAAGCTGTCATTTGAATGGCGGTCAATACAGATTCTGAAGTTTTTGCCAATCCGATCAGAAATGTAAGAAAACCGTGGATTTGTGGATCTTCAAAGAGCCCGATTACGATGGCCAGACAGGGAAACAATTACATTACATCATTGGAAATCGACGATCGGGCTCGATATATGGTTAAATATAGCAGTAGGCGATCGATGTCCATAGATGAGAGTAACATCTACGTCACTTTACGGCCTCGCCCACTTTTGGGGGAAACCAACGCTGTCATTTGAATGGCGATGAAGCCTGAAGCCACAGAGCTCTTCTGTTACTGTCCTTTCTTCTTAGAGGAAGTACAGAAACACTGAACTCTGGATTTGTTTTAATGTTTAAGGAGCAATAAACGACACAGCAGCTTGTTGGCATGATAACACAATTATTTTCCGCCTCGCTCATGAGAGTAACAGCTGGCGAAAATTACAGCCTCGTCTACTGATTTTAATTTAACCATATATCGAGCCTGATCGTTGATTTCCAATTATTTAATGTGATTGTTTGCCTGTCTGGCCATCGTAATCGGGCTCTTTGAAGATCAGAAAATCCACGGTTTTCAAACATTTCTGATCGGATTGGCAAAAACTTCAGAATTTGTATTGACCGCCGTTCAAATGCCAGCGTTGTTTTCCCCCAAAAGTGGGCGGGGCCGTCATTTTCGCCCGGAAGTGACGTAGGTGTTACTCTCATTTATAGGGCCTCTTTAATATCACCACAATTACAAAATAAATGACAGTAAAACACTTTGTACGGTCAAATGAAGTGCTAAGATCTTGTCTGACATAATACGATGTGAGATTGTTTATGACATAAGGTGAGATGAACCTACTTTAGCCTCCATCATCTTAGATAAAATGGTCTCAGAGTTTGTTTTGGACTCGGCCTTCAGCTCCTGCCAGGTCGCCCACGGCAGAGGAGGCTTCAAATTCAACATCTGTGACAAGAGAAGAAGAAACTTGGCATGTGAAGTCATGATAAGCCAAATTAGGCTTTTCCACAGCTTGGGGCGATATAAAAACAGAAAGCAGCCTCCCCAGTTTTCTTGTAATGCACTTTAAATGTACCCATTTATAGATGTCCAGTTGTTTCTTCTTGAGCTCCAGGTCTTTCCTCAGCGAGGCCTCGGTGACGGGGTCGTTGAGGCAGAAGTCGAGCAGCTCGAGGCAGGCGGACAGAGGCCAGCGATGAAGAGCCTGCAGGGCGACTCGAGCTCTCAGATCTGCATCCTGCACCCGGAACAGCTGACCTATCCCTGCATCTCCATCTGAGCATAGAGACAAAAGGTAAACAAACATGTTAGTTACATTATAAGTAATTACGCAATTGTATTAAAGGTCACCTATTATGCAAAATCCTCTTTTACATGTGTTTTCTACATCAACATGTGTTGAGAAAAGAGATTCTGAAAGTTTCAGGAGAAAAGATTCTCTCTCTTTTTGTCCTGATCCATTTATATAAAAACCTGAAAATGAGCCACTTTGTGATGTCATAACGATGTTTTGGCTTGTGTAACCATTAGCCAATCACCAACCAAGGTAACCCCCCCCCCCCCCCCCCCCACCACCTTATCACCTGAATCTCCTCTTAGAGCACCATTGTGTTCTTTCTAGGGATGCTCCGATCGTTATCGGCCGATATTCACTCTCTGCCGATCGATCGGTGCTCTCTATAAATGCCGATCAGGAGAGCCAATCACATGACGTAAAATACATGACACTTTTCTCTGTGCGCGGCAAAACAAGCTCGCCAAAATGGCTTCACCGGTCTGGCAGTATTTTAAGGTGTCCGAAAAAGACAATAAAATAGCGGTATGCAACGTGTGTGAAGCAGAAATCCTGCAGCTCCACCCGCTGTGACGGACCGGTGAGCGGAGCAACACACACACTAAGAGTTAGACCTAACACACTTAGCTATTTTATCTACCTCTGGTACAAGCTAGACTAGTTATAAATATATTTATTCTTCACTGTCGGGTCACTCATTACTGGATCAGTGAGCTGCATGAGATACTGACAGGCTGTCAGGAGAGGGAGAGAGAGAGAGGGAGAGAGAGAGAGAGAGAGAGAGGGAGAGAGAGGGAGAGAGAGAGAGAGAGAGAGAGAGAGAGGAGAGAGAGGGAGAGAGAGAGAGAGAGGGAGAGAGGAAAAGAGAGCGCTTCAGCTCATTTCTCCCGTGTTATCCAAAGTTAATGTAAACTTGAATAATGTACTTCATTTGAATGTAATAATTATGTTGGTTGGTTGGCTTGTGGAAGCGCCAGTGAATGAGCCCCATTAACTGAGTTTTAAACATCACTTTAAATGGAAGATCCCCATAGGCCCCGCCCACTCGAATGAATCGGCGATCGGTATTGGCCGATACTGATTCCGGCGATCGGCCCCAAAATTGGTTCTTTGTAACCAAATCTCTCTCAGAGGGGCGTGGGGAGGGGCTCCTTATTTTCATCTAAAGTAACAGACAGAGAATCAGCACTTTTGAAACAGGGCTGAAACAGAGGGGATTATGGGATGCTGCACTGATCTGTTTGGGGTTTGGAGCCAAACACTTCAGAGACATGTTTGTATATATCTGAGACCTGTAATATATTGATGAAAAACAGTATAATAGGGGACCTTTAAGGAATTACTTTTATGCTATTTGCTATAACTGTCCCTATAACCTGACAGTAGAGGAAAGATTTAATTTTTTGTACAGACTATTTGTCATTTGAAGGATACAACAGTTTAGCAAATTTGATAAAAATCTATAAGTTATTAGTTGTTGGTTACTATAATCATAACAATCCCACATGTCATTTATAAAGGTTTCCAACTGAGCCTTAAACATGCAGAAAAGTTGGAATTGGATTATGATTTCAATGTATTTTAATATTAAGTATTTACCATTTTGTCTTCCTTTAATACACACGTTTTATTGCTTACTGTATATACCTTGTTGTTTAATATAAATTATTTTTAAAATATTATTATTTTGTGTTTTTGTATGGATTTTTTAAATTTAGTTTTTTATTTTGCCATCATATCCTATCCACCTTTGAATCAGAATATTTGTTAACTGTATTTTTGAAGTGCAGACACCCAACAACAGTATTTCACATGCCTGCACTCGTATAACTGTATACAGACTTTTTGCACTACTTTGTATTTTTGTATTCTATTATATATGTTGCATTGTTGGAGGAGCTCAGGTCAGAAGAATTTCATCGCCATTTCTACACTGTAGCTTTTAGCATATGACAATAAAACCTTTGAATCTTGAATCTTGCTTGTCTCACCCTCTAAGGCGGCGCAGGCGAGCAGGCGGTCCCTCAGCGCCCCCTGCTGGCTGCAGCGCTGCCCGTACAGCTCCAGCAGGCTGAGAGCTCGGCTCAGGTCTCTGGAGGAGAGAGATTTCTGGAAAGCTTCCGCTGCCAGAGCCTGGGAAACTTCCTCCTGAGGCCCCGACAGCAGCAGACTGACCAGGGGTTTCCCACAGAGAAGCGCCCCCAGTCCTGCACTGTCCTCACCTTCATTACCCAGGGAAGGGGAAGAAGAAGAAGAATCAGAATCAGAATCAGGTTTATTACATCCTCCCCTCGGTCATGAACCTTGGAGTGACCTTCACCAGCACTTTTAAATTCGACAAGCAGGTCAGCACCGTAGTAAAATCCTGCTTTTTTAAAATAAGACTATTGGCCAAGACCAAGTCGTATTTATCTTTTAAAGACTTAGAAAGGGTTATTAACGCCTTTGTAACCTCGAGACTGGACTATTGTAACGCTCTGTATGTGGGTATGGACCAATCAAACGCTTACAGCTAGTCCAAAACGCGGCTGCACGTTTGCTGACTGGCCACAAAAAGCGTGACCACATCACCCCTATTCTGGCCTCAGTACACTGGCTTCCAGTTCGGTTCAGAATTGATTTTAAAATCCTTTTATTTGTTTTTAAAGCACTAAATGGGCTGGCTCCGGCCTATATAGCTGAACTGCTCCAGCGCTACACCCCAGCCAGAGCTTTAAGGTCTGCTGACCAGCTGCTGCTGGTAGTGCCCAAGACCAGGCTTAAAACCCGAGGGCACCGAGCCTTCGCAGCAGCTGGCCCCAGGCTCTGGAACACTCTGCCCCTCCATGTGAGGTCGGCCCAGACTCTAGGGGTTTTTAAATCAAAACTAAAAACACACTTCTTCTCTCTGGCTTTCTAGTTAGAGCGGAGCACGACTCCTGACTTTTTCGTGTGTTTTATTTTTATTTAGTTTTTTAAGATATATCTGTTGTAACTTATTGTCGTTTATTGTGATTTGTAGTAATGTGTTTTTATTACATGTACAGCACTTTGGCTCGACCAAAAATCGCTTTTAAATGTGCTTTATAAATAAAACCTGATTTGATTTGATTTGATTTATTACCAGGTAGGTTCACACGTACGAGGAATTTGACTAGGTGTCGTGGTGCATACATACAAATATTTTTTTTTTAAAAGAACACAGATCAGGGTATATGCAGGAATCCTGAAGTCAAATGTAAGACCTTTTAAGACCTTTTTTAAGACCCTTTCCATACATTTTAAGACCTCATCGCCACTTGGGGTTTTAACCGGTTACATTGGCGACACACTTTACCTCACATTGACTATACAGTATTGATTGTCCTTCCTCCTTATCTTCCAACCATTTGGACGCAAACTTGCATTTCCCCATAACGATGTTGTTTAACAACCGGCGTAAACGGACCTTCGCACGCTATCAAGCAGTGAGCGTGCGATGTCCTGTTCAGATGACGTCAAACGTTTTAACCGCCCCTACACTGTCCTCACCTTCATTACCCAGGGAGCCCAGCAGGGGTTCAGCCATGGTGTGGAGGTACGCCTGGAGGATTGGGAACTCCTTCAGGAGGGCGTCTGCTTCCCGGGAAATCTGCTCTCCATCGAGCACGACTTCTTTCCGGTTGCTGCGGAAATAACCCGACCATCCGGAGGGTTGTGATCGAGCCGTTTCTCCTTTACCGGCGCTCAGACACGCCAAGGTCGCCAGTAATGGGGAGCGGGACTTTAGGAAAGACAGGGCCGATGGTGTGAGGAGGAAAGAGCTTGAGGTGGAGGAGGAAGAGGAGGAGGAGGAAGAAGAAGGAGGTGAGGTGGAGAGGTTAGTGGGTGCAGAGGAAGGCTCTTCCACTGAGGCATCAGACTCAGAGCTGGCGTCAGACTGAGTTTCTGTGATTCCCAGAGTGGACATGTGCTCCTGAGTGTGCTGCTGGAGCAGGATGGATAAATTAGCAACTCCAAACACTCCACCATCTTTGTTTTGGGGACTGGAGACATCCCCGGAGCTGGAGACCCACACAGGAAGAGCCTCACAGCATCTCTGCACGATCACCTGCTGGACGCTCAGACGCAGACGCTCCTGCTGCAGCAAGGACAGAACTCTGCAGGAGACACAGGAGGGGACATATTAAAGTCAGATGCTGCCTTCACACCACTCCTAAAAGTTTCATTCATCAAGTTGTTCGTCTTATTTTCCGGCTTTTGTTTAGGCTGCTGTAACATTTTGTCCACCAAGCTCCTCCTAACGGCCCGTCCACACAGCGGCGTGCGTTGAAAGCTTCACCATTCACTTTCAATGGGGTGACATCACTTTTCGCCGAACTGCATTGTGGGAAGCGAAGCGGAGCTTTGCTGGCGTGGCTCGCTGCAAAAGTTGAGCAATGTTCAACTTTTGAAGCCTCGGCAGAAGCGTCAGCCAATCGAATCATATGCCAGTACAAGCTTTAGCCAATCAAACCGCTGCTTGTGTGTCAGGGGCGGGAGATTCATGTGATTGGTTGTTGGTCGAGTTTCAGACACGCCCGCCGGCAAGCTTCAACGCACGCCGCTGTGTGGACGGGCCGTAAGACTTCTTTAAATTCAAAAGGTTTTATTGTCATAAGCTACAGTGTAGAAATGGCAATGAAATTCTTCTGACCTGAGCTCCTCCAACAATGCAACATATATAATAAAATACAAAAATAGAAAATAGTGCAAGAAGTCTATGTACATGTAAATAGACTGTGTTATGTACAAGAACAGAATATTAAATTAAATAATGTACATTAAGACAATTATATCAATAAATAAAAAGGGCTACATCTGTTCTTTTCCCATGTTTAACAACATCGCTTTAGTTATACCGCATGCAGAGACGTTTATTTTTACTATATATATAATACTCTGACTGTTTGTACCTGTCCGGAGACACCTGTCTGTCAAACAGCAGGTGGGAGAAAAGCTGGAATGGGGTCTGAAGCAACACCAGCAGAGGATTCCCCAGCTTCACTTCACTGCTCTGATCTGAAGGGAACAGCAAGAGAGGAATATCAGCACACAACCGGTAGATGAAGACGCATTAGTATTTAGGCTGACGTTTGGAATAAAAAGGGACTGAGATGGTGAGGTCAAGTAAGTAGCAAGATTTCTTTTTAAAATAGCAGTATGCACTTAAACTGCTTAAAGAGCTGTTCAAAGTTGCATAAGAATCTCAAAACAATTTTTTAATAGCGTTACTTAAAGGTGGGGTAGGTAATTTTGGAGAAACCAGCTCGAGTGCACTAGATTAGAATTTGAAAGTACGCAGCCGGAAAAAATCTGCCCCTTCCTTCAGACTTCCTTACAGAGCCCCTCCTCCAACACACACGAACGCGCACATGACCAATGAGGGCACAAGATAAATTTGTGCACAGATGGAAGGCTGACAGGCAGGTAGGCCATCCAGTTATTTTAGCCGGGCCGGCTCAGATGATTGGTCGTGCTTTTTACAGCGCCACGGCTTCAAAGCATTTAATGTATTCATTGCTATCGGGATGTTAAGAGCATTCCATGGAATTTAACAAAAAGTGTTTCTGAAGTGAATTACCTACCCCACCTTTAAAAAGGGACACAAAAGCTACAGCGTATAAGGCCCATTTTAGGTTAATAAAAAAATGTATTAGCCAGAATTTTGAATTTCCCAGATAAAAGTTGAACATTTATGAGAAAATCTAACTTGCGTTCAAATAAATTGTTTTTATTTTATTTTGTAGTGTGATGAGGTTCAACCAGCCAAATGTGTAACTTTAACCCTCCTGTTATCCTCAGATTTACTTTTCACAATTTGACACCAGTAATTTAAAACTTAAGAAAATGATCATATTCCACATTCCACCAAAATGTATGTTTCTGGTGCTGTAGGTGTCTTAGTTAAATAACCATTTAAATAAAACATTACCCCAACCTTCCCCCCCCGCCCCCTACAGACCCCTTTATACATCCAGAATTCCTATTATGTGACTATCGAAAAATATATAAATCATATATATCAATCTCACTGATTGAAATAAAATGTTAAAGTAAGATCTTTTTGCAGTTGTTAAAGGACCAACATTATTTCCAAATACAATTTTGGCATTTAACGTGTATGACTTTATACCCTCAAATATTATCAAAAATGTTTCTTGTACATTTGTGACATTTTTCTCCAAGAATTTCTGAGTTTCATTTTTTTACAACCTCAGAGTATACCAAATTATTTTTTCAGAATACTACCCCCATTCCCAAGCCCATAATTCATGACCTACAATGTACCTCATACGCACAACATCTATCCTAAATGGCACATTACTTCACCTTCTGATCCGAGGCTGCGCACCAGCACAGACGCCAGCGTGTTGACGTAGTCGAGGAAACTTCTTACGTAGTCGGGTCTGGCAGGATCTCCGTCGGGCTCGAAGGGGCAGAGCTGGTCCAGAGAGCGGAGAAGCTGCTTCATGCTGCAGCGAACAGGGTGATTATCCAGCTCCGCCTGCTTCAGACCCGCCTGCTCTACCAGCTGAGCCAGGAGAGCGCTACCCACAATGCCCTCTGTCAAAACAAGACGTAACATTAATCATAGGCAAGGCAAGTTTGTTTATATAGCACCTTTCAACACAAGGCAATTCAAAGTGCTTTACAAAAATGAAAGACATTAAAGGTCCCCTATCATACTGTTTTTCATCAATATATTACAGGTCTCAGATATATACAGAACATGTCTCTGAAGAGTTTGGCTCCAAATACCAAACAGATCATTGCAGCATCCCATAATCCCCTCTGTTTCAGCCCTGTTTCAAAAGTGCTGATTCTCTGTCTGTTACTTTAGATGAAAATAAGGAGCCCCTCCCCACGCCCCTCTGAGAGAGATTTGGGTAAAAAGAACACAATGGTGCTCTAGGAGGAGATTCAGGTGATAAGGTGGGGGGGGGGGGTTACCTTGGTTGCTGATTGGCTAATGGTTACACAAGCCAAAACATCGTTATGACATCATAAAGTGGCCAAAATCTGATCAGCTCATTTTCAGACAGGTTTTGATATAAATGGATCAGGACAAAAAGAGAGAGAATCTTTTTTCCTGAAACTTTCAGAGTCTCTTTACACAGAGGGGACACATGTTGATGAAGAAGAGACATGAAGAAGAGGGGACACATGTTGATGTAGAAGAGACATGAAAAAGAGGGGACACATGTTGATGTAGAAGAGACATGAAGAAGAGGGGACACATGTTGATGTAGAAGAGACATGAAGAAGAGGGGACACATGTTGATGTAGAAGAGACATGAAGAAGAGGGGACACATGTTGATGTAGAAGAGACATGAAGAAGAGGGGACACATGTTGATGTAGAAGAGACATGAAGAAGAGGGGACACATGTTGATGTAGAAGAGACATGAACAAGTGCATTTTGCATAATAGGTGACCTTTAAGAGCATTAAGAAATAGTGCAGCAGAAACATATTATGAAATGGCATTTAAAAACACTCATTTAAAAGCAAAGATAATAAAACATGAATAAAAGTTACAGAGATTTCATAACATCGATCTTACAACACTTCTACTTCTGGTATTTTAAAGATATCTAAATTGTTCCTGACCGGAGAGGATAACATCATCTGTCAATCACAAACTGGAACTATGGAGAAAGTGGACTGATTTCGTAAAACCTCATATGCCAGATTTTATTTTAAGTCCTGATCACTCCCTAATGTTCGTATTGTTCGTACTTTTTACTGTTTTTATTTCATCTTTATGTAAAAAAAGAAAAAGGCATTTCCGACAGACAAACTTAAGATGTATAATTACTATGTCTTGAAAAAACACTGTAATTGTTTGCTGCCAAATGTCAATAAAACATATATTACAAACAAATACAAAATAGTTGTTCCTGACCAAAACAGACTCCATATGATAAGTGAAATGCATAAAAACTGTCAATGCAAAAATAACCTTTTAAATCAAAATGAAGACGACTGCTTACTGATTTTAAGACAAAGTAAAGTCATATGAATGTATTTAATGAGTTGATATTGTGCCGACCTGTGCCCTCTGTAGCCGTGCTCAGGATGTTCAGCGTCGTCTCTAAGCGCTGCGTCAGAGCGAGTCGAGCAGCGATGCATTCCTCGCTCAGCGCCGGGTAACAACTCAGCAGAACTTCCTGCGTGCTGCATCCAAACGGGCCGGAGAACACCGGGTCCTCACCAACATCTGTCAACAAGAACATTGATTGATTGATTGAAAAGTTTATTAACAGCTTGTATATTGGGTACAGTACAGTACAGCTCAAAACATACAATTGTTAAGGGGATGCAGACCAGAGAAAGACTTTCGTCTTGTTTACATCAGGGTCCCCCATTTCCAATTCATCATATCATTTAAGACATAAAAGACATATTTGACATACAGATGGCTTATTTACAATTTTCATTTTAGATTTCGTTCTAATACATCCTAACCGGACATTTAAGACATACCAAGTCTACAGATATACAGTTAGTAACAGAGTCTAAAATGCGAGTATATACATAGATGGGGGGGGGAAGCTGTCCATTGTACGACAGGTTGAGATTTGTACCTTTACCGGGGCCAGTTTTGGAATGCTCTCCCCCGAAGGTGCTCTTTAAGAGAGGTTTTGAAGGTAAGTATAGTTTTACTTTCCTTTACAGTTGTGGGAAGAGCGTTCCACCTTGATGTGGCATAATTGCGAAACGTGTATTCACCCTTTTTTGTGCCAAATCTGGGTTTTACATGATTTGTGGAGCTCCCTCTGGTGTTATGATCATGGTATTCCTTGACCTTTGGGAAGAACACATTATTCTGTGAGGTGACAAACATCTGTTTACAGCTAAAAGGTGCCATGGGGTACAGGAATTCGTTTTGGTTCACGGAGGATACCAAAAAAGTCCTAGAAAGACAAGGTAAACTAATGTGCATTTAAAAAAGAGGAATAGTTTCGGCAAAAACTAAAAGGTACCCTGGGGTCAGATTAGAATTTTCCAAAGGGATGTTCGTTTAGCATGAAACACTTGAAATAACTAAAGGATAAGTTAAACAAGTCAGCAATGATTGAGAGTTGTGTGTATCTCCCACTGCACTGTAACTTTTATTCATGTATCTTTGCTTTTGCTCACTTTGAATTGCCTTGTGTTGAAATGTGCTATATAAACAACCCAGTCTCACGGCATTTCATGTTATAGTCACGAAATACATGTAATCTATTGATTCGTGTCACACAGAACGATTTTAAAAGCAATGTATTTCTATTGGTAGTATGTTTCGTGCCTGCACCACGTCTGTTTGTCCGGTCGGGTCTTGGAAGACCAGAAGCTGTGTGGTTCATAAAAACATTTTCTTACTCAATATCAAGCCACGATTATTGTTTTTATTTTAAATTGTATAATGTCTGACTTTTTTTGCCGTCCGCGAGGAAAAGAAATGGCTCAGAGCCTCAGAATACTGACATCTGTATTTTTTTAATCTTTTTTTCCTTCTAATTTGTTATTATTTGGTGCAGGCACGAAACAGACTACCAACAGAAATACATTGCTTCTAAAATCGTTCTGTGTCAGAATACTGAAATCTGTTTTTTTTTTTTTAAATCGGTTTTTCCTTCTAATTATTATTTACATTGCTTTTAAAATCATTCTGTGTGACTATAACACGAAATGCCGTGAGACTGTGTTAAAATAAATAAACTTGCCTTGCCTTACAGCTGGGGTGTTAAACTCAATTTCATTGCGATCCACATCAGCATTATGGTTGTGCTCAAAGGGCCGGTTGTAACTTTAAGACTATATAAATATATAATAATACATATTAATATATAATATTAAATAATGTATTATATTAAATGATTGGCTCTGCATTGGATTATCAATTCTGGTAATAACTTCAAATGAAGGGCCTTGAGTTTGACACCCCTGGTTTACAGTCCACATTTTTATATATTATTATAACATTAAAACTACACACTTTCTCATTGACAAAAGAGTGTTTTATAATCACCTGATTTGCCAGAGCTCTTGTTGGTGGCGGGATGATTGAGGATCTTGTTGATCTGATGAAGCACCGTGGGAAATCCTCGGATCCCCTCAGAGTGGGGCGCCTTAGTGTCCGATCTCACTCCTGGGGAGGCAGACAAAACAACATTTAATACCAGTGAAAAGCTTGAGGTTCCTACAGATATCTAAGTCTAATTGAACCAATTTTCAAGGTGAATTTTCAAGCTTAACAAGGACTGCTAAGTTACATATTTATAGACGGTTCCTACAGTAAATGCAATATAGTGTTTATTGCAAAACAAGAAAAAATGCGTCTTTGAGGAAGACAGTCAATAACCTAAATTAACCTACAAAAGCAATTAAGCGCTCTTGGATTTATTCCCTTTCTTTATCTGAATAGAAAACTATTTTCAAGCAGTTTCAAGAACTTTATGCAAAATCCAGCACCCACAGCTAAAGAAACCGTAAAGCTGCCAATGCAAACATTATATTTTATTTGTCTCAGTTCAATCTCTATGTTTTAATACATCAGAACAATTTCTGCCTGTCAGCGTGTCCGGATAGAATTCAATGTCCCGGAAAAGTGGGAGAGATTCGAGTCAAATATTATCTGTGATTATTACAAATTATATATATGTATATAAAAATCACCTCATCAAGGCAAGTAGATTAATAGACTTAGAAGAAAGAAATACATATATTAAAGCCTACCCTTTAACACTCAACAACAAAATCCCTCAGCTTTAGGGATTCATATTCTACAAATGTCTCTGTCAAAGTCTTATAAATATCAGCTCACATAAAACTCTGGTCTACATCAGCAATGCTAATAATTCCCCAAATATCATTCTTCATACCTCTAGCCTCCAGGCTGCTGCTGAGTCTTCTCTCCGCCGTGTCCAGCAGCTGCCGGGACGTCTTCCACAGCTGGCAGTGGCAGCAGGCCAGGTCGAAGGCAGCCATAGCGGGGGGGCTGAGCTCCTCCAGGAGGGAGTGGAGGAGGATGGAGGAGTCAGAGGAGGAAGAGGAGGAGAAGCTGAGCCAGTACCCTTCCTCCAGGGAGGGCATGGGGTGAGCCGGGGTGCTGAGGAGGCGATCTGCGATGTCCGAGATGGAGTAGAAGGCTACACCTGCAGGGAAAACACACAAGACACACCCTGAGTTATCTACTGTACAGGATACGTGTTAAAAACATTGAAAAGGTCAAACATTTCAATACATCTAAGTGTTGGGATATTTAGTTTTGTGATGCTTTAAAAAGACTCTTATTGGTTTAAAATACAAGGTTTACATAACGTATTTAAATTAAAATAGGACACTTGTTAGAAGAGGAAGTGAATGGCTTTTGTTTTGAGGTTTTCTTTTGTAAGCTATATTAGGAAACAAACTGACTCTGTACAACAGGGAGGACAAGGCTCTTTAAATATAACTTTAAAGGTCCCATGTCATGCTTTTCTGGTTATTACCCATCCCCTTGTGTGTTATGTAGGTTTTTCTGCATGTAAACGGTCTGCAGAGTCACAAACCCTCAAAGTACACCCTGTAGCGAGTAAAACTCTAACACAGAAAAGACCTGTCTATGCTGCCCCAGAACGCCTCGTTGGGGATTTCTCTTTTTCCATTGTTTACTTCTTGGGTATAGTGAAGTATTTCGGGTATAGTAACGTAACGTCACGTCCGCGGAGCCGTTACGTTTGGACCAATCCGCGGACTTCCTCACACACACACACTCAGCGGGACGTTGCGAGGCTCGCTGCTGCGAGGAGCGGGACACTGTGAGCTGGCTCACTGGTGTGGGGTCGGCGAGACAGCGAGACACCACGGAACTCTGCCTGGGCACACACACAAACTCCCAGCCAGGCTGCGGGTGTGTGTGTGTTTCGGGTCTCGCTGTCTCGCAGACGGCCACTGGGCTCACAGGGGGGGGGGGGGGGGGCAGGAGCTCCAACAAGCCGTTTAGGACAGAGAGTGAATACACATACTATACAGAGATGCTGTATGAGAAACCAATGTGAGTTTGGAAAATTGCACAATTTAAATCTATTTTAGTAGACCTCAACAATGGAATTATGATCAGTAGAAATGGCCATGACATGGGACCTTTAACAGGTGGTTTTTATTTTCATTTATTTCTTAGATGAGCAGCAGAATACAATCTAAAGTAAGGAAAATATGTCTGACCCGCAGGAGCAGCACTTCAATGCTCAAAAACACTTTTATTGGTTTTTATGAATAGTTTACTTAACATATTTATAACAAATTAAGACATTTGTTGAAAGAAGAGGAAGTAAATGGCGTTTGTTTTGAGGAATTGTATCTAATTTAAACTATATTAGGAAATAAACTGACTGAGGGCAACGCTCTTTAAAATATAGCTTTAACAGGTGGTTTAATTTGCATTCCTTACTTAAAGTGGACCTATCATGCTATATTTGAATAATATATTGTAGGGCCATACCTATATAAAACATGTCTGTGAAGTTTTTTTTTCAAAATACCAAACAGATCATGCATTTTAGCCATGCCTCATTTCGCTCTGTTTGCTCTTTTCCAGCCCTGTTTTTGCAAGGGCTGATTCTGTGAGAAGTCTTCTTCGCTGCTTTTGTGGCAGACTACAGCGCCACCTACAGGCCTGGCATATGTACTACAATGTCTCCAGCGCTTTCGAGCGGCAATGGCCGTGGCCGTGGCCCAACCCCCCATTCCCCTGATAGGTGGAGAGTTGCCCATATAGGCGGAGCACCCCTTTTCTGACGTCAGAAAAATTCAAATAATTATCAGCTCCGTTGCAGCCCCGTTTTTAGAGATTTGGGTATGGAGGAAAAGAGAGAGGGTTGTGTTTTCTGACACTTGGTGAGTTCCCTGACACACCGGGGACACATATTCATGTATAGAAGACGTACAAAAGTGAATTTTGCATGATAGGTCCCCTTTAAAATACAGGATCTAAATGTAATCCGAAGTAAGGAAAAGACGTCTGACCTGCAGCCGCAGCACTCCCGATGGCCTGCAGGGTGGATCTCCCGCTGCTGCCCAGCCGAATCCTCCCTCCAGCTGACCCCAGACCCTCTGAGGAAGAGGAGGATGAAGACATGGAGCGGCTCTCCATCTTCTGCTCCACCCGGCCCAGCTCCACCAGCACCTCTTTGTAGCGCTCCATGAACACCAGCTCCGCGCTGCAGGCAGACGCCCCCAGATCAAACACCAGAGACACCTGCAGAGAACACAGGGAGTGAAGTGAGCTAAGAAGTCTCCAAAATAAAGTGTTGTTAAAATAATTTGTAAGTAGCTATTAAAGTAATTTGCTCATTTCAAAGCTACATATCCTCCAATTTCACTGTACATATTTGTATATTAAAGGTCACCTATCATGCTATCTTTATAGCATAGGTCTCAGATATATAAAAATATATCAAAAACATGTCTATGAAGTGTTTTGCTCAAAATACCAAACGGATCACCCATTCTAGCCATGCCTCATATCTCTCTATTTCACTTCCTGTTTCAAAAGTGATGATTTGGGGTATAAAGCTTTTAAAAAAAATCTCATGCGGGAGATTCTACCGGCAGATACTGTCTAAACTAAATACTGAGTGTGATGAAACGCCATATCATGGATTATCAAGGATTGTTTCTGAAACAGTATGGAGCTCAAAGGCTTTCTCTCTTGCCGGTTATACCACAAGGTGAGTTCCTTTTTATTTCCTGCTTCTTCACACACATGCTCTCCAGTACAGGTTAGCTCTGAGTGTTAGCGATGCTATGTAAACACCGACCATATTACGTAAAAGACATCAAAAAGTGCATTTTGCATGATAGGTCCCCTTTAATGCCTCTGTGTCTAATGATTAAGGAGACCATTTGTTTGTTTTTTATATTAAAACAGAGCTACCATGCTTTGCAAAACAACACTGGTGTGTGGCAATAATAAACTATCCATCTCCTATCCCTCTATAAATATATCTATGATCTCTTCAAAGCCGTCAGACTCCATTGAGAAAAACATTAATTCTACATCACAGCAGCACAGGGAGTTGCCCGTCTACAGCCGCCTTATTGTTTAATGTGTGTGTGTTATTGTGCGACTTTAAAGGGTTATTTGGATTCACCAAAGTCACACAACAACACAAACTAACCAATGAATGCTGCGTCGACCAGCAACCCCTGTGTATTGGGAGTAAAATTACTGCTTTTGTCAATGGAGTCTGGTGTTCTTATGCAACGATATTCAAATTTAAAGGGTACAGAAAATGACGTTTTAGGTGGTGTAAAACACAGCCACATCAGTACATTGCTTAGCTCACCGTTGGTTCTTCTGTCTGTTTCCTCCCACTGCAAACAATCAAACCAAACCCCTTCAACTTGTATTTAAATGAAGAGATTTTATAGTAAAGCCCCACAGACCTGATGAGCCTCCATGAAGTTCCCTCTGCGGATGCAGGACATGAGGAGAGACTCTGGGGGCGACAGCATGGCGGGGACCAGCCAGCTGTGAGGACCTCCACACGGACAAACCTCCACCTCCACACTCCCCCCTCCACCCTCTGACAAAGGACACACACATGCACAAAATAAATGAGATCTTCATAAAAAAAAAAAACATGCTTTCATTAACCCTGAAAGACAGACGCCTGGTTGGATGCTTTTGGAAGAAGCAAAGACTTCAAAAAGTAAGTTCTTAACAATTTAAAAGTTATTTTAATCGTCGTCTTTTCTTAAGGAGGATGAAAGCAGTTTTCGGGGAGCTAATCAGTGGCATCTATTTACATATTAATTGTCAAAGGAGAAGAAACTTTGGCAGGGTTTCTGCAAAGAATAAAAAGCACCCCTGTTAAGCCCCATAGCCCCCGCCGGCAAGCATGAATGTAATCAGCTAAATGAGCAGACAGGTAATGATTCGCTCTTGCAATCCCGCATTTTATTTTAGGAGAAGTAGATTTATCAATTTGATCCACTTCAGCTTGACTTCAACAGAGAGAATCAAACAATCGATCAAATAAAGGACAGGTTGTTGACTCCTCACCTGAAGCGCTGGGGCTCACTTCTCCGTTGTGTTTCTCCACAGAGTTTTGTCTCCCCGCTCTCTTCCTCCTCCTCAGACTCAAGCTCTTGCTGCGACTCAGAGACGAGACGGGAGAGCTGAGCGCTGAAACCTGGAGAGGAACGTCTGAACCTGCAGGAGAAATAAACAACAAGATCATATTCAGACAGTTAAAAAGCACAAGTCTAAAAAGGGGAACGCTAGAGTTTAACAGTCAAAGGAGTAGGTATGAAGAATAGCGTGTTTATCCAATATTTGTTTGGGACTATGGAATATAAAAAAAAATAGCTTATCTGTTAGCCTACACTTTTATGTTTGGAATAAATGTGTTTTTTTGTGTCACTATTACAGGAAAAAAAACAACAATGTAGGGCTGTGCAATTAATCGTATTTTAATCTCGATTACGATTTTGGCTTGCAACGATTACGAAAACAATGTAATCGAAATAAAACGATTATTATTTTTATAAAAAAAAAAAAAAATGTGATTTTTTTTTTTTTTTCTGTTGAATTATACTTAAAGTTCAGGGTAATCAACTGATAAAAACATACTGTTCACATTTTTTTTTTCAATATATGGATGTTTTCAAAGTAAATGGATAATCGTTTTTAATAATCGTGATATCAATTATTGACCAAAAATAATCGTGATTATGATTTTTGCCATAATCGCACAGCCCTACAACAATGCATGTATTTGAGTCGCATGGTTTGACCCAAATGAATCAAAAGATTAAAATCTGGAGGAATACCTGGTCCATCTCAGCGCTGGCAAGATGTTTAATAAATATTAAAACTCAAGTATGAACACTAGTGTGTGTAGGAACTTTTTTAAAATACATTTTCCACAGCACATGTGGTTTTCTGGTCGAGAAACATTATTTTCTTGCAGTTTAACTCCATTTTTAATATTGTTTAGCCTGTTATTCCTTCAATGTGTCTGTATATACTGTATGTGTAACAACGTGCTGATCGATGAGTTATACTGCTTACTACAGCCACATAAATACACCACACTGCACAAACCATTCATTCTGTTGGATGTCATTTAAATTAGCAGTGTTTCTAAATTTCACATTAACATTGAAACAAACACATTTTCTCTGCAATGGCGGAGATAAAGATATTCTACAACTTTCAGGAAACATTGATCAATAATTATTTGTGCCGCATTTCTTCGGAAACTGTTGTAAGCTATGCCTTAAATCTACTCTGAGGAGAATGTGCACAGTATTTCAGTATAACCATGGGCCCCCTGAGCTAACCTACACCTACTCCAACCAAAACTGTTACAGAAAGTAACTGGAAAAGCTAGAGAAATGTCTGATCCATCTCACCGCTCCCGCTGCTCTGGTTGCTGCTGATGATCTGCAGCCTCCACTGAGCCTCGGCGGTGCGTTTGGATAATCTCTGCAGACGAGCCGCAAAAGTCTCCGCCGTTATGGAGCATCCGAGACCCTCCGTGGCCTCCTTCCCCTCCTGAAGCTCCTCCACACTCATGCCCTCCAACCCTTCCTTCAGCAGCTTCAAAAAGCCCGTCATGGCCGTCACGTCAGCCAGGAACCCCCTGCAGCCCTGGATGAAGTGTCCCAGCTCCAGGTGATTACATTTAGGCAGCTTCTGCTTCTTTTTATTGTTCTCCGTCTCCTCCGTCCTCTCTTTAGCTCCCAGTTCTTCATCTGTGTTCCTGGTTTCTGATAAGCATTCAGACTGAGATGCATTCCCCTTGTGAGGGCTTGAGTTCGAGTCTTTGTGGATGTGTGGGGAGAAGTCGGCGGTGGAGAGGAAGAGAAGAGAGAAGATGTTCTCCAGGAGCTCCAGGCGGAAGATGGAGGGAACGGCCTGCAGGTGGAGCTGACATTCAGACAGGAAGTGCTGGAACAGAAGAGGAAGACCTGGAAAACACGAGATGCAGAATGAAAAACTAGATGTTTGAAATGGTGGAAGAAAAGAGGATCAGAATTAAGACTTAGACATACTTTATTAAGCCCAAAGAACACATTTAATCAAACAATTTTGAAGGATCCAGATCAAGGATTTGTCATTTGCTCTCGAGATAATCTGTTAATTTAGCCATAGTTTTTAAAAAGCATTTAATAGCCTTCTTTTATCAGAAGCATTATTATCTTCTATATATATATCTTTATTTATTTTTATATTTCTAATATCCTTTAAAGGTCACCTATCATGCTATTTTTAGGCAATAGCATAGGTCTCAGATATATAAAAATATATAAAAAACATGTCTATGAAGTGTTTTGCTCAAAATACCAAACAGATCATCCATTCTAGCCATGCCTCATATCCCTCTATTTCACTTCCTGTTTCAAAAGTGATGATTTTGGGTATAAAGCATTAAAAGGAAATTGATAAATAAAAAAAGGAGGGGTCTGAGCTCATGCGGGACCCGGCAGCTACTGTCTAAACTAAATACTGCCGTGATGAAACGCCATATCATGGATTATCAAGGATTATTTCTGAAACAGTATGGAGCTCAAAGGCTTTCTCTCTTGCCGGTTATACCACAAGGTGAGTTCCTTTTTATTTCCTGCTTCTTCACACACATGCTCTCCAGTACAGGTTAGCTCTGAGTGTTAGCGATGCTAATGTAAACGCCGACCATATTACGTCCAAAACAGTCGGGCATTGTTTCTGATAGCAACTTTCTGATAGGGCCGTGGGTCCGCATTTCAGATATTACGTCATATCGGACGCAAATCTGAATCAGCTCCGTTGAAGCCCCGTTTTTAGAGATTTGGGTACGGAGGAAAAGAGAGGGACACACCAGGGACACATATTTATGTATAAAAGACATCAAAAAGTGCATTTTGCATGGTAGGTCCTCTTTAATGTATTTTTTTCACAATAATATATAAGTATAAAAAAATATATATACAAATAATTCTAATAATATTTAAAAATATGTCAAAATAAAAATATTAGTTTGTCTTTTGATTGCAATGAGATTCTTTTTTAATAAAAGATACACATATTTTGTTCTACTATAAGGGTTTTTAAAGTCTTATAATGATTCAACACAACTACAAATAGTGTTCATTTAAAAACACTCAAAAGATAAGTGTCTGATTTTTTGTGCAAGCAAGATTTTGATCAGCTAAATGTGCAGACAGGAAACTGAAACTTCCCCACAGGAAATGAAGACAGATCGTACCGTCTGAGGAAGCAGGGGTTTGCTTGTCTTCTGTTTCTGTGCCAGACGTCTGCTGCTGCAGGGACTCACACTCGGCACAGTGAGAGTGTTTATGAGCGTTCACACACACAGCGTAGACGGCATACTTCATGGCACAAAACCCCTGGAACAAAACGATGTTCCTCTGCACACCAGAACTCAGATCACTGACGGCCTCAGGGTCTTCTGCATGGGGGAAAACACATTGTTCTGTTAGCAATTAACTCCAAAGATATTCAGACTGTAATACAGAGAATTATACCCTCAGCGAATTCATAAAGTATAATCGTAGTGGAATATGGCCCACACCTGAAACTTGTATTGTACGTCCTAAATATATATATATGTAGAAATTCAGTCAATTCAATTTGAAAACTTCTTCTAACAAATCTTAGTTGATTAAAAAAAAGCATTTGCATAACAAGCTTTTAAAAATAATTGTCCCTTATTATAATCAATGTGAGGCTTCTGTTTTAAGGAACGAGCTGCTAACACTTTTGTAAGAAACTAAATGAAACCCTATGGAGAGCTGGGATGTAGGCTGTTTTTTTTCTTAAAATCTCAATGCATTACATTAATGGTGAATGGTAAATGGACTGTACTTATATAGCGCTTTATCCAGTCTTTAAGACCCCTCAAAGCGCTTTACATACTACAAGTCGTTCACCCATTCACATCCATTCATACAGATACCTTACTCTAGGAACTAACATTCACACAGAGCAGTGTACCTTACTCTAGGAACTAACATTCATACAGAGCAGTGTACCTTACTCTAGGAACTAACATTCATACAGAGCAGTGTACCTTACTCTAGGACCTAACATTCACACAGAGCAGTGTACCTTACTCTAGGAACTAACATTCATACACATTCACACACCGTTGGCCATGCCATCAGGAGCAACTCAGGGTTAAGTATCTCGCCCAAGGATACATCGACATGTTGACTGCATGGGCTGGGATCGAACCCACAACCTTCTGGTTGAAAGACGACTGCACTCCCTCACAGCCACAGTCGCTCTAATGTACAACAATATTTTGTATTATTTTTAATATTTTTCTAGTTCTCGACCTGTGTTTTTAATTCTTGTTTTTACGCACCATGACACCAAGTCAAATTCCTCGTACGTGTAAACCTACCTGGTAATAAACCCGTTTCTGATTCAAGTTTGGAGCATCATTTACCTACATTTGATTGATTTTGCTAACCTATAACTTAACATATGAGGCAATATACATCACCTCAAGTGAGTGGTGCAGCCTTTCGTATATTTCTCTGTGTGTGGCCCTCAACAGTTTGGACCCCCCTGCTCTAATAGATTAAAAGAGGATGGAGATGCTGACCTGGTGCAGGTGAGTTTGGCAGCGGCTGCAGCAGATCCAGTATCCTGCGCTCCTCAAACTGAGGAAGAGGAGTGAGAGAGTGCAGGATATAGAGAGCGGAGTGATGGTCCAGAGTATGAAGCTGAGCCAGCAACGCCTCCATAGAAATCCCTCTGTGCACAAACAGTTACCATAGAAGGAATGATTCAATATTAATCATTATGCATCATATAATGGCTTTTTAAAAAACAGTAACACTATTAAGAACTATTAGAACATCTTTAAGAAAGGTGTTTATTGCAGCCGTATTATGGAGAACTGAACTGTCTATGCCACACGTGTCAAACTCAAGGCCCGGGGGCCAAATCAGGCCCTTGGTGGATTTAATTTCGGCCCGCAGGATAATTTCTAATTACTATTAGATCTGGCCCGCCGGTATATTGCACGCACACCTTCACTCCATCCTGAGGGTCTCCTCAGCTCAGAGCCTGACCCCAAACATTGATGAACTTGCACCCAAGATGAGATGCCAAGTATTTGGCTTGAACTAGCATCACAGAGCAGCACACTGAGTTTACATGGATGTTTCCTTCTGCACTTTTTCTCTTGAGACAACAGGGCATGTTTGGTTTTTGTCTTTGAGGGAAATAGTTTGTTGGTTCCAGGTTTAATATGTGCAATAAGTTCATTTCAATAAGTTCTGCAATAAACATTGAACCAGTCCGGCCCTCGACTAGTACCCATTCTTTTATTTTGGCCCACTGTGTATTTGAGTTTGACACCCCTGATCTATGCAATGCATCCAAATCAATGTTTATAAGATAAGAGGTACTTTATTGATCCCAATTCGGAAAGGTTTGTGTTGCAGCAGCAGAAAAAACTAAACAAAGGCATTGCATATTCAGTTTATTATCAGTGACATAAACCGGAATTTAGGGAAGAAAAAAAAATGATATTATTTTATAAAATACTTTTTTAAAAACGTCTTATTCTTATTTATTTTATGAAAATCAATAATGGCACTTTATAAACAAACATAGAAGAGCATTTAAGGTCAAACTAAATATATATAGCTGTCATTTTGGGAGTTTTTCCCCTTTTTTTAAACTGAAATAAAATATATACATTAAAAAAACACACTGGCAATGAAAGGGTTAAAATTGTGTAAATTAATGCATTATTGGTTTCTATAATCAGGACTAAAATTGGAAATAAAGAGTAATATTGAAATGTGGCAGACCTTTTCCACAGACACAAGGGTTCAAAATAAATACAAAGTAAGATGGGGTAAAAATTCAGTCAAGCTTAAAAAATAAAAACACAAATGCTTACGGATTGTTGTTTTTACACCATTCAAGGACTCCAAGCTGAGAGGACAACAGGTTGGAAAACTCCTGCAGAACGGAGTCATTGGCTGCAGCCTGAAACAGATGGTTTGAGGATAAGTTAATAACATTATTAAGCTGTAAATGATCTGTATTTGTGGAGGTTTTATCAGACGTCTGACCTGCTCTCGGTGCAGGACGCTGAGCAGCGTTTGGGCGGCGCTCAGGCTGCGACACTGCGTCCATCCCAGGAGCAACAGCAGGCGAGAGAGAGGCTGAAACTCCAGCTGAAGTAAATCTCTCAGCGCAGAAAACTCCTCGTGTTTGATCAGGTCCAGAGCCGTGATCTGCAGGAAGGAACCAAATTATTACATTATTCAATTTCATCACATGTGCATGGCAGCAAATGCTCATACTGCCAAAACAGCAAATGGCTCACATGATGAATATCAATGTGAAAAGATGAAGCTGGTACTGACAAACACATCGAAACAATTATCCCCTGACTTGGCATCTTTTATCTTCTCTTATATCTAAATAAAATAAATAGTATATACATAGAGAATTTCACAAAATGTAGTATTAAAAGCAAAGTATTATTTATACATAACTTAGAATCAGTAATATTTTTGTATATCAATTTGACACTGCTTAATTTTGTATTGTATAATCATTCTCATGTTAAAGGTGGGGTAGGTAATTCACTTCAGAAACACTTTTTGTTATATTCCATGGAATGCTCTTAACATCCCGATAGCAATGAATATATTAAATGCTTTGCCGTGGAAGCCGTGGCGCTGTAAAAAGCACGACCAATCATCTGCCTCGGCCCGCGGCAGATAACTGGATGGCCTACCTGCCTGTCAGCCTTCCATCTCGTGCACAAACTTATCTCGTGCCCTCATTGGTCATGTGCGCGTTTGTGTGTGTTGGAGGAGGGGCTCTGTAAGGAAGTCTGAAGGAAGGGGCAGATTTTTTGCGGTTGTGTACTTTCAAATTCTAGCGCACTCGAGCTGGTTTCTCCATTCTTACCTACCCTACCTTTAAGTTGTTGTATTATTGTTTTACACATTCGAAATAAATCTAATCAAATCAAAAGTCAAATCAAAAGTCAAATCAAAGCTGTGACCTTGGCTGACTAAACATTACGGCATGGGAACTATTAGCCAACATGATGATTAACGTCACTGTCAGGACTTATTAGGGAGTCATGATCGTTCTGGAAAAAGACTCTGCACACTGTAGGCATTTGTAAACGTAAATAGTATTGCTAGTTAGTGTTTTCCTCACCAAGACCTGCTCCAGGAAGTGCTTCCCACTGCTCAGGCACTCAAAGTAAATGGTCTTCCAGATGGACGGGCGATCCTTGTGGCAACACAAACTGAGGGCCAGCTTCTCCGCTTCAGGAAGCTCCACTGAGAGAGGGATGTAAACAAGTATGAGGATCCATAACATTGATGACAAAGGGAATGTGTTGGGAAAATAGTGAATATACTCTTCCAATATCAGAGTCCACATGCTAACAAAGGTATCCCAACTGTAGCTGTGTTCATGACAGGATGTATGATTACCTAGAAGAGCATCAGGACTGTTTTAGGCATATGATAGCTATGTGATTAACATGATGATTCAGCCTCTATGGAGATAGACATATGACAAGCATGATCATTTCTGACGTGGAGCTAATCTGAAGTAAACATTGAATACTGCTTTCTATTCCTCCATCTTGTGACTGTGTAACTCCCTCTCTTGGATATCAGCATGTGAAGGACACTGTTCAGGAACTAGTTGATGCTCTGTATGTGATGACTACTTCCATTCTGGAGAGGATCAGAAATACATGGATCCTGAGATTGAAGCTCAAGCCGGTGACCAGTGATTATTAACATTTTTAAGTACTAAAAGATACAATAGATAATACAAAATCACTAGTTAATCACAACTGTGAAATCTAAATCTTGCCCTCAGATCTTTAGAAATATGAAATCTATGCTGACGCTAACAAAACTGCAGAAGAGCAAAAGAAGATGTCACGTTTCAGTGACACCAAGCAAAAACTGCTGAGCGTTTGAAGCCACAGAAGGAGAAGTGTGAATACAAGAGGAAAAGAGATGATCACAACAATTGAAGAAGTCAAAACCTCAGGCTATAAATATTATATATCGGTGAAACCAGTTGAGAGGGGGAAGTGATTTATAGGAACATGCAGATTTTTTGGGCAGTCTGCTTAAAGGTAGGGTAGGTAATTTACTTCAGAAACACTTGTTATATTCCATGGAATGCTCTTAACGCCCCGATAGCAATGAATACATTAAATGCTTTGACAATAAATACATTAAAAAAATGTAATCTGTGGAAGCCGTAGTACTGTAAAAAGCACGACCAATCATCTGAGCCGGCCCGGCTAAAATAACTGGACGGCCTACCTGCCTGTCAGCCTTCCATCTGTGCACAAACTTATCTCGTGCCCTCCTGCACAACGGGGCCTAATCGCCAAAACTCCATTCCATTTATTTGTGTATTCCTGGCAATAAATATGCATTCTTATCAAAACCGTCTCTCCTGATTGAGATCAGGTTGTTTTAAATGTGCTATATAAATAAATAAAGATTGAGATTTTGATCCAGAGTAAAATATCTTCCTCTGTACCTTGAGTTTGAGGCTTAACGGCCACATCACTGATTCATGCTGAGTTTGAGTTTGAGTTTTAGTAGGTAGGGTGCAATCCAGATGAAAACTTAAATAATTGAAGTCAAAGAAGGGAAATGTTTACGTGTAATTTACAAATAATAATGTGTTACGTGATATAATAATCAGCATTATTCATTTAAATACACTACTGTTTATATTATATTATATTAATTACAGGTCAAATATCATTTTATTACAGCGTTTATATTTTTACATTGTCGTAAATATTTGTATTTTATCTTGTCATTATTTTTTATTTTCATACACTGTGGTTCAATGTTTAACATTTTAACTTCCCTATGTTTAAATAATAATTTTTTTATAATTTCCTTATATTCTTTCTTGATTTATTACTTTTTTTTTTATAATATTTTAGTTCAACTTTAACTTCTCTGTTTATATAATTTTACTTCATTTGACATTTAATCAATTCATTTAGATATCATTTATTTACTGTTCATTTATTATTAATTTAAATATATATATACTTTTTAAAAGATGAATCAACTCCAAAATCACATGTGTGTGTCGTGTTTTTATCAAAATGGCCTCCTCTCTACCTTGAGTTAGAGGGGCGCTCCTCAGCAGGTGGTCCCTCTGGAGCCTCAGGGCGACGGAGCAGTACACGGAGACGAGGTCGTCCCCCTGAGGGCGGAGCAGTGAGCCCAGGACCCTCTCCTCCTTCAGGGGCCCGTCTCTGGCCCCCCACAGGGCCTCACACAGGGCCTCCAGCTGACCCCCGCCCGTCTTCCTGGAGCTCCACGGCATCACGGACAACACGGAGTACATTTCCTCCACAAACTGCTCCACCTTCTCAGGCCGAGACTCCGGTTTCCTCAGCTGCTGCAGCAGGTGTTGGATGAAGGTGAGCTGCAGCGGACGCTCCTCTGAGGAACACTGGGAGAGGGGGAAATAATAATAATAATAATAATTCATTCCGTTTAGAAGCTTTCAAAGCACCCGAGGACACCTTACAATTCATAACATATTCTAAGGAAAGGTTTAAGATAGTACAAAAGGACCGTAACAGGATTCACATGTAATGAAATGTACTTTTGAACTGTTGGCCATGAGGGTTGTGCAACAGGTCGCCGTCAGTATGTGCGTCTGTGTTTTGTGTTTGTTCAAACGGTGTATGAGTGATGATATGTGAATGTATTTTAATGTTTATTATATTTGTATATGTACATGTATGTGGAACTGCAGGACGGAGTCCAGAACAAATTTCCTTACGGGGACAATAAAGTGTATCGTATATCGTATCTTATAAAACGGACAAGTCAAATCAAGCAATCTGATTGGTTCTTAGCCGTGATATAATGAGCGTATATCACGGGTAGAATTGTAGTTACTTTTCACAACAAGTCAGTATCCCTCCGCGTCTGAGAAAAGCTACAACTGTTACAACTGTTACATTACGTCCGTTACGAAACTAACTAACTAACAAAGCTTAAGATGGAAACATGTAAGGGATAATGTGCAGCAAGGACTTATTGACCGTTGTTAAAGGACGCTCACATCTGCAGAAAGAAGTCCGGTCGATTTAACTGTACACAGTTGGGCTGAAAAGCAAACTGCATGCTTTTCAAACTGGGACAAGAAAACAGCGGAGAAGTAACGGGGCAGAAACCCTCCTTTTTACGCAACGGTCCAGACATAGACATCAAACGGCAAAACATATTCAGTTGCCAGTTACTTTGGCATTAGGGCAGGGATATCTAGATACTTTCCAAGGTTTGACATCATGAATTGTGCTACTTTTAAAGCAAGCAACAATGTTTTCAAATCTGTAATCAAAAAGCTCCTCAAAAACGCTATCGAAGCAGTTCCTATCGTTGCTACGTAGTTCAAACAGTAACAACGGACTATTTTTGATCTGCCTGTCAGTTAAGGGGGGTTGAACCACGGCCCTTAACTGTGATATAATGACCATATACCACGGCCTGTCGTGAGCTATTGCTTAAGTATATCGTATCGTATGTAGGGAAACGGACAAATAGACAAAACATATTGGTATTTTCCCACAACACATAATCACATTTTTAAACCTTCACATTCATATAATCAACTTATAGTAAATGCAACCAACATATACCTATTCATATCTTACACTATCTTCTAATAAATACAATTAGTTATGTTTATTTAACCTGAAACACAAATGAAGGGGACTCCTCATTTACCATGATTGCAACAAAAGAAAAGGGCTAACAATAAAAACAAAAATTATTAGTAGCTAAAAGTAAAAAAGGATCATAAATATTCTATAAATAAATAAAATGATAACAGTGTAATTTTAAATTATAATAATAAAAACAAATCAATCAATGGATTTTATAAATGAATATGCACACACGTTTATAAAAGAGACATCATTTCTATTTCCACTCTTTGCATATTACTTTATAAAGTTTTAATCCGTTTTTGTTGCTTTAAAAAGTTATAATATATCTATCATTACCTGTAAGAAATGTGCTAAGGTCTGGGCAAGTCTGGGCTTCTTCTTCTCCAGTAACGTCCGCAGGCAGGACTCGACCGCGGCGTCTGTTGACCTTTGACCCTCTGGAGGTTTTTGCTCCGACTGCGAGTTCAGAAAGGCCCGGTGCAACTCCTGCAAAAAAGATGTCAGACTAAAGTTACCATTTCAACAGTCACGCTAATCCCCAAAACACAACATATGAAATAATCTGCATGTACGTGGCCGGTGTGAACATACAGTATAATTGTGTCTCAGTTAATTAAATGGTTAAGCGTTTTATTATCTGGTTTTTACTATTACATTTTCAACAGTAGACGCCGGTTGTTAAATGATTAAATGGTGAGAACCTTGAGGACAGTCTCTGGTATGTTTTCTGAGCCGAGTTCCTCCAGGAGCAGCAGGAACTCCAGCTCTCTCCTGACGTCCGGAGGAACCTGCAGAGGACAGTAAACAACAACAATTGTATTTATAAACTTTATTCGTAAAGCATCTTAAATACAAGAAATGCAGCTCGAAGTGCTTCAAACTTAAAGAAAATTAACATAAAAGAAAGGGATAATCAAGCCCCCAGGAAGTGCGCCGGACTCTGATGAAAATATTCGTTGTGTCCAAACGGCGGTACTACAACTTCCGTATCAGTCCTTGACGTCACCCGGCCCAGAAAGACTTTTCCCCATTGACTAACATCGGGAAAGAGACGTCTGTAAATCAGCGGATACTTTTTTTTAAACTAAATAAACTACCCAGTATGAACTATTGTATAGCCCTTATTAGAATCATTAGGTCCTTAAAGTTGTAAAATGCACTAAAAGCCGAATGTAGATGTATTTTCTCTCTCCATTCATTCTAGTGAGCCGAGAGTGGGCGCTCAGGGGGCGGGGCTTAAGGGGCACATGCTCTGTGACTGCACATACGGGGTGTTACTCAATCTCGAGTACGCTTGCTTGGTAGCACATGTCTTCCGAGTCACTTGCTTCAGAAGCGAGGCAAGAATATTTCCTGGCATTCGGAAAACAAAGAGTGGAACAGGCTAGCAAGTGTGCAGGTGTGCGTCATATGAGAGGCCCCGCCTTACATTTTCCGCCACAGATTTGGGGACATTGGTCCGTGCGCAAAGCATTGTGGGGATTTTAAGACCGCGCAGTCTACACATGTGCAGCCTCGAAATTTCTCCAAACGAAGTACGCTGGGCTCGGTAGATTTCCAAGTATACTGGAGATTGGAACAGTCCTTCGGCGGCACTCGATGACGTAGTATGCTTGAAATAGTGGCTCTGGAGCAGCTTTACTCGACATTGAGAAACACCCACGGGTTCTTCTGCTCTGACAGCTAGGCATGATGGGTAATCTGTGACGTTTCACTCTCTCAAAAGTTGGGCCATTTTGCCTTCATGCGCCAATGAGCAGCTCTCATAGGAAAGATAGAGACCCCGCCTCCGACGCTGTATCCAGCAACCCATTTACAGCATGAATCAATAATTGATAAACCAATAAAGAAACTGCAGCAGCCCTCTCTTATTCTCTTCTCAGATTTGTTTCTACATCAGTGGTAAATATTTAAGAGTAGATGCATCATGTCAGTGTGTGGATTCTGTTTCAGCTGTATTTTCACACCGTTTCATAGCACGACATGTCTGCTTTTTAAAAAGCACAGGGCACATTTTCAAGACAGATTTCCTGATTCCAAGAACGATTTACTTCCAAATAAGATAACTCAAATACCAGAAATATAGTTTTAGTTTAACTTGAACAAATAAAAACAAAAGAAAGAGAGCTTGATTTGTATTCATATTGATATTGATATTTGTAAAGTGTTACCTGCTCGTCTGTCCATTTCTCCAACACCTGAAGCCAAAACCAAGCCAGTTTGTGCGGACTGCCCACAGACTCCCATCTGCAAAATAAACATACAGTCATTAAATATACAGCAAAAAAAAAGTATACACACAATTGTAATATTAGGGTTTTTAGCAGACCTAATAACGAGGGGTGTCAGAATTAAATCAATCCGGATCGGCTTTAAGATCATTTTTAAATGTATGTTTTTATTTTTGAAAAACCTGACTAATAAAAACCATTTGCTCTTAAACATGTTATCATTTTACACTTACACTAGTGTACAATTATTACTGTATACACTTATATAGTAAACAACAGGAGGTCTACTTTTTTTATAATAAATAGTTTTTATAATTGCATTTAAATGTCTGCAAGAGCCTGGAAAAAGTGCTCAAAAGTGCTTTTTATGAGTTCAAATAAATGAATTTTATCGTGCTAAATGTGCATATGATATCGCCCTCATCAATGCTCCAGGAAATAGTGCTTCATGTTAGATTTTTCTAAAAATTCATACAAAACGAACACCCTTATGTCTTGTGATTGTGAACATGCAGCACTGTGACTCACTTTAAGTTGTACGGGTGGCTGACGATGGCTTTGATTATGTCTCGCAGTTTCTCTGAGAGCCCCCCCGTGGAGTTGACCAGCTGAGGGACGCAGGCGTTGGCCAGCTCCCACTCCCCGTGCTGCAGGCATCTCTTAAAATACTCAAACAGCTCCTGCAGGGAGGTCTCCGCCTCGCAGCCGAAGGGATGCATGACCACTGTCACTGAGACCCTCCTCCAATCCGCTCAGCCGTCACAAGTGGACACGCTCCGTCACTGCCATGAAGCCCAGGGGGAGACTCGAGCTTTGTTCACCTGAAAGAGAGACAAACAAGTAATAACAATGGTGAAAAAAGTGCTGAGACAATAAGAACAATATCAAAGTCAAAGTCAACTTTATTGTCAATCTTCCAGTTTGTGTGTACAGACAGAGAGATCGAAATACCGTTTCCCACAATCCCGAATACAAAAATACAAATATATATAAAATATGTATATCCTATACAGTGTTTCCCCTACCATTCTTGGCGGAGCCCCGCACCCCGCCTGAAATTCAAGGTGTTTTTTTTTTTTTTAATTAAAAAAAAATATATATATATAGCACCAAATTGCAACTGAAGTAATCTATCTAAACAGGAAGGAAGTTGTTTCTGGATAATCAGATTCTAAAGCTCTCATTAAGTATGATTCCTTTTTGGATTTGGATTAGTTTCAAATGTATTTCCTTATACTTCTACACACAATAAGTCCTGTTTGGCAGTATAAGTAAACAATATAACGTGTGTAATGTTTGATTTTACATTTCCTCCAATTATTACAGTAATGCAGTACATGTTTTACAGCATACTTGATTAGATCTGATCATTACCGAACACCTTTATGTATACAGAGTTTGACAAACACACATATTTTAGATACTTTCAGCTTCAAAATCCCTAATATAGGTTTGCTTTGTAAATGTAATACATGATTACAGAGTCAGACAAACATAATACAGAATGTAAGCCTATGCATAGAATATTTGAAACTCATTTTATTGAACTAGAGGATGTATAAAGTCAATAAAAAACACATCGATCGACACATTTTTTGATTGAGCCCAATTGATGTCTTATTTTTCATCTGTACCTTTAATTGTCTGTGCAAACAAATAACTCAAGATACAAAATAAATAATAATAGATGTCTAGTGAGCTGCTGTAGTGACTTTAACTACGCTATTTAGTTAAATACACTTTTAAAATGACAATATTTATATCGTTTCTTCTCAGATTTGACAGCTGTCTTATGTCACAGGATAGCATTAGCATTAGCTTACATTCTTGCTGACTGGCTGAATGCAAAACATTAAGTTAGCTAACATCCTTAACAGACTTTAGAAACACACACACATCATGAACAAGTTAGCGAGTATTTAATAAAGTTACTTACTCATTTCTTTGTGTCGTTTTGCCCCAAAACGGAGGACTATTTACACTCCTGCTATCTCTGCTGTTGTGCTAGGAGGCTAGCTGCATGTTAGCGAAGGTCATGTGACCAAATCAGCTGATTGTCGAACGCCGGTTGGTCAAAGGTTGGCACGAGGTGGGCGTTTTCTTCTGCTACTGCTGCTTTTAGGAACTGTCGGAAACACCGCCATCCAAACAGGATGACACAAAACAAACCGTGTATAACATCTGAGTTGTATTTAATTTGACAAACAGATGTCGGTAAGAGTATGAAGAAATGCACTGTATGTAGAAGAATATATATTACATTTTATTTAATGTATTAAATGTTATAGAATTAGGATAAAAAAGTGATTTTACTTGAGTAGTAAAAGTTGTAATGCCAAAATCACAGGTATAAATTCCTTCATTCAAATCTTACTTAAGCAGAGGTGGAAATACATTTACTCAAGTACAGTACTTAGGTACCATTTTGATGTACTTGTAGTATTTCCATGTTATGCTACTTAGTACTTCTACTCCACTTCAGTTCAGAGGTAAATGGTGTACTTTTACTCCACTACATGTATTTAATACATACCAGTACCAGTTTACGAGGTTTACTGTGACCATTGAAGGCAGCATCAGGTGAAGGTTACGATACAACATGTGAAGCACGCTCACTGCAGACTGAAAGCAGCAACAACGCAGCATTAACATGCAGAAAAATGATGAACCCACTCATACACATCAGTGTTTAAAATCTTCTTTAACCCACTTTCCATCCACATAATCATAATTGTATTGGCACATCATGCATTTGCAGCCTGTAATATATCCCCCTTCCTGTCTCCCCCCATTATAAATGCCAATTTGGGAGCCAGTCTCTATGACAACGTGGAGCAGGCGTGGTCTATTATCCGGAGTCTCAGTTGGCATCACGGCTGCAAACCTCCACACTGTATCACGCCCTGAGTGGAATGGAAGAACAGGACAAGAAAGAAAATGTACGTATTTAGCTCAGTAGCATGCGTGTTGTAACATGTCTGCAAAAAGTATTTATTGCATGTAGGATATGTGATTTACTGGAGGAACTACAGGCAGTTTAGTGCAGCTGAGTCACTGTTAAAGATGTGCATCAATGGAGCTTTTGTTCCCATCGGTGGCTGTGCTTTATTCTGCAGATTAAAACACCAGCATGCTGCATGATGAAGCAACAGCATGCGATATTAAAAGTGATTTTGATCGGTGGGCCTCTCCCTGTGTGAGATGTCTTTCTAACATCTATTTTGTTTGGCAGGGGGAGTACAGCGGAGAGATAAAGGGAGGCATGCGGCCTTCAATGAAGCTGGTCGTTATGGGAATTATTAACAGTAAACCCAAGAGGTGAGTGCACACACCTGTTTCCATTTTTGCAACAAAAAAAAGCGGATTCTGCATTATTGATATGGCCTACTGTTGCATGACGTGGCAGCAGATTCAAGTGGTGGAAAGTACATTTACTCAAGTTTTGTGATTAAGTACTATAATTACACTTGAGTTGTTTGAGTATTTCGATGTATTCCTGTTATAAACATGTATTTACTTGGTATGTCCCCTCTGGATTTATTACACAGTATTTAAAAAGTAATATAGTATTAGCTCCAAATTGACAAACATTACATTCTTCTTACATGTATTGTATGTACAGTAGCCTATGTATTTGACAATAACAGAATAGTATAATATTCAATAATAATGTAATAGCATTCTGTGAAAAGAGCCATTCTGCATACTGAGTACTTTTACTTTTTTATTTAGTTGATAATACTTATGTACTTTTAAATAAATAACTTTTACTTGTAATGGAGATTTTTTCACTGCAGTATTTCATTTTTTACTTTCTTGAAAGGTGAAGTAAGTTACTGACTTTCTATTCAATCTGAATTTCACAGCACTGTCAGCTGTGTTTTAGTTGCATATGCCAACCACCAGATATATGTCCCGTTTTGGGAAAAGACTCTCTGTAATGCCAGTGTGTTTCCTAATTATAGTTAAGTATGTGGATGTGGTGGGAAATCTGCAAAATCCCATGAAACCTAAAGAGTCACACTGGGATTTCTTGAGTTGATAACATCAGTCGGCTCATTACTCATTCAGTCATCAGTCAAGATCCAGTAAACGATGGCAGTGAGGCTGCACAAAATAAACATTCAGTGCTAAAATAAACTCTGATGCAGAACTGTTTCTATGTCAAGACACTTATTTATAGCTGCAGCGACATCAGGAGGGTTTTAAGGACAAGTAGTCTTCAGGCCATTTCCCTGAACACTTTATTTAACATGACAAGCATTTCATCTGCATTGTATTTCTCTTTCTAATAAGAGATTATTTAATCATGTGTTGCAAAACACGTGTGCTTTATCATCTTGGTACTCGGATCAAGTTCAAATCAGATGCATCTGACCAACAATTTACCCAGAATTACACAATCTTCTGCAAAAAAAAAGATTTTAAATACTTTTTTATTAAACTGTCATTTTGTTATTTTGTCTTCTACTTTAAAGAGTCCTCTCCTGCTGATGTTCAGGTGTATATCAGTATGTAGTGTCTCTACTTTAAAGAGTCCTCTCCTGCTGATGTTCAGGTGTATATCAGTATGTAGTGTCTCTACTTTAAAGAGTCCTCTCCTGCTGATGTTCAGGTGTATATTAGTATGTAGTGTCTCTACTTTAAAGAGTCCTCTCCTGCTGATGTTCAGGTGTATATCAGTATGTAGTGTCTCTACTTTAAAGAGTCCTCTCCTGCTGATGTTCAGGTGTATATCAGTATGTAGTGTCTCTACTTTAAAGAGTCCTCTCCTGCTGATGTTCAGGTGTATATCAGTATGTAGTGTCTCTACTTTAAAGAGTCCTCTCCTGCTGATGTGCAGGTGTATATCAGTATGTATTGTCTCTACTTTAAAGAGTCCTCTCCTGCTATGTTGTGTCTCCACTTTAAAGAGTCCTCTCCTGCTGATGTTCAGGTGTATATCAGTATGTAGTGTCTCTACTTTAAAGAGTCCTCTCCTGCTGATGTTCAGGTGTATATCAGTATGTAGTGTCTCTACTTTAAAGAGTCCTCTCCTGCTGATGTTCAGGTGTATATCAGTATGTAGTGTCTCTACTTTAAAGAGTCCTCTCCTGCTGATGTGCAGGTGTATATCAGTATGTATTGTCTCTACTTTAAAGAGTCCTCTCCTGCTATGTTGTGTCTCCACTTTAAAGAGTCCTCTCCTGCTGATGTTCAGGTGTATATCAGTATGTAGTGTCTCTACTTTAAAGAGTCCTCTTCTGCTGATGTTCAGGTGTATATCAGTATGTAGTGTCTCTACTTTAAAGAGTCCTCTCCTGCTGATGTTCAGGTGTATATCAGTATATAGTGTCTCTACTTTAAAGAGTCCTCTCCTGCTGATGTTCAGGTGTATATCAGTATGTAGTGTCTCTACTTTAAAGAGTCCTCTCCTGCTGATGTTCAGGTGTATATCAGTATTTAGTGTCTCTACTTTAAAGAGTCCTCTCCTGCTGATGTTCAGGTGTATATCAGTTTCAGGCAGTGGGTGTGTGGGAGAGAAACTCCCTCTGGAGGGAACACGGGGATTTTAGCCTCTGCAGACCATTTACATGCACTAAAACCTTTAGAACACACTACAGGGAAGGAAAACCCCCCAAAAGCTGAATAGTGCCTCTTTCAAGTGTATGCCTTATTAATATAATACAGCTGTGATTTACACCAGAAGATGTCACTGTTCTACAGAGAATCCACATTTTTCTTAAATGCAATGTTCTGTTTTCCTTCCCTGCAGCATGGAGGTGGTTCTGTCCTGCGCTCCTCAGGAGGAAGAGGAGGAGGCAGATGTGGGTCTCCAGCTGAAGGTGAGCTTCACGGAGAAGGCGGTGCAGAGAAACGCTCGTGTGGCCGGGAAGTGGGGACGGCCTGAAACTACACTTTCATACTTTCCCTTTGCAGCCGGAGAATCCTTCAAGGTACGTTCATAACCTCTGATATTTGTACAAGCCTGAGTAATGGCAGGTGTAAAGTAACTAAGTACATATACTCAAGTACTGTACCTAAGTACAATGTTTAGGTACTTAAGTACAGTACTTGAGTATTTCCATATTATGCTACTTCATACTTCTCCTCGTCTACAATTCACAGGTAAAAGGTTAATTACTCCACTACATGTATTTAATCCCTTTAGTTACTTTACAGATCTGGATGAATGATGTGAAATATAATCAAGTGTTAAATCAGACTTTAGTTCCACCTGGAGTAAATTCACAAGCTACCCTAAAGTATACAAAGTCATTCAAACTAGCTGCACCTTTACCAGCTTTGAGAACACTTTCATGATCAATCATTATAAAACATATCATATATATTATTCTGAAATGGACCAATCTGCACAATGACTACTTTTACTGTCGCTACTTTAACTATATTTATATATATATATGTATAACTTGAGGAACATTTTGAATGCAGGACTTTTACTGTAACAGAGTATTCCTACACTCTGGTACTTCTACTTTTACTCAAGTACAAGACCTGAGTACTTCTACTTTTACTCAAGTACAAGACCTGAGCTCTTCTCCCACCTCTGAACCAATGTACTTAAAGTATCAAAAGGTGAAGTACTCATTATGCACAATGACCCCTGTCAGTGTTGAACAGAGGTTAAGATAATACCTACTCCAACATTGGAATATACAATACATATGGCAAATAAAATATTGCAAAATAGCTTACAGCTTCTTCCTCCAACAATTCAATATACTTAAGCTATTATTGTAATGCCTTGTGTGTGTAAACCTGATCTGATCGTTTTTTTTCCAATTAAAACATTCTTATTGAGGAATCAGCTCTGCCAACACTGACACAATCTGTCTGTCTACACTGCCTGTGTTTTAACATGTTCTTTTTGTTTTATTTGTTTTGTTTTATTGTTCTGTTTTTTTATTAACATTTCCAGTACTGTATGTTGCATGTTTTTATTTTATTTTATTTACTTGTTTAAAAAATGAAATGTGTCTTTCGGGTGACTTAAAAAATATGTCCAGGGACTACAGATGAAAAATAGCCTCTTTGCTAACTCTGGCACATTTACAGAAATGTTGATTAATGTGCACTGTCCCTGTTAAAATAAATAAATATTCTCCGCTCTTTCCTTTTCTTCAGATGGAGATTGTGTGTGAGCACCAGCAGTTTCGTATTTTAATAGACGGCCAGCCTCTGTGTGGTTTCACCCACCGTGCCCCTCCCGCTCGCCTCCCTCACCGCCTTACACGTCTCCGGAGACCTGCAGCTCACCAAGGTGGCCTAGCACCAACGAAGAAGAATGAGGACAGCAAACATACATTTAGCGACTTTTTGAAGTGAAAAATTAGCCCTTTATGGGAAAAACAAAGTGACACCTGCCTCGTAATCACGTGTAAAAGTGCCTTCACTAGATTACCTGTTAGGGACTTAACGACTGAATGTCTTAAAACAAACTAAGGAATGTGATTCGTGCTCTAAGATGAAATATTTCCCCCTTTCCTGATGTGCAAACATGATGTGTCACTGCATAAAAAACATAAAGTACTTAAAAAGGATTAGGGACACGTACATTTTTCAAAAGATATGACCAAAAGGGATTTTTTTATTTTTTTGAGTTCAGAAATTACAGTCAAAATTCAGTAAAAAAGTCAGAATTTTGAGAAAAAAAAGTCAGAATTCTGAGAGAAATTCAGAAATCTGAGATCAAATCCTGAATTCCGAGAAAATATTTGAATTTTGTGGAAAAAAAGTCTGAATACTGGGAACATTTCTGAATACTGAATCCTAGAAATCTGAAAAAAAGTCTGAATTTGGGGAAAAATCTGAATTCTTACAGGAATCCTAACTTTTTAGGATTTAGCAATATTTCCCCCTTTCCTGATGTGCAAACATGATGTGTCACTGCATACAAAAGTACTTAAAAAGGATTAGGGACACGTGCATTTTTCAAAAGATATGACCAAAAGGGATTTATTTTAAGTCAAATTACAGTCAAAATTCTGTTTTAAAGTCAACTTTCTGAGTAAAAAAAGTCAGAATTTTGTGAAAAAAAGTCAGAATTCTGAGATTAAAAACCCAAATTCAATTCAGAGAAATTCAGAAATCTGAGATCAAATCCTGAATTCCGAGAAAATAATTGAATCTTGTGGAAAAAAAGTCTGAATACTGGGAACATTTCTGAATACTGAATCCTAGAAATCTGAAAAAAAACTCAGAATTTGGGAAAACATCTGAATTCTTCCAGGAATCCTAACTTTTTTTCACAGAATTCCGACTTTGATCTCAAAATTCCCCCAAAAATGCATTCACTTTTGGTCACATCTATAAAAAAAAAATCACATGTGGTCATCATGTGTTTAAATCCAAAAATGGATTTCTCTGGAGTTAAACTCTGAAAGCACTTACGTTTACGAGCGCCTGCATGACGATGAACATTTCTGGACTGATTGTAACTCTGTGCCCAAACAAGTTCTGTAACAGGTGTCATAATATTGTAATTTAGCCTTAGTGCATGTTAGTGATACACACAGTTAGAAAAAAGAAGCCCAGATAATTTCCTAAAACGGCTGTATGATTAATTTGCATTTGTTGTACGTTTCCCATGTTTAGAAATACGTTTTTTGACATTTAAATTGATATATAACAGGCTCTGGACACTGTATACATTAGGATTACTCCGTCCCACTTCTTATTATTGGATCATTATCACTTTTGCAAAGCTACAAACAGCTGTGTGTACTTTTCTTTTACCCTTAGCACTTTTTAAATGAATGTTTCATATTGACTTCACGGCAATAAATCCCCTTTTGTTGATTTATTTTGTTGTCTGCTTTGTTGTTCACTCCATAACTCACTGTGCAGCATCATATATTTCTGAGGTGTCACTCGTGATTTCACTGGAATAATACTGTAAATCTGAGTCATGCAGATACAGTCTGGGCTTGGTTAGAGAGTGGGAGTGCCTGTCTGTGATTGTGATAAATATCTCCTGAGGCTTTTCTTGTCTCTGCCTGCACCTTTTCCTCGTGTCAGATGATTTACTGACGGAAATGTACAACATCAAACTATAACAAATATTCCACTGAGGGTTCCTGCAGGGTTAGAGCTCCTATACAGCTTAAGCTTTAAGGAAAGTTGGATTTAAGACTTTATTAATGCCATTTAGAAGGAAATTTAAACAAAATGTCTGTGCAATTTTGCAGCATTTCTTGAAATCCGTGACATGAATGCGAAACGCGTTTTCTAAGTATATTTTCATATTACATTACATTTATATAACATGTTGTTTTAGATAAAACTGTTCATCTGGAAATTAATAAATACAGCTGTCATAAATAATAGTAGTGGAGCAAAAAACATTAAAAAAAGTAATCTTCTTTTCAACACTGGTTTCTGGAGTTATTTATTTGTTTAAATAGTGGAGAATAAATGTCAAATGATTTATGGTTTGATAATGTAAATACTGCATGTTGTAACACACATTTATTTGTGTTAACGCACTGAAATATTACAAGACAAATTACTACAAATAAAAGAATTCCTCCTTGCAAGCACTTAAAAATACATAATATTAAAACTGAAATGATTCATGGTCAAATAATGAAAAACATGTACATGGTGTAGACAGAGACACAGTTAAAGAAGATAAAAAGTAAGGAAAAACAACACAAATATATATATATATATATATATATATAAAATGATTTACATGAAATCTGGATATACTAAAAACACTAGGTGCAAATCAAATATGTGCATTGTTGCTATGGAAGTGGATGAGAGGTGAAAAATACTGGACAATCAAACTGAAATGATTTATGGTTAAATAATGAAAAACATGTAAAACACATGAAAACATTTTAAAAGTACACTAACGTGAATTTCCTACGACTTATGTGCTTTTAAAATCCTCCTTTTACGATCTTTAGAATACTGAATAATCAAACTGAAATGATTTAAAGGTCCCATGTCATGGCCATTTCTACTGATCATATTTCCATTGTTGAGGTCTACTAGAATAGATTTAAATGGTGCAACTTTCCAAAATTGCATTGGTGTCACGATCTGTCTGTGTTGTGTTTTGTCTTGTCTTTTTCTGTCTCTGGTTCCTGTTTTGTTTTGAAATGTTTTCCTCCTTGTGTCTTCTCTGTTCCTTCTTCCTGTGTTTGCCTTCCTGTCTTAGTTTCCCTGGTGTGTCTGATTGTTTGATTGTGTTCACCTGTTGCCCTTGTGTTTCTGCCTCCCTTACCCCAGCTGTGTCTCGTCTTGTGATTACCCCTCCCTGTATTTAGTCTTGTCTCTTCCTGTGTTCCCCTGTCGGTTCATTGTTGGTTTTTCCTGTCTTCCTCCATGTCAGTCTTGTTTGTTTCTCCTGTCTCCCACCTTGTTGGTCACGGTCAGTTTCTATAGAACCTATGTGTTTCATGCCATGCTATTGTTCAGCTTTAGAATAAAGCTCGTTTTTGTCTCGAAACAAAAACGAGCTTTATTCTAAAGCTGAACAATAGTAAAACAGGAACCAGAGACAGAAAAAGACAAGACAAAACACAACACAGACAGATCGTGACAATTGGTTTCTCATACAGCATCTCTGTATAGTATGTGTATTCACTCTCTGTCCTAAACGCCTTGTTGGAGCTCCTGCCCCCCCCCTCCCTGTGAGCCCAGTGTGCTCTGATTGGTCGGGACGTTGCGAGGCTCGTCGCTGCGAGGAGCGGACAGGTTTCCGGGTCGGCGATACAGCGAGAACAAGCGAAACTCATCCTGAGCACACACAAACACTCACAGCCGAAGTAAAAACAATAAGTGTGGCTTGATATTGAGTAAGAAAAAGGTTTATAACGCTGTGAGAATGGGTCTGCGGAGAGCATTTCTCCGCCATCCCAACTCGTCTATTACCAGCGTTCAGGGAGCTCTATGCAAGTCAATGGGGACGCCCTGTTAGTTAGCCAAGGGATCCTGGTGTGTGAGGTGCTCCGTGGATTGGTCCATTTGGGCCAATCCGGTCATTTGTTGTTGATTTGGGTGTTCACACGTCACAGAACCCAGGAAGCAAACAATGGAAAATGAGAAATCTCCAACGAGGCGTTCTGGGGCAGCATAGACAGGTCTTTTCTGTGTTAGAGTTTTACTCGCTACAGGGTGTACTTTGAGGGTTTGTGACTCTGCAGACCGTTTACATGCAGAAAAACCTTCATAACACACAAGGGGACGGGTAATAACCAGAAAAGCATGACATGGGACCTTTAAGTTTAAATAATAAACATCTTGTAAAACACACTCAACATTTGAACTCAAACTGAGATATTAATTAAAGGTGAATTTCCTACGACTTTTGTGCTTTTAGAGCCTTTAAATCCTTCTTTTAAAACTTTAAATACTGAACAATCATCCTGAAAGCACTTAGATTTTAGAATTGGAAAATCTGAAATGTTCTTAACCACTAACACTTTCCTTTTTAAATTGCATGGCCCTCGTCTCTCTCCTGCTACAGTTTACATTCATGGAATGTGTAAGTCTTCTCTATACAGTACTGGAGCTGCATAATTAAAACAGTTTTGACCCGCTGCTCTATGTGTGCTGTCGGATGGCCTCGATCCAGTCCATCTTCTGCTGCTGAGTCGGAGCCTGGATGAAGTAATGAGTGTCCTCCTGAGTGATGATCTTGAAGAGGTTGCCCTGAATGTTTCCTTTAACACCTGTTTGGTAGAAAGAATCACAGTCAATCAAGAAGACAAGCATCAGGAAGACAGTGCAGTTACAACACAATGTGTCTTCTGAGATAGTGGATCCTGAGTCCTGGATCCTGAGTCCTGGATCCTGAGTCCTGAGTTGTGGCTGAGCCTGTTGCTGACACATGCATTTTCAAGCATCTGGACTATGTTGTAAATGTATTATCTTTTTAATTTACACACAACATCTATTGCACGTCTGTCCGTCCTGACTCCTGGGAGAGGGATCATCCTGTGTTGATCTCCTCGAAGTTTCTAACATGTTTCCCCCCGTTAATTGGGGGGTTTTCTTCCGTTAATTGGGGGGTTTCTCCCATTAACTGGGGGGGTTTCTTTTGGAGGGTTTCCTTGTCCCATGTGAGACAGTCAAAGTCAAGTCAAAGTCAACTTTATTGTCAATCTCCAAATATGTTTGTACACACAGAAAGATCAAAAATACTGTTTCCCACAGTCCCGAGGTATAAAAAAACTCACACATTAAAATGCAAGAACACTCAATAATTTACAAAAAAAACACAAAATAGCCGTTTACTTCAAGTAAGCAGGATATATATAAAAAATATGATGTACACAGTCCTCTGTTTCAGAGGGGGTTGTATTCATATTCTGTACAAACCGTAAAGTCCACTGAGACAAATGTAGGTTATGTGGGATATTGGGCTTTATAAATAAACTTTGATTGATTGATTGATTGATGGGTTGATTTTTCTCCCAGACATAAACAAACCCCAGTTGAAAAATCGACCACAAAGCCATTCGTTCTGATCACTCGTCACATGAATGACTTGAATAAAATGCAGACGTTGACTCACCTGAGGGAACTCCGTTATCTCCCAGCGAGGAAACCAGACATGCTCTCAGAGAGAAGCCGCCCACGGGACTGATGTCATCCTGGAGAGAAAGTGACGTAATGTAAGACAGGAAGTGAAAAACACTGAGTCAGAGAAATACACAGATTCATGAGTAATGAGGACTTCAGAGTCACAGCCGACCTGCTTTATTATACATATAAAATATAACAATAATACAACAAATGTGTGTTTTAGGATTTTTTAAATGTATTTTTTATATAAATAGAAAATAATTAAGAAATACATGGATTTTGTTGTATTATTATTTAATTTTGTATAGTGCGTTTGAATACTGAGAAAAGCACTATATAATAATAATAATAATAATATTTGTTCTTATTTAACCTTCAAACACATTTACAATAAAACAACCAATTAAAAAATGTGATTCTTTATTTATTGCTCCGTCCTCACCTTGGTGGGGTCGTAGTAGTGGAGGTACGCCGGCTCTGAGCGAAGAACGAACAGACGGACCTTCCAGTTCTTCCTCCTGTGACCCTGAGGGCAGAGGTGGGAGAAGTACTCAGATCTTGTACTTTAGTAAAAGTAGAAGTACTCAGATCTTGTACTTTAGTAAAAGTAGAAGTACTCAGATCTTGTACTTTAGTAAAAGTAAAAGTACCAGAGTGTAGGAATACTCTGTTACAGTAAAAGTCCTGCATTCAAAATGTTACTCAGGTAAAAGTAGAAAAGTATTATCATCAAAATATAGTTAAAGTAGCGACATTAAAGGTTCTCGATTGTACTTGAGTAAAAGTAGAAGTACTCAGATCTTGTACTTTAGTCAAAGTAGAAGTACTCGATTGTACTTGAGTGCTTGAGTACAAGATCTGATCAAATGTGCTCCCTAAAAATGCTCTGTTGCATCTTCTTATTCTAGCATCAGCAGTAAGGACCAAACAGCAAAGCAATATTATTAGACCATGCAGCATGTCGCAATGAATCCACTCATTTGTTCCAGGTAATCTGATTTCATTTAGTGGTACAATAAAACAGACTGTTTCTCAGTGTGTCTCACTTATTTCATTAAACAGGGACCACGTTTGACAAAAGCAAACCACATTTTGCAAAACCTTCAATTCATCAAAACATTATCCATTCCTCTGGGTTCTTCATTCACCGTGGAGGAACGAGAGAAAGACTATGTTTTATTCAAGAGTTCAAGGTTAAAATGGGTGATCCATATGCAAATAGTCATTGTGTGGGTGAAGTTTTCCTTGCTTTACTTTGTATTGCTATTGTCTTACAACCAGGCCTAGTGACAGTGTGTACCTGTTTGAGTAGATATCCTCTCTTGATCACTTTCCCACTGAGCTCCACTGCAGACATTGAGGTCTCGGCCTTCACGCTGCCTCTCTTCTTCAAGCTGTCGGACTGGGATTCAGGAGAAACATGGATTAAATATCATTCATCTCTCTATATGTGTAGATATTCTTCCTGCAGAGACTCGCTGACCCTGTGTTAGAAAAATATCACTGGTCAGCGGCTTGAGCTTCAATATCAGGACACATGTATTTATGGTCCTCTCAAGAATGGAAGTAGTCATCACATACAGAGCATCAACTAGTTCCTGAACAGTGTCCTTCACATGCTGATATCCAAGAGAGGGAGTTACACTGTTACAAGATGGAGGAATATAAAGCAGTATTCAATGTTTAGTTCAGATTAGCTCCACGTCAGAAATGATCATGCTTGTCATATGTCTATCTCCATAGAGGCTGAATCATCATGTTAATCACATAGCTATCATATGCCTAAAACAGTCCTGATGCTCTTCTAGGTAATCATACATCCTGTCATGTACACAGCTACAGTTGGGATACCTTTGTTATCATGTGGACTCTGATATTGGAAGAGTACATTCAGTATTTTCCCAACACCCTGGTACTCACGAAGCTGTAGAGAGCGGTGGAGTCGTCCATGAAGTGCTCCGTGAGTCCGGCGGTTCTCAGCGCCTCCACGCTCTTCAGACCGACGGGCCACAGGAAGCTCTCCTCCTGCAGGGCGGAGGCCACAGTCAGAGCCTCCACCCGGGTCAGAGCCAGCTGAGAGAACACCAGCCAGTCCACCACCGCAGAGCCTGGGGGTGGGGGGCATCAGCGTTACACAGATAGGGCAAAAGTACACACATCCTTTACTCAAGTAGAAGTACAGATACTCGTGTTTAAAAATACTCTGGTAAAAGTAGAAGTACTGACTAAACTTCTTTACTCAAGTAAAAGTAAAGAGGGCTTTGAAATGTACTTCAGTAAAAAGTACCCATAACTAGCAGCTGTTTTAAAGAGTACCTGACCTCCCTTTATATTAATAGAACAATAATGTCATTGTTAGCTAATGAATGTTTCCATGCTGAACAACGGCAACATGACAACGTTTTCATTGGTCCCTCTTCTTTAGAGAAGACCAGGAAATTATGGATACACGGATCGTGTTCAAATCAATAGGCACGCAATGACTCTAAATAATAATGATCACGCCACCAAACACACATTCAAACTAAAGTAACCAGCCTGTTTTGAAAATGTAAGAAGTAGAAAGTACAGATATTTGTGTTAAAATGTAAGAAGTCAAAGGGAAAAGTCGTCAGAAAAATAAGTAGTGGAGTAAAGTACTGATATCAGAAACATGTACTTATGTATAGTAACGAAGTATTTGTACTCCAATACTTCCCACCTCTGGCATTACACACCGGGGTCAGGTCTCAAGGTCACTGCAGTTTCTCTGTTAGGGCACCAGTTTTATCCCACAGGCCTCAAGACTTCTTCTTATAGTCTAAGATATAGGTCATTTAAAAAGAGGATATTATAAAGGCGTACCTGAGAAACAGTTGCTGTACGAGCTGCCATGATCCAAGTGGTTTCCCATCTTGATTCCACTGTGCAGGTCATACATGGACTCCAGCACTTTGCTAAAAAACAGACAAATCATCAGAAATATGGCGTTGGTGAGACAGTGAAAACACCACAAGGTTAAACACAGTGTTCAAAAGCCTCACATCAGATTGATGTCGTGCAGCTGGGGTCCTGTAGTAGTAGTAGTTTGCAGATCTGGCCCTTTCACACCTTCGGGGCCCCGCAGTTTCTCCGTGGCGGCGCTGATATCTCCCGCCCAGTCGTCCCTCTCCTCCCGGGAACAAGCCTCCAGGAAATGATCCACGCCATTCTTCGTCCGGAGCTTGATCACCAGCTGGAAACAGATACACAGAAAGGAGATTTATAGTTGGTGAATTTTGCCAAGAAGTGGAAGGCAAATCGTTCCTCAGAGTTCAGGTCCTGACAAAACCGTATCCTGAGGCGAAACAGGAGGAGAGTTGGTGAAGACGCACCTTACTGTGGTTTCTAACCATAAAAACATAAACAAAGGAAACATCTGACACAATATGCACCTATTTAGGAGGCTGTGGCTCAGTGGATTGGTGCACTGATCTTGAGGGGGTTCAATCCCCACTGCAGTCTGCATGCTGTTGTGTCCTTGGGCAAGACACTTCACCCTAAATTGCTCCTGTGAGTCGCTTTGGGTAATGTAATTTATGCATGTGTAATCTCATAATGTGAATTCAAATGTGCGTATATATATCTGCAAATAGATTATTTTAGTAAAGTTTTAAGAAATATTTTACCAATTTATTAAGGCATATTAATTCGTTTTTTATATATAATTTATTTCCTTTTCTTTTCTTTTTTTTGTCTTATTTAAAAAAAATTAAATAAGTAACAAACAAAAAATACAGCAGGTTTATTTTTAATACATTAAATAAATGACGGGAAAGTTGTGATCATGGGATAAACTGCACTGGACTTTTTTTCACATACAAAAAAAATAAAAAAATAATAATAATTAAATATAATTAAATTAAATTCAAAAAAAAATATATAGAATTAACAAAAGAAAATAATAATAATTATAAAACGATCTATTTTTTTGTGTCTTTAAAAAACGTTTGAGTCTTTTGAATCTTCCTTTAAAGTAAACATCATGTCGGCCTTAAATCTGGATTAACCCACCGGTCGGTTTTCATAGTCCAGGAAAGGAGAAGTGATCACGCAGTCCTTCAGGAGGATCTTCCCTCGCTGGCACGAGTCTCTTTTTCCTCCGTCGTATTTATAATACAGCAGCTTGTCCGGCATCAAAGCGAACCAGCGCGGCTTCCAGTTGTGGACGAGATGACCCTGAGAGGAAATCATCAGAAGAAATTAAATCAGAGGAGGGAGAAGTACTCAGATCTGGTAGTAAAAGTAGAAGTACTCAGAACTTGTACTTGATTAAAAGTAGAAGTGTACTTGTCTTGTACTTGAGTAAAAGTAGAAGTACTCAGAACTGGTAGTAAAAGTAGAAGTACTCAGAACTTGTACTTGAGTAAAAGTAGAAGTACTCAGATCTTTTACTTGTCTTGTACTTGAGTAAAAGTAGAAGTACTCAGAACTTGTACTTGAGTAAAAGTAGAAGTACTCAGATCTTGTACTTGAGTAAAAGTAGAAGTACTCAGAACTTGTACTTGAGTAAAAGTAGAAGTACTCAGAACTGGTAGTAAAAGTAGAAGTACTCAGAACTTGTACTTGAGTAAAAGTAGAAGTACTCAGATCTTGTACTTGTCTTGTACTTGAGTAAAAGTAGAAGTACTCAGAACTTGTACTTGAGTAAAAGTAGAAGTACTCAGATCTTGTACTTGAGTAAAAGTAGAAGTACTCAGAACTTGTACTTGAGTAAAAGTAGAAGTACTCAGATCTTGTACTCAGAACTTGTACTTGAGTAAAAGTAGAAGTACTCAGATCTTGTACTTGAGTAAAAGTAGAAGTACTCAGATATTGTACTTGTCTTGTACTTGAGTAAAAGTAGAAGTACCAGAGTGTAGGAATACTCTGTTACAGTAAAAGTCCTGCATTCAAAATGTTCCTCAAGTAAAAGTAGAAAAGTATTATCATTGTTCTTAAGTACAGTGAGTAAATGTACTTAGTTACACCTTTACAAAAAGACCCTGCGCTTACAAACAATACATCAGTGTGACATTAGACCACTTGGATTTCAGTGATTAAAGTAAACATCAGTCTAAGAAACAACAACAACATGCAAACGTTTACTCTCTACTTCATCCCTAATTAAGTCTAGACTTAACAGCAGTTATAATATAATGTATTTGTAATGTCTTACCCTCTTCACGAGGAAGCCCTCTCTCAGCGTTGTGTTTTTCTTTGTTTCCATTCTGCTCAGAGGGATCTTGGAAGTGAGCCTGTTCCTGCCTGCTCACCTTTATGAGTGTTTTCTTGATAAGTGCGTCACCCTGCTCACACCCTGACACACTCACAGCTTCCTGCTCACCGACAGGCTGAATACATGCTGTAACTTCTGCAAGTTATCACCTGAGGGCGACAGACTCCTTCAGAGGATCAGCCTAGGAGAGGATTGTTCGGTAAAGTCATTTCTTTTTACTATGCAAGGAGAAGTTGTTCTAATAAGGCTCATGACATGAAATTGTACAGAAGTTAAAATACAATTTAAATAAATGTACTATTATGTATGTGTTTTTTATTTTCTTAAAGAATATATGTTTTAATATTTTACTATTTAACAGATTTTATTTTAATTGATTTTTTAAATTATTATTATTTTACATTTTTTAAACAAATTATGGAGATAAAATACATCTATTTTATAAGTATTTTATTCTCATTTTTCTTCTTTTAATGTAATTGTTATTAATGTTTGTTTAATTTTCTACACACAAATTCACTAAATGATATTTCTTGTTTGTGAAATATTACATACAGTAGCAATAAACAGGATTCTGGATCTATATAAATTGTTAAATAAAATATACTTATGGTAGACAGTAATTGCATTATTATAATAACAATTTACATAATACAGGGATTTAATACATGTTTAAACATAACAACCAATAGAACAGCTGTACAAGAGAGCTATCAAGGTGTTTGGCAGAAAGCCAAATTCATACCACCACTGTACCATCCTTGAAAAACACAATTTCTTGAGTTTTGACAATTTTAAGTCTTTTAAAGGTATGTGTTTTTTTTATAAATGTTTACATGGACTGTATTTATTTTTGCTATGTATATAAGGTCATGTTCTTAAATGTTGTATGTGAGGGACTACGGATGGAAATTAGCTCAAAGCTTAAAGGGGACCTATCATGCAAAATGCACTTTTGTACGTCTTTTATACATGAATATGTGTCCCCAGTGTTCCAGGGAACTCACCAAGTGTCAGAAAACACAACCCTCTCTATTTTCCTCCATACCCAAATCTCTAAAAAAGGGGCTGCAACGGATCTGATAAAAACTGATCCAGATTTGAACACTGTCCTGACGTCAGGACGGTGGCGCTACGGCTATTGGGCCAACTCCACCAATCAGGAGGAGACAGCCAGGGCCATTGCCGTTCGAAAGCGCTGGAGACGCTGTAGTACATATGCCAGGCCTGTAGATGGTGCTGTTCTCACAGAATCAGCCCTTACAAACACAGAGCTAAAACATGTCAAATTGAGCGAAATGAGGCATGGCTAAAATGCATGATCTGTTTGGTATTTTGCAAAAAAAAAAGTATAAATATGCCTTATATAGGTATGGTCCTATACTATATTATTCAAATATAGCATGATAGGTCCACTTTAAATCCGGCATATTTACACTTGAAGCATTATTTGTTTTAAGTGTTCATCAATGTGCATTGTCCCTTTTCAAATAAACGATTAAATGAAATGAATATATATGTTTATACGTAAAGAAGTTGTAAAACAGTAAGAAAAAGTATTACCAAAGAAAAGTACATTTACCACACGGATGAGCAGCCTTGGCTCTTACAGTACCTGCTGTAATTGACATGGTGTGTGTTTTGGTAAAAATCTTTCTAAATCTCTAGGGGACTTTCCACCCCATCAGTCTCAGTATGTGAGTGATTCAGATCCAGGAAATGAAGCAGTAGGAAACATCCTCCATCTCTTTTTGATGAACAACCAGCAGCTGGTGGTCTAACCTCTCTGTTCTGTAGCAGCTGCAGCACCAGGAGGAAGAGGAGGAGGAGGAGGAGCAGGTAGAAGTCAGTTAATGAGAAACATGCGGGGGATGGTCCTGAGAGAGGGACTGCAGCCACATGAGGCCCTGCTGCTAATCATCCTCTGATACTTCAGTAGCTCAGAAATTATGTATTTATAATTCATTCTTTGACTGACATTGTTGGAAAAGATTAAGTCATTTTGGGTGCTTTGCTAACTTAATTGGTACCCTCAAGTAACTCTGTTGTAACTCGTAAATAACAGATTTCTTTGGGCCATCTGGGGGCAACGGAAAGAAGCTGCAAATACAGGCTGGATAAAATACAGTTATTGGTATTTGTTTTTGTAAATGTAAGTGACAGTCCTTTGTTTCAGTAGTTTTTGTATTTGTTTTAGTAACTTTAAGTGACAATTTAATTAAAAAACATAAACAGTATTTGCTTATATAAGGTAATGAACAGTTTAATCTCCACTGTACATCCGGGTCTCTGATTTGATTTAGTTCCAATAAATCGTAATATTGTAACCTTTTTTTTGGAGGGGGGTCCCTGGTCAGTGTTATGGGGGCACTGGCCCCTGTTGGCCCCTCCCCCCCTAGAACCGACCCTGCCATATTATCCTTTTTTGGGTTGTCTCTTTCCTGTAGTGTGTCATATAGGTTTGTATGCATGTTAAAGGTCTGCAAATGCTAAAATCCTTGTTCCCTCCAGTGAAAGGACATTCGTAGGAGCATGCAGGAAAAATGAGGTTGCACGAAACATGATCAATAGCGTTTTTATAAGCTATATTAAACATTGTATGAGAATACGCTGCACGCCTAAATAAATAAACAATTTTGAATCTCGAAAATACTTTTTCAGCTTTAAAATCAATTTGAATCCTTAAACTCACAAACACTAAAAGATTTTGAAGGGATTACATTTTTGCTTTACATAATTTGGAATGTGTTGTTTTTGTTTCCCTGCCAGGACTTTTTTTCCAGCAGGTTGTCAGCATGTTTGAATAAGCTTACCGGGTCACATATCATTTAATAACCCTTTGTGTTGAATGAAAAGCAGAGGCAGTAGTTTCCTGCAACCCTGCATTGTGTCTCCCAGGTGAAGGAGGAAAGCATGCCAATATAAGACCAGAGGAATGTGCAGCAGACTCAGCGTGGCAACCGGCCAGCAGGGTGTCACGAGAGGAATCTGTTCAGCACGGAGAGGAAATAAAAACCCAAGTCCTGTTTGTGTGACTCTCAAGCAGCTCAAAGTCAAACACACTCCTCTGACTGCCGAGCGTGAAGTCAAGTCAGCGGCTTAAGGTGTGTCTGGAATTCCCTCTGTGTAACATTGACCATAAATCAAACATTAATCACGTGAAATAAAGATGATGGTGTTTTGACACGCCAGGATGTGAAGGGCTGTGACGCAGGCCCGGTTGTCCTGGTCACACACTTTGAGTGCAAACACTCTCTGGACTTTGTTTTCTTGGTCCACAGACGTATTGTTCACTGGGTGTGTGTTTGTGTGTCCACGTCTACAGCTGGATACACACAGCTCAGGCAGTCCCAGGCTTTACGAGACTCAAAGGGAGAGAGGATTGCTAAAAGTCCTAAAGTTTTATTCCCAAATAAGTAAAAAAAAGGCTGTTGGAAATGTTATTTAATGATATCAATGATGATTTGAGGAGTAGAAATTACTAAAAACCCTGAAACGTCCACATATCTCATCTAAACTGCACCGTTATTGAAAAAATACAATTACATTTTTTTAAAACTTCTTTAGACATTTTTGGCTTTCTTGATTATTGTTATTATTTAACGCCAATGCACTATTCGCACTAACAATGATTTGGCTTATTAAAAACTAATTTTATTACACTATGAGCTTTTTTGAGTTTGTTTCTTTATGGTTTATTGCCCTTTTTGCATTTCTCTTTGTAAAGAAAGCGCAAGCTAAATGTAATAATGCAGTGTAAGCAGGGCAACTGCTTGGGGCCCCGGATCAAAAGGGGGCCCCCAAAGAAGGTAGATTAAGAAGGTCCACAGCAACGACAACATGAAACACCCTTTAATTTACTGCAACGACATGTCGGGAAACCCCCTCAAGACGGCCCCATGCATAGCGCGCTGTAAAATGCTGCTTCTGATCTTAAGTTTCGTTGCCTTGCTCCGCTCCGGGGGCCCCCAGTGAATGTTAGCCTAGGGCCCCCACAGACTCTAGACTGGGTGTAAGCACTTTTACTTATAACTGTAATAACAGTGTGCAGTATATATACTTTTATTTACAATGTAATACTTGTTATTACTGGCTGCTTCTTTACCACTTGTATATGTTTCATAGTTTTTATATTGCTGCTATTTTTGGGGGGGGGGGGGGATGACATAGTCTACTTTTTATTTTTTTTATTTTGCCTTTGCTGTTAAAATGCAAATCTCCCAACTGTGGGACGAATAAAGGATTTGTGATTTGTGATAATAAAGACCAGTAAACGTTGTCTTAAATTGCAGGAAATAGCTTTTTACATGTAGGCTTTGCACTTCTCAACACGTGGACACATTGTGTTGAAATTAATCTTTTCAAATTGCTGCAGCTGATAGAAAATTGCTTGGATTTCTTTCTTCACAAATGGCCTTTCTGTTCTTTAGCTGCCCTCACACAGAAGAGACATTCAATTGCCTTTATTTTTAAGGTTGAAACTGAAAAACAGGATGTTCAGGATTCAGATTCTCTCGCTGTTCGCTAGGAGATTTCTTCAACAAAGAAAGAGTGACGTGGTTTATGGTTGTGGACCGATTTAAGCTGCAGACTGTGTGTAATGCACATGCTAAAGTAAAGACCCTCTCCTGTGCCTCAAACGAAACATTACGAAACACTTTCAATCATTCAAATGTCGCCTCTCTACTGTCAATAAACACACAAACTAACTTCGTATTTCCAAATAACACCAACTGTACTTTTATTCTCTACATTAATACATTAAATACATACAAACATTTTTAATTGCTTTTATCAAAAGCGTCGGTTTGATACAGCTGTGTTTTACAGTCACATCCTTTTTAGTACAATGAGGGGAAGGGAAAGTCTTTGAGCCCCTCTTCTAGGGAACTAAGGGAACATTTTAATTATATTCATACAGTAATTCTCGTATTTTGGCTTTAATTTGTTGTTACTTTCTCTTCTTGTAAACTTTCTATCAAACTAAAAACACCTCTAAAAATACAGCATTATATCTACAGCTCATTGCATTTGGATTGTTGTCATTAAGGCGAACGCTCTACTGTTTTTTTAAAAGAAGAAAATAAGTACATTTTTCAAAATTTCCAGCAATTACACTTTGTTCAAAGCCTTTATTTCCATCCGGGCTCAGAGCACGTTCGGTATTTACAGTTTGATCATCTTCAGGTCAGCATCACGTCTTTGTGAAGCCGATGTTAGAGGAGATGTTAGGAGGAGATGTTGGAGGAGATGATGGAGGAGATGTTAGGAGGAGATGTTGGAGGAGATGATGGAGGAGATGTTGGAGGAGATGATGGAGGAGATGTTGGAGGAGATGATGGAGGAGATGATGGAGGAGATGATGGAGGAGATGTTAGGAGGAGATGATGGGGGAGATGATGGGGGAGATGTTAGGAGGAGATGATGGGGGAGATGTTAGGAGGAGATGATGGGGGAGATGTTAGGAGGAGATGTTAGGAGGAGATGTTAGGAGGAGATGATGGGGGAGATGTTAGGAGGAGATGTTAGGAGGAGATGTTAGGAGGAGATGATGGGGGAGATGATGGGGGAGATGATGGGGGAGATGTTAGGAGGAGATGATGGGGGAGATGTTAGGAGGAGATGATGGAGGAGATGTTGGAGGAGATGATGGAGGAGATGTTAGGAGGAGATGTTAGGAGGAGATGTTAGGAGGAGATGATGGAGGAGATGTTAGGAGGAGATGTTAGGAGGAGATGTTAGGAGGAGATGATGGGGGAGATGATGGGGGAGATGATGGGGGAGATGTTAGGAGGAGATGATGGGGGAGATGTTAGGAGGAGATGATGGAGGAGATGTTAGGAGGAGATGATGGAGGAGATGTTAGGAGGAGATGTTAGGAGGAGATGTTAGGAGGAGATGTTAGGAGGAGATGTTAGGAGGAGATGATGGGGGAGATGTTAGGAGGAGATGTTAGGAGGAGATGATGGGGGAGATGATGGGGGAGATGTTAGGAGGAGATGTTAGGAGGAGATGTTAGGAGGAGATGTTAGGAGGAGATGATGGGGGAGATGTTAGGAGGAGATGTTAGGGAGGAGATGATGGGGGAGATGATGGGGGAGATGATGGGGGAGATGTTAGGAGGAGATGATGGGGGAGATGTTAGGAGGAGATGTTAGGAGGAGAGATGATGGGGAGATGATGGAGGAGATGTTTAGGCAGCGCTCAGTGTGTGCCATGCAGACACCACTTTCTCTGGGTTAGCCATCGTGTCTTTCCACTGCTCCACCGCCTCGGAGACAGGACTGTCAAACCCAGCCTGAACCTGCAGGGCACATTGGGAAAGGATATGAGATTTCCTTAGCTTGAAGCATTTAATCATAAATCACAGGGGTTTTCTCTAGCTTAACTTGTTGTGGAATGACCATTATCTCAAACCTCTTTTTTGACCACAAAACGTTTCCTCAGCAACAAGGAATGTTGCATTTCTAAAGCAGAGTCCAGGGTCTAAATTAAGGTCCGGGGGACACTATTTTATCCCCACAAAGAGTTACTTGTACTGGGAAGTAGCCAAGCCCCCAGGAAGCACATTTTTCGTAGCGGTCAAATGGTGGAAATACATGTCATTCACGATAAGCCATGAGGACAAAAAACACCTTTTCCTATTGACTGAAAGAATCGTCTGTAAATCAGCGAGGTAAACCAACTACCCAGGACATGCGCTTATTCAAACATGAGTTCCTAAAAGTGATCAAATGTGCTAATAGCCAAACTTATAGTTGCTTTTCCTCCTCCATTCATTTTACCGAGCTCCTGGGAAAATACAAGTCTGCAAGAAGATTGCTTGACATCATACCAAGTGTACCAGTGTGCTTAATCCAGGTTCACTGATGATTTGTCTTATTAAAAAATAATTTCATTACACTATTTTGTTTCTTCATGGTTTATAGCACTCTTTGCAAGTCTCTTTGTATAAAAGCACTAGCTAAATTAAATGCAATGTAGTGTAAGCACTTTGTACTTATAACTGTAAAACACTGTGCAGTATACACTTTATTTTTACAATGTAATACTTGTTATTACGTACTGCTTCTTTACCCCTTGTATATGTTTCCTAGCTTTTATAATGCTGCTACTTATATTTTTTACCATGCATGTTATTTGACTTTTTTATTCTTAAAGAGGAACTATTATGGGTTCATATTTGTCGTAGCGTTAGCCAATAGAAACGCGAGTGTTCAATAGTGATGTCACTATGTCCCGGAAGTAAACAAATGGAGGCGTTTAAGGCATGGATGTATAATAAGAACTGGATACAGCGTCGGAGGCGGGGTCTCGTTCTTTCCTATGAGAGCTGCTCATTGGCGCATGAAGGCAAAATGGCCCAACTTTTGAGAGAGCGAAACGTCACAGATTACCCATCATGCCTAGCTGTCAGAGCAGAAGAACCCGTATGTGCGCTCACAGAGCATGCGCCCCTTAAGCCCCGCCCCCCAGAGCTCCCACTCTCGGCTCACTAGAATGAATGGAGAGAGGAAATAAATCTAGATTCGGCTTTTAGTGCATTTTACAACTTTAAGGACCGAATGATTCTAATAAGGGCTATACAATAGTTCATACTGGGTAGTTTATTTACTTTTTTTTAAATTATCCGCTGATTTACAGACGTCTCTTTCCCAATGTTAGTCAATGGGAAAAAGTCTTTCTGGGCCGGGTGACGTCACAGACTGATACGGAAGTTGTAGTACCGCCGTTTGGACACTACGAATATTTTCCTCAGAGTCCGGAGCACTTCCTGGGGGCTTGGTTTGAGGCTGTCCCCTTTGCTGTTATAATGTAAATCTCCCCACTGTGGGACCAATATAGGATTCCTGATTTGTGATAATAAAGACCAGTAAATGTTGTCTTTATTCCAAGGATTCTTTATTCTCACCTGTCCGAGACACTGTTTCCTCCGCACCGAGCTCCGGCTGTACAGTTTGACCGTCAGAGAACAGGCCTGGTCCAACGCCGCCAACAGGAAGTGAAACGTCTCCTTCCACTGACACTGCCCCCCCGACGCCTTCAGGACGCGAGTCTTCTTCTTCATGACCACCCGACCCAACTGGTGCATCTCCACTTTGACGAAGAACACTTCAGACGTAGAAACAACAATATGGTTACTCACTGGCAGAGGTGGGAAGGAGTGGAGTACAAATACTTCGTTACTGTACTTAAGTACATGTTTCTGGTATCAGTACTTTACTCCACTACTTATTTTTCCGACGACTTTTTACTTTGACTTCTTACATGTTTAACACAAATACCTGTACTTTCTACTTCTTACATTTTCCAAACAGGCTGGTTCCTTTAGTTTGAATGTGTGTTTGGTGGCGTGATCATTATTATTTAGAGTCATTGCGTGCCTATTGATTTGAACACGATCCGTGTATCCATCATTTCCTGGTCTTCTCTAAAGAAGAGGGACCAATGAAAACGTTGTCATGTTGCCGTTGTTCAGCATGGAAACATTCATTAGCTAACAATGACATTATTGTTCTATTAATATAAAGGGAGGTCAGGTACTCTTTAAAACAGCTGCTAGTTACAGTTACAGGGTACTTTTTACTTAAGTATACTTCAAAGCCCATACTTCTTTACTTTTACTTGAGTAAAGAAGTTTAGTCAGTACTTCTACTTTTACCAGAGTATTTTTAAACACGAGTGTCTGTACTTCTACTTGAGTAAAGGATGTGTGTACTTTTGCCATCACTGGAGCCACTGTTTTTTATTTCCTTGTAGGTAAACATGAAACTCATGAAATTACAATACCTTGGGTTAGAGGAGAGGAGGACGCTGGGAGATTTTGCGCGGCGAGGACTTGGAGTTGGATGCGTCCGTTGACGGGCTGAAAGCAGGTGGTGAGATGCAGCTCAGAGTGGCACACCTGAAAGAGAAATAATTAGTTAAATCTTAATAATTAGGCTTTTAAAAAAGTGTGTTTTGGATGGAAATTGACATATTGACACATTTTCCTGTTCTCTCATAATTGATATACAAAAAAAAAAGGCTTTCCTTAAGGCAGCGGTTCCCAACCTGTGGGCCGAAGGCATTGCAAGTGGGCCGCCAAATAATTTGCAAAACATTATGATTTGTGTAGAAACATTTTCATTTTTTTTATTCGAACATCCTTTCCTTTCTCTTTCTTGATCCTCCTCAGCAACGGTCATTACAGTCCTTGACAGCGGTCTGTTCTACTGGATTAACAATGTGTCACATGTTCTGAATTGACCAATCAGAACTTTATTCAGCCTCCGTATTGTTTATGGTTGAATGTGGGCCACAAAAAAAGTGTGATTCTTAAGTGGGCCCTGAGTTGAAAAAGGTTGGGAACTGCTGCCTTAAGGGGTTCTTTGTTGGAAAATATTTTTTAATGAATGCTTGTTACTTATACAATAAGTGGAATAAAAAGTGTTTTGGATCTTCTTTTAGACCCTAAGCATCAACAAGAAAACTCTAAAAAATATATAAACATGTATTTACCGTTGGCACATCGGTAGTGATAGCATGTATTTCTTCATGTTGACTCACTAAATAAATCGCTAGCAGCTTAGCATCTACAGGCCTTCAGGACAGCTGTGTCAGTTGTAGAGTTTGTGGCTTTAAAGCAGGGGTGTCAAACTCAAATACACAGTCGGCCAAAATTAAAAAATCTGTACTAGTCGCGGGCCGGACTGGTTCAATGTTTATTGCAAAACGTATTGAAATGAACTTATTGCACATATTAAACCTGGAACTAACAAAGCTTAAATGATTGCCTATAAAAACAACATTAAACATTAAATAATCAGTTGCATTCATTTCTTATGGCTCTATCTGCAGCTTTTCCGGAGTCATTTCTTATGATTATATTTTTCCACAGGCCAACAACAGCTTCAACAAAACTATTTCCCTCAAAGAAAAAACCAAACATGCCCTGTTGTCGTGAGAGAAAAAGTGCAGAAGGAAACATCCATGTAAACTCAGTGTGCTGCTCTGTGATGCTAGCTCAAGCCAGATACTTGGCATCTCATCTTGGGTGCAAGTTCATCAATGTTTGGGGTCAGGCTCTGAGCTGAGGAAACCCTCAGGATTGAGTGAAGGTGTGCGTGCAATATACCGGCGGGCCAGATCTAATAGTAATTAGAAATTATCCTGCGGGCCGAAATGAAATCCACCAAGGGCCTGATTTGGCCCCCGGTCCTTGAGTTTGACACATGTGGCTTTAAAGCTACAACATTGACCTTTAATTATGGGCCAAAAAAAAGTAAATTAAAAAAGAAAAGGGCCAGACGAATGTACAGACTGCATGAACCATTTTTGAGGTGTTTACATCAAACCAGCAGTCAGTTGAGGTGCTTAATTTGTAACCTTTAAATACGGCGCTCCAACCGGATTGTATGTATTTCTCAACATCAGAACAAAGAATTGGTTCCCTTCAAATTGAGGCCAAGGTTTGATATTTACCTATTTCTATTCTGACGGTAATTTGGACAATTTGTGGCTTTTGTGTCCAGCAGATGGGTCAAAATCACTCACTGAATTTAATGATGATACACTGTCTGATCCGCTTAGAGCAGGAACAGTTCATATTTGACTTTCACTGGCCAGACATGCATCCATTTATCAACCAAACAAAACCTGGTTGTTAAAATAGTTTGGCCTACTTTCAATTTCCCCCCAAATGTCCTCGATAATAAATCCCATTTATTTTTCCTGTAATTATGAAACAACGTAAGGTCTTCCTGGTACAGAACATATTTTGTTACAATGCATGGGGACCGTTTTATAAGCCACACATGGTGCTCTGCTCTTATTTACTGTGCACATACAAAGGAGCGATAAAAGACAGCAGCCCACAGAGGAAATGGTGGAGAATAAATAATAAAAGTTCAGGATATTCCCACACTGCAGGTTTTTTCCTGTTGCGCACAACACCTGGACAGCCGGTTAGATTATAATCAGCGGACTCTTTAAACCAGGAGTGTCAAACTCAAGGCCCGGGGGCCAAATCCGGCCCGCGACCTAATTTTATGTGGCCCGCAAGAGCTTGCAAAGAATATAATATACAATACAATTGGTGTAATTGTTGAATATTTACTTTAAATTATTTGGCCTAGACTTCTGCTTTCAGACGTAGTTATTTAGGAAGATATTACCAGAACTGATAATAATCCAATGCAGGGCCAACAATGTAATATAATACATTATTTAATATATATTATATATTTACATATGTATATTTATATATAATTAAAATTACAACCGGCCTTTTGAGTGCAACCATAATGCTGATGTGGCCCGGGATGAAATTGAGTTTGACACCCCTGCTTTAAACTGACTCAATTTGGTCAATATCTCAACATAAAAAGCATAATTGGGCCTCTTTAAAGAAAAACACATGGAAATTATATTAAAAAGACAGTATATTTCTGTCACAGTCTGCTTTCTCACTCACCTATTTTCTGCATTAACATTCCTTAGTCACCTGGTAGCCACACCCTGTCTCTCTTTCACTCTGTTACACCCATCAGCTCCAGTAGTATATAGGCCCACTTCACTCTCACCTCAGTGCCAGATCGTACTTTGCAGCATGCCAGTCTTTCCAGCATTACTTCCCAGATTGCTCTCCCGGTTCCGACCCTGCCTGTCCCTGACCTGCCTGCCTCGCCTGATTCCTGACCCTGCCTGTACCCGGACTATTCTGCCACGCCTGCTCCCTGACCCGGTCTGTACCTGCGACTCCCGTCTTGCCTTCTCCTGGAACCCTCGCCTGTCCCCGACCAGCCCTTTGCCTACTACCTGCCTTTTCGTCTCCTACCAGTTATTGCCTTCAATAAAACTGGTTACAGACTATCCCTGGTTTCCCCGTGTTTTGCATTTTGGTCCTCAGCTCGTTTGTGACAATTTCACCCGAAGGTAACCAGGTGAAAGGTTGATAATATTTTTTGCATTATTAAACCCCACTAATGATTACACTGATGTAATCTTCAGTGTGTTGCTTCTGGGTTGAGATAATATTCATGTAGTTCCTGGCAAATGTTCTCAAACTATGTTACTATTTGCAAAACCAGTGATAGACAAAGTGATGGAAAAAGAGCAAAAATCGACATTAGTGCCACACATTTATACAGAATATGTTAATAACACATGGGACTCACAGAGGATTTGGACTTGCGGTTGAGCTCCAGCCAGTGCTCGGTCTCCTGTGAGTCGAGCTGCCTCAGGGAGAGGACACACTCGGCCACCGTACGTTTCTTTGGGTTGTGTGTCTGCAGCCGCAAAACTAAAGCACTGCAGCGCAACTGCTGGAGACGCAGCGCGAACACAAAGGTCTCCATGAAGGAAACATCCTGCAGAGCGAAAGAGAGGAAGAATGAAGTAAAAACTCTAAATTACACAGGAACAATCTGCAAAAAATGCACCAAGAATAACATCGCTGCATGGAAAAAGTCACCTTTAAAGCTGGGCTTCCACTCCATTCGTATATAATAATCTCAATTTTAAGATTATTTAAGTTTTAAACAGCGTTCTGCATCTTTACCTGTTGATACTCCTTGATGGAGCTCTTGAACTGTATTGGTTTGGGGATGGTGATGATGCCTTTAAATCCAATCTTTGGTTGTTCCCCTCCATCTGGAAAAGTGCAGAGGTCTGAACTCTGATAAGGAAAGAGAGAAAAAGGAAGCAGGTCAAATCTATTTATCGTTTACACTGCTCTTAAGCAAACTACATAGTAACAAGGACATGTATATAAACTAAAAATGGTTTGATATATCAATCCTGTCTTGTGTGTTTCTTATATTTCTCAAGTTAATAGGCTGTTTAGTGTTTGAAGTACTCTTGGAAAACCTTTATTTAGGTATAATATACTTCAGTTATGCTCCCGTAAAGACGTCATATAAAAAAAGCATTTGTGCGAACCCCCTACCCTGTCATTGTCGATTAAAATGTCTCAATAGATTGTTCAAGTAATGATGTGACCTTAGGACTAAAATGAAGCACAACCGAAACCCGAATCTTGGGTGGGAAAGAGGTGCCCCATTTTTATTATGTTGCCCCTATCCAATGAAGAATTAGTGCACGCCTCTGCATTAAGACACTACAGGTGAATAGGGTGGACATGTAACTAATAGATATCACCATGAAACTTCCCCACTTTATTACTGACATTAACACAATATTTTTTACATCACAAGTTTTCTGATATGCTATGTTTAAATATGCAAATGAGGCATTATGTTTTGCTTACTTTTGGTGAATTTAGGAGAAATCTACAGACATAAACCGACAAAGTTAGTCAAATAAACTCATAAATTTGGATGTTTTCTTTACACTAGTCTGGAAGAAAACGTGTTATGGAAGCAAAATAGCCAACAAAATTGAACATGTTTTTGCCTGTTGTGTCACTTTTTGCGTGCATGCACAGATACACTGATCATTGTGTTGCAGCATCAATGAGGAAAGTTCTGCATCTCAAATAAAATCCACTTGCGAGTGTCCGAGCCGGAGTTAATAGAGCACTGAGAGGAGCAAACAGAGCCCTGTGTTGTGGACATACAGAGGGTCCATTGAGAAAAAGCAGCAGAGGAGCACAAAGGAGCTTTTTGTTGCTCTCATGCTCCCCTCTCCTCTCTGCAGGTAACCTTACCTGAACCAGAGTGATCCACACCTGCTCCAGAGCCTCCTTGTAGCTCAGCCGGACGCACACCTTCCCCAACTCACGCTCATCTCCAGACAGCGTGATGGAGTCTGTAACACCAGCAGCACCACAGCAACATGAGTAACAAATGATTCATCTCCTATTAAACACTTCTCTTCCTGGAATAACCCACTCTTTATGTAAGAAGGCTTATCTCTGAGGCTCAAAGCTGCACCTGAGTGAAATCGTTTGCAAGTGATTACCGTGTCGGCCTTTTCATGACTGCACAATGCAGCACGATTATAATCAGACTCAATAGAGAGTTTGAAAGGCGTTCAAAAGTGTTGAAGACGGAGACAAATCTGTATTTAAGTTACCTAGGCTGCTTTCAATTGAGCCAATCGTGGAAGAGGTGCTGCTGAGTCGGCTGGAGAACAAGTCGAAGGGCTGAGGGGGAAAAAACACAGAGATAGTCAGGATTCACTTAACACTTGAAACAAAAAAAACAATTTAACAAGACTCTACAGCCAGGCATCTTAGTAAAGCTTTACAGTACATGGAGCTAAATGCTAATGAGGTTTAGCATCTTTACTGTCTGCTATCTTAGTTTAGCATGCTTTTTCGCTTAAAATACGAAATGTAAAAGCAAGTCCTATCTTTTCCAGCAATGCAGTCTTCAACCTAAGTAATTTACAAGTTAATTCGAGATGGATAAAACGGCACAGCATCAAATGTTCGCTCTTTGTCGCGTTTTCTATTAGCAAAAGTTGTGGAGAGTACCCTGTACTTTTTAGGTACACTCTCAATCCAGGTTTCAAGCAAGTAAAAACTCTGCAGAACAACTTATGTTTAGAAAAGTCAGCAGGTAACCAAAGTCAATAGGATTTATCCTCTGGGGAGCACGAATGCCTCTCCTATCCTTTATCCTTGTTTGTTTAATTCATACATAAATCACTATAGCGTGAGTTGTAATATTTTACGATGTCATATGTGAAAGCAAAGCAAATATTTAAACAACAATATAATTTACTTCCCTGTGTGTTGACATGCATAACTGCTGACATGATGAATAGATCAAAGTAAAATTAAGAGTATTTTCACAGCTCACACTATTTGTTCAGTTTTATTTCCTGTAGTTGCTGCTAATAAATAATTGTTTTATCCGTTTAGCGGAATAATGTAGTATTACTTAAAGGGGACCTATCATGCAAAATGCACTTTTGTACGTCTTTTATACATGAATATGTGTCCCCGGTGTTCCAGGGAACTCACCAAGTGTCAGAAAACACAACCCTCTCTATTTTCCTCCATACCCAAATCTCTAAAAAAGATTATCCAGATTTGAACACTGTCCTGACGTCAGGACGGTGGCACTACAGCTATTGGGCCAACTCCACAAAATCAGGAGGAGACAGCCACGGCCATTGCCGTTCGAAAGCGCTGGAGATGCTGTAGTACATATGCCAGGCCTGTAGATGGTGCTGTTCTGCCCTTATCTGCCCTTACAAACACAGAGCTAAAAAAATTCAAATTGAGCAAAATGAGGCATGGCTAAAATGCATGATCTGTTTGGTATTTTGAAAAAAAAAAAGTATAAATATGCCTTATATAGGTATGGTCCTACACAATATTATTCAAATATAGCATGATAGGTCCACTTTAAATAATTTATACCTGCTGCTATGCATATTTCTAATTATAGCAACATTGCTGATACACTGCAACTGCCCTTTCAATTTCACAACATATAAACACATTTAATATAAAAAATAGGGCTGTCAAGTTAACGCGTTAATAACGCGTTAACGCAAAAAAAAATTAACGCCACTAATTATTTTAACGCGATTAACGCATGTGTATTTTTTGTCCTCGGCCGCCGTAGTTTCAGAGCGCATCGAGTTTAAAATACCATCTACAAGCTGATGCTGACAGCCCCGCTCCTGCCTCCCGCTTGTGGCAGACCACACTTCCACGCTCACCGGCAGGCCCGGACTGGCCATCGGGAGGACCGGGAGTGTGTGTGTATGTGTGGCGCGAGCGAAGCACACCTTACGTGTTGTTGTTAGCATCTGGTGCTAGCTAGCTGAGCTAACGGATATAAGGAGCTGTTTCAATGAAAACAGAGGAGCGACATTTCGCCGACAACTGCGCCGAGCACTTGACTTTATGCAGGTAGCCAGACAGCACACTCAGCACGGATAGTGCGCGCAACACAGCTCATACACACAGGCATATATGCCTTGAGCTGCACATAGCTCCAACAATCCATCACAGTGTCTCCACATTCACACACACACACACACACACACACACACACACACACACACACACACACACACACACACACACACACACACACACACACACACACACACACACACACACACACACACACACACACACACACACACACACACACACACACACACACACACACACACACACACACACACACACACACACACACACACACACACACACACACACACACACAGTATTGTATTATTGTATGAGAGAGGTTCTAGGTTGAATTGAGGCGAATATTTGTAATGTTCAGAGGTTGTTGTGTTTAATATTCATGAGAATATTTGTCATTGTTCAAATGATAATAAACAAACATATAAAGCATAGTTATCCACTCATATGTTGATAAGAGTATTAAAAACTTGAAAAATATCCCTCTAAGGTACATTTAGAACAGATACAAAATGTGCGATTAATTTGCGATTAATCGCGATTAACTATGGACAATCATGCGATTAATCGCGATTAAATATTTTAATCGACTGACAGCCCTAATAAAAAAGCCTAATTTTCATGACAATCCAACCAACAAATGTCCATACATTTTCCTTATAACCACAAATGTTAACCTCATTGTGGCGCTAGAGGAGAAAGCCAACGTCTTCAGGATTTATTCCTCTGGGGACCACGAATGTCTGTACCAATTATAATGTCAATCCAACCAAGATCAGTCGAGACATTTTACTGATAAACAGATGTGTCAACCTTCTTGTTGCGCTAGTCGAAAAACATCCCAATGTCTATATGATTTATCCTCTGGGGACCATGAATGTCTGTACCCAATGTTACGCTAATCCAACAAAAGGGAGGTATAGACTGATACTGCAATGTCAAAAATCCTTTAAATTCTATTGTTTCCTCACTAAATCTTTAAAGTAAGTCCTCAAATTGGTTATTGTTTCTTTACCTGTACTATTTATTTCCCATTTTCATTCTCTAAGCCCAGCTTTATTTGTTTACTGTTGGGTCTATTACCAAGGTGATGTGATCATAACTTACTCATAATACTCGTTTGCTCATAATGTTGCCAAGCTAAACAGTCAGTGTAGTTGAACAGTAATTGTGCACCTACTGCACGTTGCTCGGAGTAATAAGAGAGTGAGAGGTGTCCATGATGCTTTAACGCTTCTATGATTATTTAAATGTGTATCAAGCAAGGCGTTAAATTGATTGAAAAAGCCGTCGTTAGTAATAAGAAACTGTTGACAAGTCAGGCATAAAACACCACAACAGAACAAAGAAATACGCCCTGGAAAATTGTTTTCTTACTGTATTACTGATTAAACTGCACTTTGACCGAGACGCTGAATCATACATCGCAAAACAGAGATGCATTCAGGGACAGCTGCTAAACGGGATGAACAAGTGCTGATTTAATCTCCAGTTTCCTTATCATCTATTCCACATAAGGATTCATTTCAGAATGACTCATAAGCTTAACTCCATTATTCATAACTGTAACCAAAAAAGATTGGGTTGCAATGTTGAAGGCAGTATTCAGATCCTTTATTTAGGTATTAATACTTATATCACAGTGTACAATTACAAGTAAAATTACTGTATTGAAAATGCTACTTAAAGAGGACCTATCATTTTTAGGCAATAGCATAGGTCTCAGATATATAAAAAAAAATAAAAAAACATGTCTATGAAGTGTTTTGCTCAAAATACCAAACAGATCACCCATTCTAGCCATGCCTCATATCCCTCTATTTCACTTCCTGTTTCAAAAGTGCTGATTTTGGGTATAAAGCTTTAAAAAAAAAAAAGATTTGATAACAAATAAAAAAGGAGGGGGCTGAGCTCATGCAGGACCCGGCAGCTACTGTCTAAACTAAATACTGCCGTGATGAAACGCCATATCATGGATTATCAAGGATTATTTCTGAAACAGTATGGAGCTCAAAGGCCTTCTCTCTTGCCGGTTATACCACAAGGTGAGTTCCTTTTTATTTCCTGCTTCTTCACACACATGCTCTCCAGTACAGGTTAGCTTTGAGTGTTAGCGATGCTAATGTAAACACCGACCATATTACGTCCAAAACAGTCGGGCATTGTTTCTGATAGCAACGTTTCTGATAGGGCCGTGGGTCCACATTTCAGATATTACGTCATATCGGACGCAAATCTGGATCAGCTCCGTTGTAGCCCCATTTTCAGAGATTTGGGTACGGAGGAAAAGAGAGAGGGTTTTATTTTCTGACGCTGCGTGAGTTCCCCGACACACCGGGGACATATATTTATGTATAAAAGACATAAAAAATGGAATTTTGCATGATAGGTCCCCTTTAAGTAAAAGTGAAGTAAGTTTACTCTGCAAAACTATCCAAAGCATCAAATAAAAAACACTTAAAATAAACTAAAATTCAATTTTTTAATGCAAAAATCTTTGTTATTAAAGTAGTTGTCAGATAAATTAAGTGAAGTAAAAAGTACGATATATCCATTTGAATTTAGTGCGGAAGATGTAAAAGAAAATACTCAAGTTTCCACTAAATATAAATAATTAATTTACGGTTCTTTGTTAGAATGTTACCAGTGCAAATGGGATATCATTGATTAATTAAATACACAGTGTGGGGGAAACTTCTGTGTAGCAATGCAGTGGGAGTCACCGACTCAGGAAGGAGACACGGTGAGAGTTGGAGCTTTTGATGTCAAACACTGATGGGTTTATTCAGAGTATCGGCCGGAGGATTCACATCACAAGTCAAAGAGTCAGAGGTTCTGACTTCACGGTAGAGTTGCCACGTCAATCCTGAAGAGCCTCTCTCTATGCTAGACCTTTTAACAGGTTCACAGAGAGAAATCAACATCTCTGAAGGAGTAGACTAAACAGCTGGGAACACTGAACCACCTGCGTCCGACACTCATGGCCTCAAAGATTTCACATCTTAGAGTCCACAAACACAGATAAAGAAGTGCCTCAGCGTTCTCACAACAAGTACCATTCGTGCCAGACAAGTTGACCGGTCACAAACTGGTAACAACAACACATATGGCACCAATGCCTTTCCTTAAAGGAGATAACAGACGTCAGAGTAGATCATAAAACGTCACAGAGCAAAAGGTTAGATATCTAGAAGAATTATTCCTTAACACACAGTTTAATAGTTAAATACCTTCTTATCTCCGTGAGGCATTTCTCCTGGTAAAATAAAGTTATTTATAGTGAAATTGAGTCTTAAAGTCGTATCAATTAATTCAACTTTACCCTTAACCTCAGAGCAGTTATTACAAATCTAAATGTGTATTTATTTTGCTTATCTGGTTCTATGTAAAGGTTTTGGGAAATGTGCTTCCTTCTTGTCAGGAGGACAAGGTCACTCTCATATCAGTCAAGTCAATATTGGGCTAAAGCCAATAGCATGTTAGCTTAGCTTAGCATAAAGACTGGAAACAGGTGGAAACATCTAAAGGTAACAACTTCCTTGTACCATCACTTTAAAAACTCAGCCATTAACAGGATATATCCTTGTTTGTTTAATGCGTACAAACAAAATAATTGATACCATTATCAAATCAGTCAAGTCAACATTGGTAATAGCCAGGGTTGCCATCTCTCACGCATCTGGCGTGTGACACACGCTTTCACTCTCAATCTCACGCTCTCACGCTGCCCAAACTATTCTCACGCCAAAAACAAGAATACCGAAGACTAGAAACGGTTTTGAAAACTTTTGTCACGTAGTGATCGTCTTCTCAATAGAACATCTTTGATAATGTCTTCTGGCCAATCAGAATCACGATAACGGCGTGGTGTTGTTGCAGGAAGTCCCGACGGAGAATACTTTTGCGGTAGTACATCCAAGCCCCCAGGAAGTGCGCCGGACTCAGATGAAAATATTCGTGGTGGCCAAACGGCGGTACTACACTTCCTTTTGGTTGCCAGGCCCGGAAACACTTTTTCCCATTGACTTACATGGGGAAAGAGTGGTCTGTAAATCGTTGGATAATTTTTTTTAAACTAAATAAACTACCCAGTATGAACACTTGTATAGCCCTTATTAAAAACATTCGTTCCTCAAGTTGTAAACATGTGCTAATAACGTTATTCTGAGAGTTATTTCCCTCTGCATTATGAACGCGCATCTAACCCACGGGACCGTGCCGCCCGGCACGTTCATGTTACGTGTTCAGCACTACATGCGTTTATCTTTACCCATGGATGCACAATAAGAACGGACCCATATCGCCTTACTGCCAGCCCACGGAGCTGTAATAATGGATATATATTGCACATGTTTGCTGTAATTCATCATTTGTAAAATATTATACTACATGGGCTGTATGATTAAATCTTGTACCGTAAATGTTGTATTAAATAAAGTTAATATTACCGATGTAGATTAACGTCCCTGTAGCTTCTTATTGCACTAAGAAGCTTATTGCACTGTATATATATATATACATATGTATATATATATATATACATATATATATACATATACATATATATATATACATATATATATATACATATATATATGTACATATATATATGTATATATATATATGTACATATATATATGTATATATATATATGTATATAATCCTGCGGCTGCGGGCTAAACAGGTTAAGAGTATTTTCACAGCACACACTATTTGTTCAGTTTTATTTCCTGTAGTTGCTGCTAATAAATAATTGTTTTATCCGTTTAGCGGAATAATGTAGTATTACTTAAATAATTTATATCTGCTGCTATGCATATTTCTAATTATAGCAACATTGCTGATACACTGCAACTGCCCTTTCAATTTCACAACATATAAACACATTTAATATAAAAAAGCCTCAGCAGATACACGATTATTTTTCAACCCCTGAGGATAAAATGACCCCCCAAATGTTCCCACCTTAAATCAAAATACCAGCTGTCCTGGCTTGTTTGCACTGTTCCACTTTCTGCAAAGTACAGTGGAAAGTATTTCACTATTTTGAGTGTTGGTTGACAGAGGGTGAGAAACTGTGTGAGTGCAGATTAGATAATGTCTCACCTGCATGTGAGGGCTAGACAGGTCGAACATGGAGCTGCTGAGCCGCTGCTCACCGGACGGTTTCAGAGACCAGCCTGGAGGGTCAAAATATCAGAAAACATTAACATGGTTTCATTCGATTTCTCTGTTATTTATTCAGGGATTCATGCAATTTCTTAACCATATACTGCACGTTTCTCTCTATAACTGCAGACAAACTGTACATCAGGACTAACTGTTTTTTTGGCGTATATTCTAAGTTTATCTATAGGGATACAATGATAAAAAAAAATGCATGTTGAAATCAGTTTCACAATACATTTGAAATGTGTTGTCACTGTTAACACATTAAAGCATGAAAACAGAGTAATTTTATTTAACTAATTTAACGGTGTACATTTCTGCTAATTTTCTTGGCTTTTACATTCTAAAATACACACTGTACACTATGTACATTGTATATTCTTTTATATATGTATATAGTACTTCTAAGTAAGATACACAGTACATTCTTTGTACTTTTTGCAATACTGATTTTTTTTCAGATTTTAAAATAGTGTACAACTTAAAGCAAAAATTGAGTAAGTTGAGGTTTACTTGTCTCCTGTTTTCATATTTATTTTACACATTTTTATAGTTTTTTTCACATTCATTTGTATTTTTCTATTTAAATATTATTTAAATTGTATTTTTTTGTATTTCTTGTTGTTATGTTGTCTTTTTTCCTGACTTATAAACATTGTGAGTCACATCTTAAAGGTCACCTATTATGCAAAATCCTCTTCTTCATGTCTCCTCTACATCAACATGTGTCCCCTCTCTGTGGAAAGAGACTCTGAAAGTTTCAGGAACAAAGATTCTCTCTCTTTTTGTCCTGATCCATTTCTATAAAAACGTGTCTGAAAATGAGCTGATCAAATTTTGGCCACTTTATGATGTCATAACGATGTTTTGTCTTGTGTAACCATTAGCCAATCACCAACCAAGGTAACCCCCCCCCCCCCCCACCTTATCACCTGAATCTCCTCCTAGAGCACCATTGTGTTCTTTTTAACCAAATCTCTCTCTGAGGCGCGTGGGGAGGGGCTCCTTATTTTCATCTAAAGTAACAGACAGAGAATCAGCACTTTGGAAACAGGGTTTAAACAGAGGGGATTATGGGATGCTGCAATGATCTGTTTGGTGTTTCATCCAATCAGAGACAGGCTCTGGATATATCTGAGACCTATAATAAAGTAATGAAAAACAGTATAATAGGGGACCTTTAAAAGCAGCATGCATGACGTTTTAAATGGACTGCTGTGGTTGTTACCTGGACTCTGGGGGCCGGACTCTTTGTCCTTCAGGGTGTCTCGGTGGTTCGACCCGGGGGTGAAGTACGCAGCCACCTGGCCCTTGTGGAAGCTGGCCTCCGGGCTGTAGGTGAACTGAGAGGACCCCAGCAGCTCAGCCTTCCTCTCTGCATACGTGCACCGAGCTGAACCTGCAGACACACAGCAGCCGGGGGTCAACACACCTCCATTTGATGAATGATTCTTTAAAAAAGGTCACCTATTATGCAAAATCCACTTTCTCATGTCTTTTTTTTTGTTATTCAAATTTGTATTAGGAATACAGGTCATAGACAGTATACAGCAGAACATACTTTGATAAAATGATCATTCTGCAATAGCGTAGTTGTAATATTCATAAGTAAGTAAACAAAATTAAAATAGACTACAAGTTAAAGACAGGGAATAATAACAACAAATGAATACAAATAATTAAATAAAATAATAATACATTAATAGACGATATACAAAGAATTAAAAACAATAAAATAAGAAAAACACAGATTTGTACATATATTCCTAAACAAGATAATCAAGTAATGTTTACAACCGAGTAGCTCAACTTAGAACATGGGGGGTAGGTGTTTATACAGTGTCTAATCCGATCTGACTTTAGATATGCCCTCAACCAATGAAGCCCAACAATTCTCAAACTTGTCCCTTTCAAGTCTCACAACACAAGTCAGTCCTCAACCTTAGGTGCCTCCGTTGTCAACTATTTCCTAGTCAGGGCTTTTTTACTTGCTATTAATAGGATATTGAACATATATTTGCTTGTATATCCCTTGACGGTGTCTGGTCTCAAGCAGGTATAGTGTCTCAAAGTTAAATGGGATCCCGACCCCAAGTATCTTTTCCATAAAGGACTTGATTTGTTTCCAGTAGTTCAGGAGCACAGGGCACTGCCATGATAATGATTTGCCTTTTTCTCACCGCATGACCTCCAACATGAAGTGTTTCTATTTACCTGTTGTGCAGGTGTTTTAGTTAAGCCCCGAGCCTGTTTTCCAGGTCTCAGGCTCGAAAATGACATTCCCAGAACAAATGACTATAACTTCACTTCTAAAAGGGGTAAATTAATCATCTTTTTTCTCAAAGTAATGATAAACCTGTGAGTTGGATGTAGAAAAGTCAGAATCAATATAGAATTTTTTTAATTTTAAAGTAAATTCAGATTGAACATAGTAAAAAAACGTGAATTATAGTGTCCGTCCAAACATTACTTATAGTGAAAACCACCCTTGAATGATGGGATAGTAGACTAAAAGCTTTAGGAATCCAAACTATAACATATAATAAGTACCCTGTATCAAGATTGATGCAAAACAAGTGAAACCTGACCTTTATAGAGAGGTTTAGCACAAAAAACCCACTTCTGGGGTCATTTGGGTGGATTTTCCATATCTCCGGCCCCCCTTGGTTGATTTTGATGATTGACATCTCTTTTTAACCGTTAGAGCCAATAGAATCGAGGGGAAGTTCCTAAATCCACCTACACGTTACCAAATAAGGAGTGAGAGTGATGTGTAGCCAGAATACCCAAAACAGGAAGCTGTCATACACTCTGGTAGCTATCATAGCAGCTAATATGAAAACTCAGTTTTTGACATAAAAATGGAATGATGGATTATCAGTAATCATTTCAAAGTGACACAGACACATTGGATTAACCTATGGATTAACCTTCAGCAGCATTTTTCTCGTTTTAATGCCATTGAAGACCACTTTTGATCAGAAACAGCAGAAGGTAAGACATTTCTCCCGTTTTTGCTCCATAAAGCTCCGTGTTGTGATGTCTGTGTTCGCTTCCCATGTCGCGAGTTCTGATCGCTCAGTGATGATACTAATACCTCTAGAATCTGTGGAATCTCAGCCTGCTAGCTAATATCTTGTTTGTGCAGATCCGATAAGTAATAAAGTATTTATACCTAGAGTTCTGTGCTAAGTGCGGTAGCATTTTTCCCGCTCAGGGCTAATTTAGACGCTTCTTGTGAGACTTGTGTTTTGTTTCGGTAAAAATGGTTCGTATCGTCAGCTAGCTGAGTTTCTTTCCGTTAAGTGAGTATGACACATTCATAGTTTATGAAATGTTAAGAAGCCCTGAGACACAGTTTCGTGAGAAGAAAAAAAGCCTGTAGCCCCCGCCGGCATGGGCTATGGGGCTTAACAGGTTAAAAAAACCTCATTAAGTTTTTCCACCCAAATTCCCTCCAGGTCAGGGTGGAAGTAGATCTCCATTGTTGCTTAATCAGCTTTTCCCATATTTCCAAGTCGAGAGTAAGATTTCCTTCCTTTTCCCATTTTTCCTTTACATATGTTGTGTATTGTGCAATTAACTAATTTAGTCCATTATATAACTTTGAGATGTTTTTGAGACCTTGATCTGATTTGTAACCCTTTAAAAAAGAAATCAGAATACCCGAGTTTGTCTTTTCTAAGTCTCCCCTTCCTATACATTTCCCTAAGTAGTGTCTAAGCTGCAAATACCTATAGAAGTCTTGTTTGGTAAGGAACTTTTAAATCCTGCACGTTTTTGAGTACTCCACCAACAAAGAGATCGCTATATTTTATCAGCCCCTTTTCTGCCCATTTTTTAAATCCTGCGTCTGTCCTATTGGGTATAAAATCCGAATCATAAGCTATCCATCTCAACATATGAAAAGGTTCCTTATTCTCATGTTCTCTTACCACCTGTGACCATATTTTGAGTGATGACGCAACCCACGGATTTGACTCCAATTCATGTTTTTTTTTTAAATACCCCCACCTATAGTGGGACATTGCTGGAAGTCCGGCATTCTATCTCCTTCCATCGTGCTACGTAGGAAGGATTGCATATATCGACCAGAGGTTTTATCTGAGCTGCTTTGTAATAATTCTTTAAAATTAGGAAGAGGGAGACCCCCTCTCTCTTTAGGTAGCTGGAGGGTCTTGAACCTAATCCGAGGTTTTTTTCCCTGCCAGATGAATCTAGAAATTGCCCTGTCCAGATTTAGAAAATGTCCGTTCGGCAGTTCAGCTGGGATGGATTGATACAAATATAAGAGTCTTGTGAGAATGTTCATCTTTATAGCTTCCACCCTCTGTGCTAAACTGAGGAATGGTATTACATTCCATCGGGACAGATCAGACCTAATCTTGGTAATTAGGGGGTCATAATTCAGTGATATTATTTCGTCAATATTTTTGGGGATATTCACTCCCAGATACCTCATAGTTTCAGCCTCCCATTTAACTTTTAACACATCTCTGATGGGTTGTCTAGGGGTGTAGTTAAACGTCAGTATTTGAGATTTGTGGGTATTTCGTCGATAACCAAATAAACATCCATATTCTGTTAAGGTTGTTAATAAACATGGGAGGGAAGAATTGGGGCACCCAAGGTATATTAAAATATCGTCCGCGAACAAGGCTATCTTTTGTTCACCTCCAGCCATTGTAATTCCCTGTATTTCCTCACTCTGTTTTACCCACTGGCTTAATGGCTCTATGAAAATGGCAAAGAGAAGTGGGGACATGGGACATCCCTGTCTTGTTCATGTCTTTTATACATCAACATGTGTCCCCTCTGTGTAAAGAGATTCTGAAAGTTTCAAGAAAAAAGATTCTCTCTCTTTTTGTCCTGATCCATTTATATAAAAACCTGTCTGAAAATGAGCTGATCAGATTTTGGCCACTTTATGATGTCATAACGATGTTTTGGCTCGTGTAACCATTAGCCAATCAGCAACCAAGGTAACCGCCCCCCCCCCCACCTTATCACCTGAGGCGCCGTTTACACGAGGAGAAAACTGCTTGTATCTGCATAGTTTCGCGTGCGTATAGCCCTATTATTTACACGAGGCCGATAGAAACTGACCCCACAAATGATAACGGGTCCCAAGGTGGATAGATTTGCAAAGGAAACGCTCTGGGGGGTCAACCGAGTCCGTGTAATCACCTCTATACGAATATTTCCTGAAAAAATAGCGATAGCCCCACCTCTCCTGCTCACTGCTGTAGCAACTATCAAAAATAGCTGTGTTAATTAAACGCACAAGGGGTTCTTGAATGAAATAATATTATAAAAGGCAAACCAGAATTGTTAACGCCCAATATACTCCTTAAACAAAATAAACAGAGTCAGATTTCATGCATTGATCCATTATATTGACAAAGGTGCGATCTCACCCGGTGTTTGTAGGGAATATCTCTCTTTCTGAGCCGTCCTCTCCACAGAGACGTGCTTCTTGGTCGGTCCATGCAATATCCACAGATTCGGTTTCTTTCAGTTAACTTCCCCGTTACATTTATCCATATGCTGAGGAAATGACTATATCCCGCTGAATACCAGCAATCGCCACACACTTCCTCCTGTCAGTAGCTACTGCTAGTGCTACTGCTACTGACCATGCTACAGATATTAGTGCAACATCTACAGCTCCTCTACCACAACCATCAGCAACAAGTGGACATGGAGAATTACATGAACTACATGTTGCTAAATACACCGCGGGGCTTAAACAGAAGGGTAGCCATGGCAACATTGCTGCGGGGCTGCTCTTCTTCGCTGCTTTTGGTGTATTTTGGCGGAAGTTACAGCGCCACTTACAGTCCCGGCATATGTACTACAGCGTTTCCAGCGGCCTCGTTTGAACAGACACGTTAAATGAAACGAATGCATGTGAACGGAAGACTTTTTTGAATACGCATACTGTGCATAAACGCAAACGGTCCCGTGTGAGCGGGGCCTGAATCTCCTCCTAGAGCACCATTGTGTTCTTTGTAACCAAATATCTCTCAGAGGGGCGTGGGGAGTGGCTCCTTATTTTCATCTAAAGTAACAGACAGAGAATCAGCACTTTTGAAACAGGGCTGAAACAGAGGGGATTATGGGATGCTGCAATGATCTGTTTGGTGTTTGGAGCCAATCAGAGACAGGTTTTGTATATATCTGAGACCTATAATATATTGATGAAAACAGTATAATAGGGGACCTTTAAAATACCATGATATTCATTTAGAAACAGGACATCCTAGTACTTAAGTGAGCAAACATCAGGTCATACTTCAGTAAGCTGAGCTGGTTTTAATGAGGCTAAATCTTTTATTTAACCCAGGGGTGGGTACACTTTTTAATATGAAGTGCCATTCTCACACTTGCCACATCTATAGCAACAAGGTTCCTCACATAATCAGGACATTGTTACATATGAGAGCACTGAACAAGAAGGCTGCCATTCCTAATTAAACCTCCACATCTGACCCTATAACAACAATAATCATAATAATAATTAATTGTACATACATAAAGTGCTTTTTATGGTTCTTGAAGACACTTAAAGTATACAGGATATCCACTTTAACCTGACCCTTTCTTTAGGAAGGACTACATGTGTTAGAGCATGAAATAAAGTATTGTGTTACCTGTTGTGTTTTTAATGTGGTTACAGACGCTATGGGCTTCTATTATTTACCTATCCAACCTTTAAGTAAACAAAAACATCTGAGGTTTCTATGGTAATTGCCATCACAGTGCATTTGTGGTGACGATATTGCGTTAATCCCTTAAATACATACTAGTGTTCTGCCAGAAAGAGTCTCTCAATTAAAACGAAAACAAAAGATGCTAAGTGGCGTTGCTAAGTGGCGTTGTGAAGAAGCGTGGGATCATGGAAGATGTAGTCTTCAGCTTTACCTGGTATAGCAATTTTAAGTAAAAGTTTAAGAAGTATTATAACCAAATTCACTTAACCCTTGTGTTGTGTTCAAAAGCTGTTACCGTTCATGGTGTTCGCGGGTCAATTTTGACCCATGATTTATCTCAGTCCAAAACACACAAAAAAAATGACTATCATCCAATATTATTTTAACTACATCATAACTAACTTATAATGCATTCATAACCGTACAATCCTGTTGTTATTTAATGTTATGGCCCAAAACACATTACACCACATATTGCACACGTGCATGTGTGTGTTCAGGTTCAAGTGTTAGTGAGTGTACATATTCTTTGTGAAAGGTGGAGTTCTCGTGGGGGGAGGGGGGCAGAGGGAGGGGAGAGCAGGTGCATGTTGCGAAAAAGTATTGTTACAGTGGATGAAGGGGGGGGGGGAGGGGTATCTAAAGTCAAAGATGAATTTTGATTGGGCCAAATTTGACCTCGAGTGACCCAAAACATTTCTGCTGGGTCTCCCCAGACCCCAACACCAAATTATACACTTTGTCAAAATCAGTGTAGTGTTTATATATCTGTTGTGGAGGATATCATGAAGCCTTGTTCCAATTAAAAAAAACTAGAGAGTAGTTATTATATAATTTTAACTTGAAACTTGTCACGGAGACCCGAACACAACATAAGGGTTAAAGAATCCAAAGTAAAAGAAGCTGCTTTGCATAATAAGGGCAACTGATGATGACTGATATAATAGTATATATTACTTTATTTGATTGTTAATAATGAATTGAAATGTGTAATTAGTGCTTTTAAATACTTTATGAAGTAAGTGTCCATTGCAATAACACATTTCTCTTGGAAACATCTGGGATAAGTTCACAACTGTACAGAATATAGTAATTTGTAGGCCTTTAAAAGTGGAAAACTTGCATGTTATACCTTTAAGATGAAGATATCTATGAATGCAATCAAAGTAAAAGTTATTTTTCTCAGTGAGTAACGTTGTGAAGAAGCGTGGGATCATGGGAGTTGTAGTCTTCAGTTTCTCCTCGTATAATATGTTATACTTTTAAGAAAAAACAAATTCACTAAAAGAATAAGCTGTTTTGCATAATAATGGCAACTAGGACTGATATAATGGTATATATGACTTGTAGAAATGTGTCTTTTAAATACTTTATGAAGTAAGAATTAATTGAAATAACACATTTCTCTGGCAAACAGGGTCACAACTCTGCAAAATATATTCATTTTGAGATATTTTAAAGCGGAAAACTTGCATAAAATACCTTGAAGATGAACATATACTTTAATGCAACAAAGCTATTGTTATTTTTCTCAGTGAGTACGTACTCTGGGGTCCGGACTGTAGGTTGGGGTACCGGGAGCCTCGGGGTTGGATGTAGGAGGCCTTGAAGGTGGGGAGGACGAACGGCACCACTCTGCCGTTGGGGGGCAGTTTGGACAGGAGGTAATCCTCTGAGACGCGTCTTTTCCTCTCGTCCACATCCAACCCTGAAGCCTTGGGAGGCATCTTCAGAGCGATCACTTAAAAGCAGAGGAAATCACACAATTACAAACAAAAACGTTGTCAAATCGGTCTGATATGCAGCTGTGCAGGACGCAGGTTTAACTTGACAAACATCACCTGAAACAAGAGAAAAATTGGGTTTCCCAAAAATTCAAAACCATGATAAAAAATCCCTAAATGTGCTATAGTGCTCTGACGTTGCTACAATTGGTATGGTTTGTTAAAAAAATACATTTTATTGTTGAATTAGAAAAAAAATATATATCTTTTTTTATTATTGTTTGCTTATTTATTTAATTTTTTAATTTTTTGAGTGGCTTGTCTGTTGTTTCCTTTGGGATAATTGTATTGTATTTATTCTATTTAATTTAACACACACGAACGCGCACATGACCAATGAGGGCACGAGATAAGTTTGTGCACAGATGGAAGGCTGACAGGCAGGTAGGCCATCCAGTTATTTTAGCCGGGCCGGCTAAAATGATTGGTCGTGCTTTTTACAGTACTACGGCTTCCACAGATGACATTTTTTTATGGATTTTTTGTCAAAGCACTTAAGATATTCATTGCTATCGGGATGTTAAGAGCATTCCATGGAATATAACACAAAGTGTATCTCGAGCCGGTTTCTCAAACTTACCTACCCCACCTTTAACCTCTGATTTAAATAAAATGTCTTATTTCCTGTTTGTCTTTGAGCTGCATCCTGTGTATGAAAAGTGCTATACAAAAAAGTTAAATTATGAATATATTATTATGATCACCTTGGGTCTCCTGCTCCTTCCCCTTCTCCTTCATGAAGGTCTTGCAGCAGTCTTTGAGGCACTCCATGGCTGCAACTGGAAACAGTGAATGTTGAAAGAGTTACAGATTACACCGTGAACAGAGATACCAGAACGCATGGAAAAACACTTCTGGGGATCTAATCAGCAGCTGATAACACTCCAAATGCATTTAACAAATTGTTATAATCTCAAACCTTGTTATAGTGTCCATACAATGTCTTCAATCATGTCATAGAGCGCCTAAATAACCAAAATATGACAAACGCTTTTAATCCCCATCTTGTTGTGTAAAACTATCGTCCAATGTGGCGCAGTCCTCTAAAAAAATGTGATTCCAAAATGTAATCTAGTTCAAATAAAAGCATTTGTACTGCGCCTAAAATATCTGTAATTTGATATAGTAACATTTAAGTCATTAGTATTGCCACCAAAGGTTTGCCCCACCTTATTTGCTTGTTTGTTGGTATAATCCACTCACACAAAGTTTCAAAATTACTTCTGGAAATGTATAGAAGTTATTGTGAACACCAAGTCTCCAAAGTTGGTGCATTGTGCCCAAAGTTGTGTTATTTATAATGGTGCCAAAAAAAGGCACAAAAAAAGCAAAAAAAGCCCCTACATTTGGTACAAACCCCCGTTGTATTGGTATGATCCAAAAATCTTTAAGCATTCCAAAATATCCACTAAATTCGGTAAATGCCCAACAAATGTTGTTCTTTGGTCCATTCTTAATTAATGTTCCATATTGCCAAACCTTGGTATATATGGGGACCTCAAATCGTGCTGAGGTTTTCCCCAAATGTGTTCTACTAAATTATACTTAAAAATCGATGAGTTACCCCCCATTTTCGTTGAGCACACAAAATCATACATTTGTTATCCAATGATGTGTTCTAGTGCCACGATACCGGCGATCTTGGTTTTGTACCCAAAGAATATAATGTTGTAAAATGTAAAATATGTCATTGATTACACCCCCATGACTGGTGATTTGAAATACCTCCATATCTTACAAATCTGGTAGTGACCAAACTTGTAATTCGTATTGTTATAGTCCCTTACAATTACAAAAGCATAGCTGCAACTCAAGCATTTGACAAAATCCTTTCAAATCCCTAATTTCCATTCTAATTTGTAAACGATTTTAGGGCTAAACCAACGATTTCACTCATTTAAAAAAGCCAAATGATGTCAAAAAGATTGCCAAACACTCGGCTGTAAACAAGAAGTGAAGAGAGTTAAACATTACATTTCCCCAAATCAAGTGTCAACAAACCGTGCTTTGTGCTGCCAGCCTCTGAAGGAATGTGTCCCTTTGACTTCTCTACGTATATAAAATAGCAATTTATCAACTCACACTTTGAATTACTTAAGACATTTAAAAAAGTCAACTTACCCATGCAATGTTTTGTCTGAAAGAGGGGAGAGTTTGTACATCCAGTGGAGCAGCGACTGGAGAGAAATGCTGGTGAGCTCAGGTTTATGTTCTTCAGTCAGTCTTCAGTTACAGGTCCCTTTCTCCCTCCCTCCTCCTCCCTCCTCCTCCTCCCTTTCTCCCTCCCTCTCTCCTTCCCGGACTGCGTCTCTGTTTGCACTTCCTTCCCCGAACAGCCATGAGAGCAGCGCTTTTTGTTTTGATTTTCTCTTTGTTTACCACACTTTACTGTGAGCTCTCTATAATTTAATTTCCCTCTTCCCCTTCAATCGATATCCCACACTGACTACATCATCATTATTTATTGATTTATTTAGCACCCTGACTAAACTCAGTGACAGTTATTGTTTTTTTTGGCCCAAAAATATTTGACAAAATCTTTAAAATGTCATATTGATATCATCCCAAAACATTGCTAACATTGGTATGTGCTTTAAAATCAGAGGATAATATCAATGTGTTACTGTTGAATTAAAAACCCATTAAATCCCCTTAATTAAAGGTCCCCTATTATACTGTTTTTCATCAATATATTATAGGTCTCAGATATATATACAAAGCATGTCTCTGAAGTGTTTGGCTCCAAACACCAATCAGATCATTGCAGCATCCCATAATCCCCTCTGTTTCAGCCCTGTTTCCAAAGTGCTGATTCTCTGTCTGTTACTTTAGATGAAAATAAGGAGCCCCTCCCCACGCCCCTCTGAGAGATATTTGGTTAAAAAGAACTCAATGGTGTTCTAGGAGGAGATTCAGGTGATAAGGTGGGGGGGGGGGGGGTTACCTTGGTTGGTGATTGGCTAATGGTTACCCAAGCCAAAACATCGTTATGACGTTTGTCATCAAGTGGCCAAAATCTGATCAGCTCATTTTCAGACAGGTTTTTATATAAATGGATCAGGACAAAAAGAGAGAGAATCTTTGTTCCTGAAACTTTCAGAGTCTCTTTACACAGAGGGGACACATGTTGATGTATAACAGACATGAACAAGTGGATTTTGCATAACAGGTGACCTTTAAGTCTTCAGGAATGTGGTTCTTGAAATCCTAATATGTTGTTTTAAACACCAAAATCCCCCAAATTTGACATACTTCGCAAAAAGATTGTCATATGTTATGGTCACAAATATATATTTTTAAGTTGGCTATAGCACCACAAATTGTTCTACTGCAACCCTAGCATTGGTTACACAGCTCACAAATACTCCAAATATGGTATAGTCCTCCAAAAAGGTTGGTCGAAATCCCCTAATGGCTAAAACCAAGCCCGTCCCCCACATTTTCTTAGAAATTGTAAAAACACTGATTGTTTTTTTTCATTGCAAAAAGAAAACAATAGTGCTCCAAAGTGTGCATTTAATATGCGCCCAGACAACCCAAATTTCATCTGATTTTGACCCATAATTGTATATACATTTTACACCATAATCCCACATTTTCGCTAGTTTCAAAATGTCTGCAAACCTATGCATTAGACGTACTTTTTTTAATGCAAATGTAAATATTGGTTTTTATTGTGCACCCAAATCAAACACATTTTGTGTAGCACCCTTCGAATATGCTAATTCATAAAATGCCCAATTAGTTTTGTGTTCCTCCAAAAACGTTTGTTTATGAAGCAAAAACAACATTTGCTGAAATAATTCAAATGTGTTTTCATTTATCCTCATCCAATATAATCCCCAATATGTGTTTCCCCTACATTTTTGTGATAAAACAGGACATTATACTCCCAAAATAAGGTCATGAGTTCAGTGGGCTGATGCCAGCGACAATTGTGTGGTGAAGACATTTATTGTTCTAAAAAAAACTGTGATCAATAATTCAATTAATGCCTGGCTGTAACATCATTTCAAACATTAACATTGCCACTGCAAAATGCACAATTACACTTCAGCTCAGATATCAAAATCTCATAAAAAAAACAATGTTATGATTCTCAGGATGCAACGACAGCTCTTCAATTTAAGCATAAAAAAAGCAATTTCACAGCTAATCTGAAGAGATGAACATTCACAGACAACTGGGGTGGGGGGGGGGGGTGCAAGTACTAGTGAGGGTAACTTCCATAATTTTTGGGTCATTTTCTAAATATAATATGTCAGAAATTGTACACCATAAACATCCCTCTGTTTCAGAAGTCCATATGGCAGCAATACAAGCTCAGAGTCCATTAAACCAGAGAGGCTTTCCCATCAGCTGATCTTGGCTGAGACTTTATCGGACAAGGATGACATAATGATTTTTTTTTAAAAAGGTGATGCTGTCTCAAACAAACCATTACATCAGCTGATTCTCAGAGGGAGTTCATTTTGAGACGCTCAGAACTTGTGCTCCGCGACAAATATCGTCACGCGAATGATGGAGCTGCCTCTGAAGTTGATGACGTTGTTCACCGTGACCATCTCCAGGTCCAGAACCACCTCCTGAGGACCCGAGATGGGCCGGGACAGAACCAGCGTGGCGCTCACGTTACTGGTTTGCTGCAGAATAAAGAAAAGAAAGGAAAAGAATGTGAGGAATGGAGCACAGGAAGACGATGTGACAGCTGGAGGAGGCGTCGGGGACTTTTCTTATCATGTATACGAGGAACAAACACAAGCACAAAGTCAGGGAAAGTTAATATGTTTTCCATGAAGAGCAAAAGGTCAGGACAAGGTTTGTTTAAAGAGGCCCCTTTATGCAAATATTCAGGTGTATATCAATATGCAGTGTCTCTTCTTTAAAGAGTCCTCTCCTGCTGATGTTCAGGTGTATATCAGCATGTAGTGTCTCTACTTTAAAGAGTCCTCTCCTCCTGATGTCAAGTGTATATCAGTATGTAGTGTCTCTTCTTTAAAGAGTCCTCTCCTGCTGATGTCAGGTGTATATCAGTATGTAGTGTCTCTACTTTAAAGAGTCCTCTCCTGCTGATGTTCAGGTGTATATCAGTATGTAGTGTCTCTACTTTAAAGAGTCCTCTCCTGCTGATGTTCAGGTGTATATCAGTATTTAGTGTCTCTACTTTAAAGAGTCCTCTCCTGCTGATGTTCAGGTGTATATCAGTATGTAGTGTCTCTTCTTTAAAGAGTCCTCTCCTGCTGATGTTCAGGTGTATATCAGCATGTAGTGTCTCTTCTTTAAAGAGTCCTCTCCTGCTGATGTTCAGGTGTATATCAGTATGTAGTGTTTCTACTTTAAAGAGTCCTCTCCTGCTGATGTTCAGGTGTATATCAGTATGTAGTGCCTCTACTTTAAAGAGTCCTCTCCTGCTGATGTTCAGGTGTATATCAGTATGTAGTGTCTCTACTTTAAAGAGTCCTCTCCTGCTGATGTTCAGGTGTATATCAGTATGTAGTGTCTCTACTTTAAAGAGTCCTCTCCTGCTGATGTTCAGGTGTATATCAGTATGTAGTGTCTCTTCTTTAAAGAGTCCTCTCCTGCTGATGTTCAGGTGTATATCAGTATGTAGTGTCTCTACTTTAAAGAGTCCTCTCCTGCTGATGTTCAGGTGTATATCAGTATGTAGTGTCTCTACTTTAAAGAGTCCTCTCCTGCTGATGTTCAGGTGTATATCAGTATGTAGTGTCTCTACTTTAAAGAGTCCTCTCCTGCTGATGTTCAGGTGCATATCAGTATGTAGTGTCTCTACTTAAAGAGTCCTCTCCTGCTGATGTTCAGGTGCATATCAGTATGTAGTGTCTCTACTTTAAAGAGTCCTCTCCTGCTGATGTCAGGTGTATATCAGTATGTATGGCTCCAAAGATTGATGTCTGTAATGGTTCCCTCCAGAATATCCCAGACAGTTGAAATGTACAATAAAAGAGAAAATAAGTACAAATATTTATATAAAAAGCGTCATAAGAAAGTGAAAAATGTGCAATAAAGGGTAATTTCCTATGTAAAATCTCAATGTATCATACCACTGAGTCTTATTACTTCAAAGTGAAAGTATCTTTAAGTGTTTATTTATTAAGAAGATCTGTACCTCCCTAATATATAACACTCTTATTGCTCCATCTACTGGCAGCACAATGCACTGAAGAGTCAGGTGATTCATATTTTACGGGGGGGGGAGGGGGGGGATGTGCCAGTGAATTGTCCGACCGGAAATAAGATATCAATCAATATATCGCAAAATCCACTTTTCCATGTCTCTTCTACATCAACATGTGTCCCCTCTTCTTCATGTCTCTTCTACATCAACATGTGTCCCCTCTTCTTCATGTCTCTTCTACATCAACATGTGTCCCCTCTTCTTCATGTCTCTTCTACATCAACATGTGTCCCCTCTTCTTCATGTCTCTTCTACATCAACATGTGTCCCCTCTTCTTCATGTCTCTTCTACATCAACATGTGTCCCCTCTTCTTCATGTCTCTTCTACATCAACATGTGTCCCCTCTTCTTCATGTCTCTTCTACATCAACATGTGTCCCCTCTTCTTCATGTCTCTTCTACATCAACATGTGTCCCCTCTTCTTCATGTCTCTTCTACATCAACATGTGTCCCCTCTTCTTCATGTCTCTTCTACATCAACATGTGTCCCCTCTTCTTCATGTCTCTTCATCACCATGTGTCCCCTCTTCTTCATGTCTCTTCTACATCACCATGTGTCCCCTCTTCTTCATGTCTCTTCTACATCAACATGTGTCCCCTCTTCTTCATGTCTCTTCTACATCAACATGTGTCCCCTCTTCTTCATGTCTCTCTTCATCAACATGTGTCCCCTCTTCTTCATGTCTCTTCTACATCAACATGTGTCCCCTCTTCTTCATGTCTCTTCTACATCAACATGTGTCCCCTCTTCTTCATGTCTCTTCTACATCAACATGTGTCCCCTCTGTGTAAAGAGACTCTGAAAGTTTCAGGAACAAAGATTCTCTCTCTTTTTGTCCTGATCCATTTATATAAAAACCTGTCTGAAAATGAGCTGATCAGATTTTGGTCACTTTATGATGTCATAACGAGTTTTTGTCTTGTGTAACCATTAGCCAATCAGCAACCAAGGTAACCCCCCCCCCCCCCCTTATCACCTGAATCTCCTCCTAGAGCACCATTGTGT